TGATTGGAGTCACCAGTGGTGAAAACACCCTGAGCTCGAGAGGCATCACTAGAGGGGAAGAGCTCCTCGAAAACTCCACGATTAGGTCGCATTGGACTCTCAGTGTCACGGGTCGGGATTCCAAAGTTGCTCCGGCCGATAGCACCCAGAGGATTGCTCTGGCGAAGATCAGGCAGAGAGTCAGACAGATTGTTGTCGTGCTCAATAGTCTGCATCTGTGCCTGCATGGCAGCAGGAAACAGAGACCCCATCTTGCTGCCACGACCAATGCTTCCAGTTCCTAGACCACCAGCACTGGCAGGGCCGAAAACGTTGTTGAGATTCGACAGCCCAGGTGATTGGAGCTCACCCATAGGGCTGAACAGAGAGTTCCCGAATGCACCGCCCAAGTTGGGCCTTTCACGATCCGGAGTCCCGATTGTAGGGCCACCAGGTGCGGGCCAACCCAGATTGTTCAACGAAGGGTAGGCCTTGGCGCCGACACTGGAGGTCTGACTACGATCACCTCCGTCATAACCCCCAAAGCTGCGACCGATGGAGCCAAAATTCGAGGGGGCATCGTGAAGACCTGTGCCATGAGATTTGTCGTCACTGCCATCGCCGTCATGACCGTGTCGCTCAGCTGGAGGGCTACGGTAGGGATTGGTCTCGGATGGGCTTAAAGGGCCGTCATCGCCATGACCTGCAAGACTGAGGCCAGACATGCCAAAATCGGCAGCGGAGCCCTTGATAGGCGTACCCATAGCGCCTGCTGAATTGTTCTGCTGGGGTAAGCCGGCAGTGTCAGTGTCAGGGGCGCCACTGAGTGCTGCGCTGCCCGATGCAGTATCTTCTCCAAATGGATCAGTGTCAGTTCTAGTACGGGATCGCCAAGATTGCTGGCTAAGAGGGTTTTGACCCTCCCCAGCCTTGCCACTCAGGTTGTCCGAGCTCTCCTTAGGTATCAGGTGGGCCAATCTACTTCCACCAGCACCGCCGCCAACGCGTTTATCACCAACGGCAGGCGAGCCTGTGAGTGCAAAGTTCCCAAACCCTCCTGCACCGGGCGTTGTCTGATTAGAAGGTGGCCAGATGGAACCGACGCCGCCAATACCGCCCGTGTTAGAGCGCATCAAGTTACCAAAGGGGGGCAGCTTTCCAGGAGCCTCACGGGAACCAGGCTCGTTATCGGATTCGTCGGCTTCAGCTTCCTTAAGATCGGTCTTGCTACGGGAAAACCAGAATGCTTGATCGTCACGATTGACTCGGCCTACGGCAGTGGGAGATGCCAGGGCACTCCCAACGTTGAAAGGGTTCGATTCGAGTGTCTCGCGTCGTCGTGTACTAGGTCGTGTAGCTGACGAGGGTGAACTGACGCCAAAAGTGTTGGAAGTGCCTTGGGATAAAGATGCTTTACGTCCGTTTGCGCCACCTTGGTGGGCGTCTTTGTTCTGGGTCGGAGGTTTAAGCGGCGAATTAATTTCAGTATTAAAAGCCTACTAGTGATTAGTACAAACTTAGAGCACCAGCACCAGAGTGGGGACTGTCGCACCTCTCTTTCCTCCATGGACATATCCTGCAGTCCCATCGGAGTCGAATCTCCTGATTCCTCCCAGCAGGCGCCAGGTTCCTGAGGGATATGGTTGTCATTGTTTTTACCCCAACCTCTAGGAGCATGTCCATTCATTTGCCCAGGAATCCAACCTGGGGCAAAAAGGTGGGATACATCGCCGGACGATTTTCGTAAGCGGTAAACGTCAAGGAGCTCCTCCCTTGTGTATCGTGTGGGGGGCAGCTCATATGTCGAGTTGGATGCATTCTCAGGGCTCTCAACGGTGGTGGGGGGTTGAACTGCATGATCCGTTGAGGGCGGCGGCTGAGAAGAGGGCTGGCCGAGGGGAGTTGTAGATGACCGACGGAAGGTGAGGGTACCATTCGTGGATCGACCATCTCTTCTGGCCCTGAATATAGTGTTAGTGATGGTCTGTAGGATCCAAGCATAGTGGCAGAATGCATGATAGGAGAGCAGATGGTGCAACTGGTAAAGGGCCGTAACAGGAGACCACCAATGCCAATGGAGCATAGATCATAGTCATACACTTCGGAGTAAGGCAGTGCCTGGCATCAAGAAGCGCCATTCGCGACAATCAAGCCAAGCGCTGAAACGAACTTCATATTGTACACCACAAACCACACGCGGGGTGACTGGGGAACACAGTGTGCAGCACAACATCCCACCATGATACCAGGTCCAGGTACGAAGGCCTAAACAAGAACAAAGCCAAAGAGTAGCAAGTACTTACCAATCTCCAGAATTATTTCCTCTCACGTCAATCCTTGCTCCTCTGGCGTTGGAGTTCTGACCAGCAGCAGCCGAGGCAAAGCTCGATGGAAGATTAGTCGGCATATTGAGTAAACGCTATTATAAAGCTGATGCTAAAAGCGAATTCGGATTGTCGTCTCGAGTGCGGATGCGAATTCGAGCGGACGGGAAATAGTGTGGAACGTCTTTGTCGTTCGAGGTCAAGGGGCGCAAAGGTTGCGTCGATGGTTGGTCGAATCGGCAGAAGATGGTACAGGTCAGGACAGCTGAGGAACAGTGGTCTTGAGCTGCAACGTGGCTGAGAATTGCTTGTCAAAAGAACTTGCTAAAGCGCGTAGCAACGTGAAAGCTATAGTTGAGATCGAGACACGGGAGCACAAAAACGATGCTTTGTAGCGATAGTCAATGAGACGATGGCGGCGGGCAAGTTGATATACGATATCGTAAACGATAGTGTTACTAAGTGTGATCGGCGGGGGAGCGCGACGTGATTGTTGACTGAAGTAATGCTTCTTTTTTTTTGTTCGGAGATCCGAGAGAAGAGTTTCGTGTGATGTTGTGGTGGTGATGTAAACGCTGTGGTTTGGGGTTACCTTTAAACGGGGAAAGGAAAAAAATCGAGTGGAAGGGTTTTGGGTGACAGATTCGAAAAATTAGATAGTGAGGTACCTGATTCTAGCTGTGGTTGCCAGCCTCCTCGGTAGTTCCATTTTAGCTAATGGCGGGCTTCCATACCTAGGCTCTCCAGCAGGATTAGCACTGGGCTGTCCAGGCCACCTCACTGAAAGGCTATGATTAGTGGGGTTGTTATGACCCGTAGTGATATGCAGCCGATAATTTACCGGCACTTGACAGATTGAATTTCCTCTGTTCAGGGCTGAATCCTAAACGAAAATGGGGACGAGATGCAGAAGGCCATTGAGACTTGTACACATCTGTCCTCGAGGTTCAAAAGACAAGGGGAATCTACTATTTACGTATAAACCCAGGCAATTCGCTACCGAGTACCTGGGTCAGGGGGACAGTGTTTTTCCATCAAGGATTGATCAATCTTATCTCGGTACTAATTGATCTATGAACAAAACTCCTGCCATTGACTTTGCCACTGGGTCACGTGTCGTCACGTCGCGCCATAGCGCAGCGCGTTTTCCATTTTACCCAACCCCACAAGCATTTAAGCCACAGATTACAATGGCCCAGTCACGAACTTTACGACACCACATTTGGTGACACGATGCCCAATGCCTAGTCTTGGCTTTACCCTTCGCTCTGAAGCTTTAAATTAAACCACATTAAGAATGACTATCTAAGAAAGGAAGTGGACTTGATACTCATGGGTTGATCAAACGGTTTATCTCTTTCGCTTTAATCAACCAATTTGTGGTGGTACAGGTCTCTGTCCTCACAGTTCAGCATCGAGGGGTTCAGAGACTTTTATTTCGCCTTACTATATTATTTTACATTTTCTTTTCAGAAGGACTTAGTATATGAAGATGCTATATGATGAAGTACGTAGCCGTGTGATAAAATGTTTTGGCAAGCAATCCCGTCAAGTATGTGAGATGTTAACCGCCCCTTATCCACTACTTGATTGTCCAGGTATTTGACGTGGAAGTGTGTTTTTTCCTTGTTTTATAACTCAACTCTCTTTGCACCCAGGCTTAAGCTCAAGTTCATCAAAACTGGCTAAGATATCCACCTCTCGCAGTCAAGTATCGGTAGGACCATTCGCACCTTTTCCATTAGCTTTCACCTTCGTTTTCAGGAGAGGTCCTTCTCTGCACTCACGACAAGTGGAACATCGACAATGCACAGGAGACAACAATGATCCACCATCCACCCCAATCGACAGTAGTAATGCAGTATTCGAATTCATCACCAGCTGATTCAGGTCGATGTCGGCATCGGCAAAACGAGTGGGACCAGTAGGCCACGTTCACAATTAGGAGACACCAAGATACCATCATTATTGTCCATGTGAGGAGATAATCGGTAATGTCGCGCCTCGAAACGGTGACCCTGAGATAATAAAGCGCATGAACACTAACGAACACGAGAAACACCTAATTTGACTGTCAATACCCAAAGTTGAATTGCCTAGTTTTAATAAAGCTCACCAAAACCAGGTTGGACCAAACAAATGCCCTCGACACTTCTGTTCCACCCACGTGTCTACAAGCGCACATTGTGATCATTATTGCCAGTAAGAACAGCATCACCGAGGTGCGAACAATCGTGCCGCATAAGAAGGGTGAAAGTCGTGGTTCACACGCCAATACAATACGAACATTGGTTGAGGGGCATGGACAGAAACGCATGGCGAACGAGGTTGTCTTAAGCGCGAGGCTCAAAGGGATAAAAACGACTCCAGAAGAACGAGGTAAAGATGCCCGTTGTCCATGTCTCGATGTATGTTGGGGTGAGCGCCCTTTTTTACCCAAACCGTATGTTCGCAGAAATAGTCCCGTGGGTACAATAAGGAAGCTGCGGATTGGGCGTATGAATTCGTATGACGAGGTGTAAGTCTGGTTGCCACGCCCACCTGGGTGTCGTCGGGTTAGAGGAGATGCTGCTGTGCTCCTAGCATTTTATCTTGATCAAAAAACTGCGTGGCGTTGTAGCAAAGGACTGAGTGATCGCCCAAGTCCGAAATAACGTAGTTGAAAGCGTAAGGTTACGTTGAGGTGACATGAGGCTCTCAGACGTTCAGGAGGAAATGGGCCTTGAACTTCTTGTTCGCACGATCTGGTGCCCTTACCATCATTTGATCACCAAATACCTCGCAGGCAAACGTTTTGTTTGAAGCCTTTTCTCCATCTGTAACTTTTTCATCGAGTGGAACTTCCACTCGAAAAATTGTGCCCTCCTTAGGAACGACTTTGACTCCCCTCTTTTTAGTTATGATCTCAAAGACGAACTTGCGATCACGGACAACGATTCCTTCGATACCAACTCGACCAGGGCAATGGCTTCGTACAACCTGAATAGGAGCACCATGAAACTCAGCGCTTGCCAGTTTCACTGCTGCGTTAGGTCCACCGGTAAAGATGTCGTTTCCAAGCAACTCCCGGGCGTAGCCTAGCCACAGGTGAGTCAAAGGCTCATAAATGTGGTATTTCTGGCCATCCTTGGGGATATCGTGAAGGCCTAGATTTCGTCTCTCCCGTGATGAGAGTGGCTTAGGCTTCTGCTTCTGTTTCTCTTTCTTGTCCTGGCGAGCTTTTCGGCGTGCGGCGCGGGCATTGATGGTAGCTGGTGGAGGAGAGGTCGGTCGAAGAATGAGCGAGCGGTATTGTATCTTTTCTGAGTAGATGCGGTTTGCGCTGTCGGGAGAATGCGCTCTAGCCAGCAGATTCTGTGTAGCTTGCTGTGGTACGCTAGCCATGATCGTGAAGTTGAAGGTAGCGTAGTTTGGTGATTGGACGATCAAGAATGAAGTCAGCAGCAGCTCAAGGCCGGAGAAAAAAATGTTTAGTTAGCGGAAAGTTACCGCGATCCTGCAAGCAATTTTCTGGGGAAGGCGGTAGTGGGGCCCAAGCTCTTTCCCCCTTCCATCACATGCCGCTTGCTCGGTAGAGTCAAGTCAAATGATGATGGTCTCCACTTGCCAATGCCATCGCGACTCGGTTACGAGCTTGCAAGATATTGTTTGACTTGTATTTTGTTTCGTACTTAGTGAAAGGCGGCAATTTTTTCTTGAACTTATACACGCCCAATCAAGCGGATACCTTGTCAATCTCTTAACAAACTTTATTATTTACTTTGCGATGGTGTTTTTGATGTCAACCTGCAACTGATTGTCGTCAATACCGAGGTTTAACGACGCCTGAAGAACCCTCAGCCATGTCGCACAACGACACCGATACCGACTCGACGGCCAATTCGGCCCCAGACCTTCAGATATTGGGCGATGAAGTCACACTACAACCTAGTGGCTTTGTTGAGCCGCCCAAGAAAATCCCTGAAGGCAAGGAGGAGGCTTTGATGGGCAAGTTTGCCTCATTCCGTTCCGAGCCTCTGCAGTAATACTTCCTTCACCGGCATTATAGCTATCGCCATGGCTATCAGTGCATTTTTTTTCTCTTGTGATATTGACTAACACACTCATAGATTTCTCCGAGAAGTGTCTCTCTACGTGTCTGGTCAAGGATGGCGCGCCTATGATAATGTTATCGGTCAGCCGGTCTTCTACTCCGGATTCTCAGAAAACATGAAGAATATGGTTCTATCAGCTCCTCTTCTTCAGCAAAGGATCAACCAGTTGGCTGAACATCGTGTTGCTATTGAAGAACGCGAGGGTCTGCTGCCGAAAGACAGTAAAGACTATGGCGCTAAACGTTCTCAGCGACTTAACGAGATTGAGTCGGGACTTCAACAACTGGCCGACAAATGGACCGAAGATATGATTTGCAAGATGGAAAGCAAAGCCTTTATCCGGGGTGCTTACTACTCCGCAACTCAGCTATTAACCCGTGCGTACCACAATGGGATTTTTGTCTCAAGTGAAGAAGTCCTGCGGCTGCGAAAGGTTGCTGAGGTGGCCGCACAAAAGAAGCAAAGCATCATCTTCTTGCCAAGTCACCGATCGCATGTTGATTATGTCTCTCTTCAGCTCATTTGCTACCGTCTGGGCCTTACATTACCGGTCGTGGTCGCGGGAGATAATCTGAACATTCCTGTCTTGGGCGAATTCTTACAACACGCTGGAGCCATGTGGATCCGAAGAGCATTCGGTGACGACGTTTTGTACACTACTTTGGTCCAGTCATACATCGATACGCTTCTCCAGGAAGGTTACAATTTCGAATGCTTCATCGAAGGAGGTCGCTCGCGGACAGGGAAGCTGTTACCCCCAAAGTTCGGCATCCTCAGCTTCGTCCTTGATAGCATTCTATCAGGACGAGTCCAAGACGCCATTATTTGCCCTGTCAGCACCCAGTACGACAAGGTTATAGAGACAGAGGGTTATGTTACAGAACTGCTTGGCATGCCCAAGAAGAAGGAAAATCTGGCTGACTTCTTGAGCGGAGGATCGTCTGTTCTATCCTTACGCCTCGGCCGCGTTGATGTTAGATTTCATGAACCATGGAGTTTACGAGGATTTCTAGACAACCAGCTGTCAAAGCTTCCAAGCATTCCTCGTGGGCTTGATACTGATCATCAGCGCCCCGAAGTCCGAGCAGTCCGCGAAAAGCTCTTGCGGACGATGGGATATCAGGTGCTGAGCGACATCAATGATGTGTCTGTCGTGATGCCAACCGCTTTAATTGGCACTGTTCTTCTAACACTACGTGGCCGTGGAGTTGGAAAAGAAGAATTGAAGCGTCGAGTTACGTGGCTTACAGAACGTGTACGTGCAAAAGGTGGGCGCGTAGCACATTTTGGAAACGCACCTCTTACCGAAATCATTGAGCGTGGTCTCGAAGTACTTGGTAAAGACCTTATTGGCATGGTTGATGGTCTGGCCGAGCCAACTTATTATGCTGTTGACCGCTTTCAATTATCCTTCTACCGCAACATGACGATCCATCTCTTCATTTACGAAGCGCTTGTCAGTGCGGCAATGTACTCGCGAGTGAAGAGAGGAGGTGGCCCACAGATGCAAGACATGCCATTTAATGAGCTGAGGGAACAAGTGTTCTTTCTCTCATCGTTGTTCCGTGGCGAGTTTATATTCTCCAGCGAGGGCCTTGATACAAACTTAGACAGGACTTTGCGAGGTCTGGAAGCAGACAATATTATCAGAGTTGACCGTGATAGTGAAGGCAGTGTTACTATGGTAGGTCTTGCAGAGCAGGAAAGGAAAGCTGGTCGTGAGAACTACGATTTCTACTGCTTCTTGATCTGGCCTTTTGTCGAGGCAACCTGGTTGGCAGCTGTCTCTCTCATGGGACTCACCCCTCCCTTGGGACACAATGAGGATACCTGGATGGAGCAAAGCAAAACACACAACAGTGCACAATTAGTAAGTTGATCTGCGCACGAATAACCATCAGTCATCGTTGCTGTTTTCACATGCTTACAAGATTTACATCTAGCTTGGCAAAACACTCTATCACCAGGGTGACCTCTCATACTTTGAGGCTGTCAACAAAGAAACGTTGAAGAATTCGTATATGCGCTTCGAGCAAGACCAACTTCTCCACGTCGTAAAGTCAAAGGACACCAAAATTCCTCCCCGTGTCCAGCTCGACACCTCCTGGCGCACTCCTCGTGATCCAACGACGGGCGCTCTCCTTGCTGAAGGCAAATTGTGGGACTTTACCGAAAAGATTGCCAAGTCACGGCGCGAAGGCAAGAACCGCCGCGATGGTGCCACGGTCAGTGGCCGCGTACTTCGACTTACTGACAAGTTGGGTCGCAAGCTTTGGGAGGAAACTATCGAAGGTGAAAGAAGCGGAAAGGGCAAAGTGCCTAGTACGCTGAGTAACGAGGAGAAGGAAGCTTTCGGGAAGAGTGTAAGGGAGGGAAAGAAGAAGAGAGAAGAGAGGGCTCGGGCTCATCTCTAAGATCTATCGGCGCAGTTTTGTACAACATGTTTTCTACAAGCGAGTATATCCTCGTTTTCCGCCTTAGCCTGCTTTTTATCGAAACTGGAACCAAATATTTTCTTTGGGCTATACCAACATGTTCATCATATCACAAGCATTTATATATATATACACATACGATGGAATACTCCTTATCTAGCTCGGCGTGCCAAATTCAGCTCTTGAATGGCGTTCGCCGGTTAGGATGTTATTATTCATTTTGACTTGTATCTCGCGTCTATGCACTGTTGGAATCTTGGGGCTTGAGGATGATGTTATCGATCAACCGCACGGGTGGTCCTCCACTAAAGCCTAGATCCTCACCTTTCTTGGCCTCTTCGACGGGCAACATCTTGATTGCGCCACTCAGAACAGCTCCACTCGACGGATCAATCTCGTCAACCTCCACTAATGTGTCTGGGTCTGCAAGAGAGATATAGTCAACCTCGAAGGCCACACGCTCAGTGGGGGGAAGCTTGGACTGCTCTGATGCAAATGCATCGATAATTTTATGTGCCGCGCCAAGAACGGTTTCCCTGGTATAAGAACCATTGTTTGTGTACGCCGCGGCAGCGGCATGCAGTGCGTTTGGAAGGACAATGGCGGCAGCTCTTCGTCTAGGACCAAGATAGACATTTCGTGAGCTGAGTGCAAGCCCATCTTTTTCGCGCTCCGTAGGCTGAACGACGACCTGCAAAGGCAAGATGAAGTCATTGACCATTCTACGGATGACAACAGTTTGTTGGACATCCTTTTGTCCAAAGTATACACGCTCAGGTTGAACAATGTTAAAAAGTTTCAAGCACACTGTCGCAACACCGCGGAAGAAGGTTGGTCTGCTGGCACCCTCAAGGACTTCGCCCACAGGTGTGATAGTAACAAAGCTTCCCTTACTATCAATTTCCTGACCTGGAAAGCCACTTGGGTACATCTCAGGTGTCGTCGGCGCAAACACGGCGGAAATGCGACCCAAGTTTCCTCCGTCATCTGCGAGCTCTCTATCCAGCGTCGCCAGCTTCTTTGCATCCTCCTCCCACGTCACAGGATACGAAGACAAGTCCTCCTTGATCCCAAACTGCGCAGGGTTTACGTATATGCTCACAATGACATGGTGGTTCTCTTTGGCAGCGGCGCGGATCAAGGCAAGGTGGCCCTCGTGTAGAGCGCCCATGGTGGGCACGAGGCCGACAGAACGGTGATCAATGACATGGGGTTTTCGCCATCGACGGACCGATTCGACAGAGCGGAGGACACGAATTGGCGACTTAGGTAGGGTCTCGAGGCGGGAGGAAGTCGAGCAGGCGGAAGCCATTGTGCGGACCGAGGTCGTGAAAGGCGAGCGTTGTCGAAGAAAGCGTAGTGGAAGCATTGTGGCGGTATTTTGGGTATTAAGTATAATAATAAATAGAAGAAGATATTTTTTAAGCGAGATCAGATCATCTATGCATGGCTGTTGGGTGCAGCAGACTCTCGTGATAATTTCTGCCGCGAAGCTTTGGGGACGGTTCAAGATGCAGGGGATCCGTTTTTTTTTGGAGTTGAACAAAGCATGTGAATGGAGATTACCCTATACCAATATTTGTATCTGCTTTGATGCCTCTCTTGTCGCAATTCAACAGTTATAAGTTGTCAAATAGCTCTTTTAGAATAACATTCTCAATTGGAATCTTGATTCGGGCAATGCTAATTAATTGTGGTGTGCAGTGGCGGGTTTTGTACATGATAAGGATACCATGATGAAGTCAAGGTGTGCGTAACAATACTGGAAAGTTGTCGAATCCACTACTTGACACGCAGAGTTAGGAGGAGATTTTTGGAGTCTCTTACAAAGGTCAAGATTTAAAAGATATTATTTATTTCGTTAAATCGTACATGCTAGATAGGAGAGTGTATATAATCGTGTCATAACCCAAACGCCATTCTATATGCTGTTCAAGCGCTTGGCTTGATCCTTGCAATAAATATCCATCACTCACAACGAACCCATTCAAATCATCATCAAACCATTATTATCCAAGCTTCTATCAACAAATATAAGAGAGCTTCAACCATTTCAATTCTTAAGCAGCACCGCCAGTGATATTGGCAAGGTTGAGCTTATTCCATCGGGTGAGCAAGGTGATCAAGAAGGAGAAACCAACGCAAGCGATGGCCATGGCAAAGACCGTGTTCAGGCCGTGCATGTAACCCTCGATAACGATATCGAGTGTCTCTCCACTGAAAGTCTCACGGAGAGCGGTAGCACCAGTGAGAATTAGCTGACCCTTGTCAATCTGAGGAGCGTTCCTTGTGATGTCGAGGAGCATCTGGTTGACAAAAGCAGCCTGACCACCAGACACGATATAGGCACCACCAAGACCTTGGAAGACTACATATTGTTAGCGAGATGTAGATGATTCAAGATCGACAAGGAACACTTACATAGAAGAATACCAGTGGCAGAAGCAAGATCCTTAGGGTCGACTGTGCCCTGGACGGCAATCATAGGAATCTGGAAGGCCAGACCCCAGCCAACACCAGCGACAATTTGGTAACCAATCCACTTTCCGGTCGATGTGTCAATGTCAAGGAGGTACAGAAGGCCAGCACCGATGGTAGCGAAAGCGGCACCACCGATGAGCAGAGGCTGATACCGACCGGTAGCAGTGACGAGACCTCCACTGGCAATAGTGGAAAAGGTAACGGCAAGGATAAGGGGGAGGTTGCGAACACCACTGCTTGTGGGAGAAGCATTATGGATAGACTGGAAGTAGATGGGGATGTAGTAGATGGCAAGGAAGAAGGAACCAGCAAAGATGAAGGCAAAAGCGCTCATGACCCAAACAGTACGGTCCTTGAGGATACGGACAGGGATCATGGATCGCTCACCCTGAACGTAGCAGGAGATGGCCCAGACGATGGAGATGGCGATCCAGCCGACGAGAAGGCCGATGACGACGGAAGAGTCCCAAGCGTGAGCCTGGCCACCGTATTGAACAGCCAGAATGTAGGAGATGGTAAGACCCATGACCAAGACGATACCAAGGGGATCCATCTGGAGGAACTTCTCCATAAGGGGAGCCTTGACAGGAATGGCAGCACGAGGAGTCTTGAAAAAGAGAAAGATGATTGCAGCAGAGATACCTCCGATGGGGAGGTTGATGTAGAAACACCATCGCCAAGAGACGTGATCGGTAAAAGCACCACCCAGGAGAGGGCCGATGACTGAAGCGATACCGTAGGCAGCGCCAATGATACCAGTAAAAGCAGGTCGCCTCTTTGGGGGAGCAGAGAAGCCGATGATAGTGTAGGCTCCAGCACCAAGACCAGCACCACCGACGCCAGCGATGGCACGGCCAGTGATCAAAGCCTCAGCGTTAGGAGCAGCACCACAAATGACAGAGCCAAGCTCAAAGATGAAGATGGCAACAAGGAAGGATGTCTTGAGAGGGAAGTACTTGTAGATTTTGCCCCCTTTTGGTGGTGTTAGTGATAAGCTGAGAAGAGAATGAAAGTGGTTGAGGGTATCACGACTTACAAGTTGACTGGAAAGCACCGACGGTCATGAAGAAGGCTGCACCGTACCAACCGACCTTGTCAAGACCCTTGAACTCATCAGTGATCTTGGGAATGGCTGTAGCCACAATAGTCTGGTGCGCAGTTGGTGTTAGTACACTTTGATCTTACTGTTAGGGATGGGAATGGAGGCTTGACATACCAAGTCAAGGGAGAAGAGGAAGACAGCCATGACCAGGGCGAGGACGATGAAGAACATGTTGATACCGGTTGGGTAGTCATCATCTTCAGGGTTATCACTGTCATTGTTGCCCTCAACTGTACCAGTCTCTACATCCTCATCGGTTTGTCTCTCCTCCTTTTTCTCTTGAATATCCTCGCCTCGTAGTGTAGTAGTTGTAGATCCGGGACGTTCTGTGGTCGCAGGGACCTCGAGGTTTGCTTTTTCGGCAGCCATGGTAGCTGTTTTAGCTTTTGGTTTATTGAACTGGCAGTGTTCGAATTAAGTTTATATCGAGCCCTGAAGAAAGGGTGTAGTGTATTGATGTATAAGTGCTCGAGAGCCTCGTTGATGATCAGAAGTCTGGAACATTTTGAATACCAGCGAGGGATGACTATCTTTATAACCTGCACGAAACAGAAGCATAAGTACCCAACACAATGATTAATCCATCCATCTCACTTCTGGTCTGACTCCCTATTGTCCCAGGAGTTAAGCTCTGCCCATACATAAAATCCGCCAACAACACAATCACAATGATAGTGTACTGTGGTAGGGTTCAACTTGACTCTTGTCAGCATAACGGAAAAGACAGACCAGCCAGTAAGGAAGAGGCGGAGTGGCGGACTCCACCTTATGTCCGCCCGTTCTTACACCCTTTTGCAGTAAGCCAAAGCCACAAGCGCTGCACTAGGAGCAATATTTTTGTTAATAACCGGTCTTAGCTGCGGACATTGTTAAAGCTAAGTATTATGCCTCTTTCTCTGGAAAACAGCGTTTTGCTAAGTACAATGTCTAAGTATTTACGCCAATATGCAGGTCTACGGCGTTGATCTGATATGAAACCACTTGTAACAAATGTTGGTCCGAGAATGCGGACAAAGATTGTTGACTTTAATCAGCAAAACAAAAACATGCTGGAATATTTCTCAAACACGTGTCGTCATGTTTAACTCTGATAGTCTAATTGTGCTGACAGGTCCCAAGATACAGCATGTATATCGTTTACCGCATGTTAGTGAGTCCCGCATAACGCTTGGCATAACACGTTGTCAAACAACACCAACTTTACGCTTATCACGACTTCACATTCAACTAGTAGATGTAAGATTATGACGGCTCATGACTCACTTGAGTAGGGAGGTACCGAGGCAAAATGCAGGGAATTTGAAATTAGCCAAATAAACGTAATTCCAACATGATTGATTTGATACTAACTAGCAGCTGAGAACAAAGGGACTCACTCATAAGTGAGATCTGGGCTGACGTCCATCGGTACACCCGGAGTTAAGAGCTAACTGGTTGGAAGAGGTTATCAACAACAAGAGGGATACTCCAAGTTTGAGACACTTGGCTCTCTTTACTGGCTCAAGCTGATCCATAATCTCATCTCACTCGGTCAGCATATCTGCTGGATTTCGCTTAAATCGAAACCTATCAAAGGGTTCAAATAAGGTGAGAAAATAGAGTAGATGACGATGCATGCCCAGGAATGGATTAACTGCAGATCTTAAACAAGCCGGTACTAATGTACCGCCAACCAAGTCTTGAAACAGCCACTGTTTTCTTTTTGTCTGCAGCCTGGTAACGTTATTTGCTGTAAGATGAAAATTATTTCCGCATTGCCTGTTGACGCCAGCGGACGAATGGCGGACAAACTCGGCGGAGTTGGTAAGCGCATGGACTCTTGTGAGGGCGGCTCTGTTGGCATTGCTGACATATTGGCTCCTTTGATATTATCCAGGGAGGGACGTATCCGGTAATTCGTGCGTGTCTCTGCGGTACCAATGGTACGGGACTGGAAAGGGACAGTAGTCGGATCTCGCTTTTGGAATCTTTGGATTCGTTAAGTATGATGTGAGTTGGTTAGATTTGTCGCCGGGGGGTCTCACATGCGATGAATGTCGATTCTATTAGGCCGAGTGCGACTTTTATCCATGATCTATATCCATCAAAATGCGGATTGAATGTTCCCGACGGATTATATTCCCCATAGGTTTGAACCTGCCTTGGGCTCAGTTGAAGACGATGGTGTAAGTCTAAAGAGAGTTGCAGGGAAGGATTATTTTGGTCTTTTATAAAGAAACATTGCAGATCTACGTCACTTGAGTGCCCAGCAGACTTCAGTGACATGTAGATGACTATGGTCCAAAATATTGGGATTTCAGGGGTTCGTTTGCATGGTATATTCGGACAGACTCCAAACAAACTTAGCATCTAAGGGGGCAGGGAAGAAGACCCGATGGGTCAACAATACGAGTATTTCGTTCAGGAGACAAAGAGCGTCAGCAAGAGGATCTAGCACCAAGAACACTGCAGTACATAAGCCACCAAAGATAGTTGCGAGGAGGCCACTGTCCGATGCTTATGAAACACACCAAGTTATCTCAGATTCTCATTGGGGCCATTGTCGTCTTATCCTATCCCTACACTCACAACATACACCAAAACCTGACTGTGTAATGAGATGCATGTCCATGGTCTAGGCTGACAATTCTGATAAGCTTAGGTCTCACGTAGTACAATCATGTTATGACAACGAAGAAGGGTTCATCTGTACGTTTGTGTATTATTCTCTAGACGAGCCTTCAATTATCTAGGCTTGCGGTTACTCACCTATTACGTGCATGCCTTCTATATCCTGGCATTTTGTGTCTTGCACCAAGTCTTTTTTGTCTATCCTGATCCAGTTCTTCATGTTCTTGTTTCAGCCATTCGCCAGGAGTGGCTTGGAAATGACCCATTTGGGTGGCGCCTAATTGAGTCTGAGAAATTCCGGCGACTTCTTCATTACCAACGGTCCGCCAGGGAGGAGGGGCTCAGTCTCCTAGACTTCAGCAACGGCCTCCTCAGGGGCCTCCTTCATGCAATCTTCCTTCTCTACCTCAGCGGGCGGAATGGTGATGCCAAACTTCTCGTAAGGAAAGTTTTCCAAGCTGAGCATGTACTCGGCCCAGCCATCGTCAATCTCGCCAACTTGGTGGAGGTCGACCTCTCCAGCCTCACCAGTGCGTCCAGCAAGAACCTCGGCGTCGCGGCCATTGTATTCCTTCTTCAGCATGGGATGAGGGCACCAGATCACGCGCATACCCGCACGTCGACCAGCCTCGACACCGGGGACAGAGTCTTCAAAGACAAGGCACTCCTCGGGAGTGATAGGTCGTTCACCGGTGGGAAGACTGTCGTTGATTGTCTTCAGGGCGAGAAGAAAGATGTCGGGCAGGGGCTTGCCACGGCCAGGGGTCAGACGAGCGTCATCGCCGAGAACACGACGATGAGAAGGGAAGACGGCAAACAGTTCCTCCAGATGGTTGGTCTTGACACGGAAGTTGCCAAGATGTGAGCTGGTAGCAAGGGCAATGTGAACTCGGTGAGGTTTGGCGGCAGACTTCTCGTTGGAGGCGCCGTCCTTGACCTCCCAGTATCGGGTGCGGCCGAGGTGACCAAGCATGTCGACAATACCGGGGAGGGGCTTGGTCTTGGGAAACAGCTCCTTTTGGAGGGCAGTGTTCTCAGCGATGTATTCATCAGAAGTGATAGGAAGCTGAGCCCAGTCGTGGAAGATCTTGTTGGCCTGGGGGCCGGGGCGGCCCTGAAGCTTGGCCTTGATGGACCAGGGGAGGGTTCCCTTGCCGTACTTCTCGAGGATGATGTTGACACACTTGGTGTAGATGTCTTCGGTATCGAGGAGGAGGCCATCCATGTCGAAGAGGCAGGCCCTAACGGGAGGGAAGCTGTAATTAGGTATCATGGTCAGCAAGCCCGCTTCCTCTTATCAAACCGTTTATGAATGGGGTGAACATACTCAGTACGAGGAGTCATTGCGGCGGGTATGATGACGACGAATGAGAAAGAAGAGGATGGGTATCAAGAGTTTAATGTGAAGAAGGAAAAAACCAAAGCAGAAGTGCTGAGAGTCGTGAGGAAGAATAAATATCTAGTCTAGAAAATAATAATAAAGCGAGAGTATCGCGGAGTAGGTTTTTTTTTAACACTGGCAAGCAGGTGGCAGTCACTGTTCGAGTAGGTGGGGGAGTCGATCACAAAGGTTCGCCATGGCCAGGCTCGCTGGAGGACTACCCCGCGGCGGGTCCTGTGTAGTGGAGACGAACTGGGATTTAGTGACAAGATCAGGTCCAGAAATAAATGAGCCAAGAACACGGTTGACAGTTGGTAGAATTGACTCAATAATTTCGTCTTTATGTGCTCATCGGTCAAGTCTTTCGGTGCTCGGAACACCCTACCATCGCCTAAAAATTTAGTGACTCTATGACGTGGGCAGGGCAGGTGCGTCGGAATTATAAGGCTCCTTAGGCCTTGCGATATCTCCATTTCAATGTCGGGCGCCTCGTCTCTTTACCGAGAACCTCATTCATTTACAAACTTTCGAACCTCTCGAACCAACATAGAGATTCATTCTGAGAAGATCGCGCAACTTTAACTCCTTTTGAGGGGATTCAGACATCGTTCACCAGTTGCATTTGTTTCTTGATAGCCAAAATGAGCTCAGGCGAACCCACCAGGGACGATGTGGTGAAGAAGCCAGATGTCGACGAAAAGAAAGATGCCAGCGACCCCGCTGACGGCGAAGAGCTTCGATTCACACCAGAAGAGGAGGAGGTAGGTCTATTCCTTTCCTGCCTTATGCCTCTCATATCTCGACGCTCATCACTCATTCTTTGACTCATATTAAGGTGCTTAGGCTAACCCGTACAGGCTTTAGTAAAAGAGTCAGACACGTTGAAACAAGAAGCAAACGCTTTATTCGCTTCTAAAGAGTATCAAGATGCTATCAATAGATACGACGACGCAATTAACTCGTGTCCCAAATATCTGCACTATCCTCGCGCAGTGATCTACAGCAATATCGCAGCTTGTCACATCCAGCTTGAGGACTGGAAGGAGGCCATCAAATCCGCGTCAGATTCTCTCAAAGCTTTGGAAAAGCTTGAACAGAATGACCCTCGACTGCAACATGACGGGAAAGAGGATGGCGAAGAAAAAGCCAAGAAGGAGGGGGATGATGTGGAAGAAGAGATCATCAGCCACGGGGCTTCGCGCGCAGCTCCAGCGCCCGAGTCAGTTAATCAAGAAGTCAAAAAGCTCGAGGCAAACATTCAACGAATTCGATGCAAAGCACTTATGAGGCGAGCTCGTGGCCGAACTGAGGCTGGCGGATGGCATAACCTTGCTGGCGCAGAAGAAGATTGCAAGGCTCTCGCCGCCAAACCGGAAAGCCTGGCTCCAGCCGATCTTCGAGTGGTCCAGAAGCAACTGAGAGAATTGCCCCCACGAGTAAAAGCTGCACAGGAGAAAGAAATGGGCGAGATGTGGGGAAAACTGAAAGATCTTGGAAACGGCATTCTGAAACCCTTTGGGTTGAGCACAAACAATTTCCAGATGGTCAAGGACGAGAACACTGGAGGTTACAGCATGAACTTCCAACCTGGAGGAAAGTCCCAATGAATGAAATACCCTCCAGGGGAAGGCGAAAGTTTTTTCTATCCGTCTATCAAGTCGAAACAAAACTCTAGTTCCTGCAACTTAGAGAAAAACAATAGATGTCCCGGCGCTGTCTATTTTGCCATACTCCAACAATAAACACTTACTATCCCGAACCATGGGTACGCGGCCCCTATAATGACGATGTATCGAAGGAATTCGACCGACTGGGTGGCTCATACCAATTCTGATATGGATGGTTAGGCAACTTGAAGTCGGCAAAGCTCAGTGGGTTGACCGACGTCTTCATCCCCACAGCGGACATTACTGGCGGTGTCGATAGCCTTGAGGGGGTCAAAGATGTTGAGGTTCTTCGCGTGATCGAAGCTCCTGGCTCATGGCTAGTTTCTGTTTTCGGACTCAAGGTGGGCATTTTCATGCATGGCCAGCCCCATCCTTTCTTGAGTTCCATTTCTATAGCACCCAAACGCCAGCCGTTTTTGTTGTTGATCCTTTCAAGAATCTCGAGAACTTCACTTTGCTCGCTAGGGTTGGTGAGTGCAGCAGCTGCGATTGCCAAACAACGAATTGCAATTATAGCGACCCCTTTGTCCGCGGTATGGGCAACGATACCACAGACCTGGTACGCATGGTGAAGTTGCAGGACACGCAGCCTCTCCGAAGACCTAAAAGACTCCGTTGGGTGTGTTTGTAGGAGGATACAATGAGCAGTGTGGAATAGGAGTTGTCCAATCGTCGCCTCTCGTTGGATCATCCTGAACACGAGTTATTGCAAAGCTCAGCTGTCAAGCTGTTGTCTGACCTACCAGATACGAGGAAACACAGAGTTTCCCGATGAGTCTCCTGCTTTCACATATCCAAATGGATGCATCACCCTCGGGCAGCGGGCGTTCCAACCGTCACAGAGCTTCTTAAGCTCATACCATTGCGACAGGCGGTTACCAACCCAGTTTTGCTCGGCCTGCGGGCTCATGTTGTCAAACTGGCCTGCAGTTGCACGAAAGTTCGTCACCTTTGCAACAACATACAATGCCCGGTGTACCCAGATCTGTTCGTCTCCGTCTTGGTTGTGGTGATGGTCGTCGGAGTCTGGAAAGTTGATACCCCATTCATCAGGGCTCCATGTTGTCTGCCAATTTGCTGCAAGACAGTTCAGAACTTCTATCCCAATATTCAACCAGAAGCAGGCAGACCCGATACCATTGCTTTTTGCGTCCCATCCACACTCTCGAACCAGTGCTCGAGACCCTGCTATGTGACTCATTCGGTGCGCAGGTTTCTCGGACATGATCTCGTATACGTTCAGCACAATTGCTGTTGTTGCACACTCGGCAGTGTTCCGATCGGGGTTTTGCAAACTCCTTAAGAGCTGTGTTGTTGCAGTGTTGTAATAGAACAGCGCTTTGTCGTGGTTCTCCTGGGACATCAAAGAAGCATGTTTCACACCACACGCAAGAAGGGCGTTGAAGAGCATGGTCGACCTAAGGGCATGATGCGGGATACTTCTGGCAAAGTATTTATCTCTATTGAATGAGTCCATCCAGATCGCAACATCATCAACAAAGACTTGCATATAGTGGACTTCCTCAGCAGAGGTGAGGATATCGCGGCCAATCAGCTCAATGTTTCGGACGGCCGAATGATGCATATGATCGTCTTCATGGGCGTGTTCATGCAGAGATCTCTCGTTACGAGGTGATGTTCCAAGATCTGGTAGAACCATTTTGTTGATATCTTCGACTGTCGCCTGCTGTGATAAAGGACGATTCCGCATCGCTACCAGTTGTTCTGGAAACGTCTCTGTCCTTGGGGTAACGGCCGAACGTGTCGATGAAGGCGGAGTTGCAATATTCGATACATCGCTCATAATTCCTTGCCCAGAATCGTTATGTTCAAGCTTAATCGCATCATTCGGCGGAGGTCTCGAGTTGTCTAAAGCTCTGGGTGTGGTGTTATCCCGTGTATAACTGAAATACTGTCGCGAACTGGGTTGGAACCGGTCAGTGGAAGGGCCTGCCTCCCTTGGATGATTCTCTGCCCCCAGAGGTATTCCTTCCTTTGAGTCGTGTCTATCTTGTAGTCCTGGAGAATATGGTGCATATCGACCAAGTCCGCCTCGGTATTCGGAGGCAATATCTCGCGATTCGTCTTGGAACTCGACTAGAAGTTCGATCAGCGCAGTGTCTTTCATTGGGAGAGAGGAACTTATACCTGCCCAATCCTCTGGATGTGGTATAGCAGCAGGGCTGTGTAGGTTGATCTCAAGGAAGTTGAGACGCACGCCTCGTTTGCATTCACGGCCTCTTTTCCGACAATTCATACAATCAGGGACTGCTTCATCGCACTTGAGATGCCTCTCACGACATGTCAGACATCCTGTTCTAACTCTCCTTCCTTTAACCTGAGTGGGATTTGACGTGGACATGGAACTTTGCAGAGTCATCTCTCTGGAAGGCTCCGCCGGCATGTTTGTCGTAGCTTGACCAAGGCTCGGGGGTTCGGAGATTGGTGCCGTTGCCAGGTGTGCATGCTGATGGGACCCAAAGTCAAAGTAATCGAACTGAAGATTATCTTCCATCCCATACTGCCCTGGTGAATAGTCTTGCCACTCCGGAGGGAACGACATCGTCTGCTTTTGTTTGGAATCTTCATTTTGCATCGCCGCCTCGAAGCTGACACCAAGCCTGGCGATGTCATTGGGGCCTTTTCGAGCCGACACTATTGTCTACCTGGCTCTTCCGGAAGCCAGGTTAGTGATGTATATGATGCCTGTGATATGATATTTACTGACGTGGGCACGGTGGTTCTGGGGGTATGGTGTAGCGAAATAAGGCCAGGTGCTTTCTTGTCACATTTGAGGCTGGACAACTGGATACCCGCAATTCTCAACAACGTTCCAAATGTTCTAGAAAATTCAATCGGGACATGGAATGATTTCATAACTTGGGGTGCAGGTCACGGCTTCTGGACCGGTTTCCCTACCCCGGGCTCGGTATAAAAGACCGTCGCAGGTTCGGGATTGTCGTCGCGGGATCCACAGTCGGACTAGAGACAAGGAGCAAGAGGGCGGGGTGTGGTAACGAACGACTGAAGATAAGAGAATGAACCGGATGAAGCTTGATGAATATAAATTTAAGATACCATTGATTCTGGGCAGTGTCAAGCTTCTGAGCTTTAGTAACATCTCGGGATGCCCGCTAGAACCCGGGAGGTGCTGCACCATGATTATATGGCGAAACACCACGTAGCCAAACCAAGGTAAGCAAGTCAGTGGCCACGGACTTGTGCTCCGGCTGTCGTGCGAGTATCATCAGCCTCTTTATTCGGCTATGATTCGGACAGCAAGCTGGTATATACTGAGACCATTACACCGAATGGCGTTTGTGTTCAATCCCAGTTCTATCTTGTCTTATCCTCAAGAAAAGCAGGGAAGCCTTGACAATGGGAGAAGTCATGACGCCGGACAGATGGTTCGGTCCGGCAAGATGGCTTAGCTGTGCATTGAAACCTTCCATACAAGGAAGGTTATCTGTCAAAGTAAGCAACACATCTTGCAGGAGATGTAGCCTTGAAACTGGCCTCTCAAGGATATAGTATCTGCCGCATAAGCTACGGATGCTGAGCTATAAGTGTACATTACACATGTGGCGCATAGGGTCGATGAAACTCGGCATGCATCCCATCCTAGTTGTCCTTTGCCCTGCATTGCCGGAGGCCGGAGTAAACGAGCCCTCGTATTAGGATCAATAATGAGCTTCCATCCATCCGCATCCTTCGCTTATTGAATCGCCTGCCAATATTGCTCGTGCGCCGCGATGTCTTTTCCTGCGGCAAGTACTCAGCCCATCAGACGATGTGCGATGCAGCCAAGCTACACGAATCAGTAGCACGGGTACGCCCGAATTATACAGCCAGTTTTTTGATGTGTTTGGTTTGATTGTAAGTGATAGGTACGACAATAGCCCGAAATAACTCGGGCTTGACAACCAATAGGGTGATGAAAGCTGTCTTTCAGCTACTTTCTGCATTGAATGCTGTCCTTGTGTCTGTTACAAAATGATTGATAGACGCGACATTCAAGAACCTTGATTATCATTCAAGATATTTGTCTTGTTGGCCAGGGCTTGCATGCAGGTATATCGTTAGCAGGGAGGCATTGTTCTACTTTAAGTAGCGGCTCCATCGGTCCGTCTAGGCGATGAAAGTGTTTATCGTGACTGTATGTAGAAATAATGTTTCGAAACCGCCAAGAAAAGAAACATGTAACTTTTATACTTTAGAACCAGGGTCCCGAATTAGTTGAAGAGAGTCTTGATGAAATGTGAAAGTGGAAGGTGAACGGCTCATCGGGTGAATGTTCCACAGCAGTCTCTCAGACTCTAACTAAATATTATCAACCCCAGCTTGTGGTAACCTTCAAATCCTTAACCATGACAACAAATTCCCACCAACGAAATGGACTCTTCAACTCCGACGCCCAAATCCATACTGCGTGGGCATAAGTCCCAGATCCACGCCGCAGCATTCGTCAGGTCAAATGAACGTCTCATCACAGCCGACGCAGACGGTTTTGTGGTGCTATGGGACCTCACAATAATGCGCCCACGAGCCGTCTGGCGCGCGCACGAAAAGGCTTTGTTAGGCGTCCGTGGCTGGGGCGACGACAAAATCATCACGTAATTTTCTCTTCCATGGTTAAAAATGAATAAAAATAATGGATTACTGACTCAAGAACTTAGACATGGTCGTGATATGAAACTCATAGTATGGAAGCTTGGCGAGGCAGCGGAGGAACATCTCAGCACAGCACTTCCTGTAGAAAATGTGCCAACACCCAGAGCCCAACCATGGATACTTCATTTACTCGAAGTGAACACCTTGAACTTTTGTGCTTTTGCTTTCTGTTCAAGTGTGCCTGGGCCTGTAGACGAAGCGTCTGAGGCTTTGATCGCCGTGCCAAATACTCTCAACTCAGACGCCGTATAACAACCCCCATCTCAGTTAAAATACCAGGGCTGACCAACTGTGACAGATTGATATTTATCATTTACCTTCACAACATCGAATCCATACCATAAAAGCTGGCGATAAGACGGGCATGGCTATGTGCCTTGCCCTTTTGCATCACGAGAACGCCCTCACGCTTGTTGCTGCTTTCGAGAACGGGTATGCGACTGTACAGCGACTTGGGAATGATGGCCGATGGGTTACGACATACAACTCGCAAGCTCATTCACAACCTGTGCTATCTCTGAGCGTTCACGACGACTCCTTCATCACATCTAGTGCCGACTCTATCGTTGCTAAGCACCCCATACCCACCGATTTATTCTTCCCACTCCAAGGCCCTGAGCCACCCCAGAGCACAGAACGTGTCGTCGAAATAATAGACGATGAACCCAAGGCAACATCGCTCCTATCCGCTGGTCTCAAAGCATCGTCATTTCAAACTCCCACGGGCCCTTCCAAGAAGGGCGTTGCGTGGAAAGATCCCATCAAAACCATCAACACCAAACACTCTGGACAGCAAAGTTTGGATATACGATCAGACGGGCGGATTTTTGCCACAGCAGGTTGGGATTCCAAAGTGCGTGTCTACTCTGTTAAGACCATGAAAGAACTCGCTGTGTTGAAATGGCATCAAGTTGGATGCTTTGCTGTCGCATTTGCTGATGTGAAGATATCAGACAAGGCAAAAGAGGAGAGTACAGCAACCGCACAACAAGAGGATGGGAACAAAGCTACAACAAGTCTAACAAAACGAACAACCTCTCTTGTCAAGGCAGGACTAAGCGTTAAAGAGCAACGTATAGAAACTGCACGGCAAACACACTGGATCGCTGCGGGAGCGAAGGACGGAAAGATTAGCTTATGGGATGTTTATTGAGCTAAGGATAACGCATTCATGTGGTAGCATTTGCGTTACTAAAGATGCTCTTAACGTTTCTTCTTGAAGCAAAAAATGAGCCAACTGCCAAGCTCGAGCTTAGGGAAAGGGTGTTTTTATGGGTTGATAGACATCAGTCTCTTGGATTAGAAGGCCAAGCCTTATTTTAAGCAATCTGTTCAATAGCCAGAGCGAATCAGAAAGCAAGGGGGTAAAATAGACAGAAGCAGCAACGCCATAAATCAGCGTTCCTGCTAATCAGTTCTGTGTTCCTGAGTAATAGGTCTGCTTTACACTGTTAGCATTTCGTAACCCAAACAATAGTCATGTAAACCCACCTTCATAACCCCAGCATCCTCTGGCCGCGTGCCGCATGTGCCTACAACCTGCTGTCAGCGAGACCAGCGTATAAATACAATAGGTTCTGCTGAGGCCCGCCTACCCTCATCAAGCGCGTGGCTGAATTGTTCCCTTTGGACAACTCGTACCATATCCGTAATATCCAGGCCGCAACTAGGGCATCGCGCAATTCAACACTCATCTCGGCTGTGATTACCAGACTCATGCTGGCTTTCTCATCTTCGACTTCCCTTGCTATCAACTCTCCCTGCGCATCTCGCCACTCGTATGCGACGCCTTTACTACGTGAAGAGGACGCTTCGTATAGCATACCCTGAGGCTCTAGCTTTCGATCGGCGCCCTTCACTGCGCGGTCGAATCGGAAACCCTTCTTCTGCCTTAAGAGATTACCAGAGCGGAAGTAAGAGACTCCGAAAGAGCACAGGGCTCGACGCGTAGCGGCTTCGGCATGGTAGGGGAACGTGGGGAACTCGGCGGCAGTTGGGTGCTTGAGATCGAAGAGGTGGCGGTTTTTGAGAGCGACTTGAGGAAGACCGGCCGAGTTCTTGATGACCGAGTCGACACGCTCGACTTTCACGCTGCGATCATGGTCGTGGAGATAGCCGATAGAGTGGGAGAATTCATATGCCGGTGCTTGAGAGCCAGTAGATGAATAGATAAAGCGTCCTGAGATGTAGAATTTTGCCGCCTGAGCGAGGCCGGGTTTAGTAGTGGGGTTCCCAGAGGCCGCAGCGGGAGTAGGAGTGCTGAGCAGGGTATCATCGTAGGACGGTAGATCGAGGTCGGAATAATCGGGTGGTGGAAGATCGGTCATTGTGGAATATGATGATAATTGGCAATTGGGTATAATAGACTAAGAATAATAATGAATGATGGGAACAGACAACGAGAATATGCAAATGTCGCGTGCTGGTCATTCATTATCTATCTTGTTGGAACCTTTTGAACTACTATGACGTGTATCACAGCCAGTATTACCGAGCGGATACAGCAGCCACAGCCTCACTAGACCAGATGGTATTTACGGGCTGATACTGCTTCGCCTCATTATAAGGCTTAACAACGGCGTGTTCTCATTTTCAATACATGCTCCCTGGTATTCTCAAATTGCTAGATACGACAGTGATACGCCAAAACGCCTATCCAATAATCTTCCCTTGCCACCCCGCGTTATGTAGCTAACTATTCCTGAACCCTTGAATCTTCTGCTTACAGACGGGAACCCAAGTTGACGTGTACAGATTTAGTATTGCTATAAGCTTCAAGGCCAGCTTCACCGAGCTCACGGCCAATACCACTCTGCTTCACACCACCAAAGGGGATATAAGGCTCAGAGTCCTGAGTAGAGTTGATCCAAACCATACCAGCCTCAATCTCAGCAGCAACACGGTGGGCACGCTCGACGTCCTTTGTAAAGACAGCGGCACCGAGACCGTATGTTGTGTCGTTGGCGAGCTTGAGAGCCTCCTCTTCATCACTGAACTTGGTGATGACTACCACAGGGCCAAAGATTTCCTCACGGAAGACACGCATCTGGTGGTGGACGTCACCAAAGATAGTGGGCTGGATAAAGAAGCCCTTCTTGGAAGAATCGACAGGCTGTCCACCAGCGAGAAGAGTAGCACCCTCGGACTTTCCGATCTGGATATACTCAAGGATGCGGTCGTACTGTTGCTTTGAGACCTGGGGGCCCTGATATGTCTCGGAATCCCATTGGTGGCCGACCTTGCTAACTGTCTTGGTTGTCTCGATGAAGCGCTGGACGAACTCATCGTATACCTTGTCCTGAACCAACAGACGAGAAGTAGCTGTGCAGATTTGACCCTGATTGGACATGATACCCATATGTGACCACTTGACAGCCTCATCAAGGTCACTATCAGCAAAGACCAAAAGAGGTGATTTACCACCCGTCTCGAGGGTAATGTTCTTGAGAGTCTTGGAAGCCATCTCCATAATCTTAGCACCAGTAGCAGTTGATCCAGTAAAAGCAACCTTATCAACCAGAGGGTGCTGGACAAGAGCAGGTCCAGCCTCGCCTCCGTAGCCATTGAGAGCGTTGAAGACACCAGGGGGGAATCCAACTGCCTTGATAGCCTCGCCGAGAAGCAGGATGCTGAGAGGTGTTTGTTCAGCAGCCTTCATAACAATGGTATTACCGCATGCTAGCGCAGGGCCGATCTTCCAGGCGGCCATCGCAAGAGGGTAGTTCCAAGGGATGATCTGGGCGACAACACCAAGGGGTTGACGGAGAGTATACGCGAGCTTGTTCGGGTTTGCGGTGATCGTCTGCCCAGTGATCTTGTCTGCCCAACCTGAGTAATAACGAAGGGTATTAATAACTTCGACAACGTCGCCACCCTCGGCATCAGTGTAAATCTTGCCTGTAGAAAGGTCAGTGCGAATCGACCAACTTGTAACGTCTTCTACGTACCGTTGTCCCAGGCCTCTGAAGTAGCAAAGATCTTGGTACGCTCCTCAATGTAATCGGCGAGCTTGTTCATTAAAACACCTCGCTGGGGAGGAGGCAGCTTCTTCCATGAAGGGTTGTGGAAGGCATCGTAGGCTGCCTTGACGGCCTTGTCGACATCATCGGCATTGGCTGCGTGAACTGTAGCAATCTCCTTCTCGGTGCTGTTAAGGATATACTTGTTAGCTTACGATTTGAAGGCCGATAGAAGCTGACTTACGCAGGGTCGATAGATGTGATCTTCTGAGTCGACGATCCAGCAACGAACTCGTTGTTGATAAAGAGACCGGTCGGCTGTCTGTACTTGACACCGTTAGGGGCCTCGAGGTTGACATACAAGTCTGACATTGTGCTGTAGCGTTTCTGTGTTGCCGTGATAGATTGAGCGAGACGAGCAATTGGCAGTCGACTTTGAGATTGTGTCAAAGGTCGAAGAGGTACTGAATGGACTGAACGACAAAGACGAACAGATATGAACCTCGAAGCAACAGCAGCGCCTATCTTCTTATAGCTGCTTAGAGACATGGCTGAAGAGGGGTAGCTCAGAACCTCCAACTTGAGTTTAGCTATGTATCTGTACTGTATGTATGTACAATGTCGCCGCCCCCGCAATCAATTGTGTCAAGAGACGATACGGGGTTCCTTTAGAGAGCAATTGATTAGTCTTCTTTCTTTGCCGTTCGTTATCAAAGTCGAAAACATGTAATACTTTGCCTCTTTTCGGTAAAGGTCGCTGCGCCGGCGGGGACCGGCAAATGTTTGTCGATGCTCTCGTCCAGTTGCTGCAGTCCAACGTCATGAGGTCGCCTGTACCTTACCGTTCGAGTTTAGTAGGATTGCTGAATCTGGTAAAATCTGACGGAGCCGAGAGAGAGCTCCATGTCGTTATCATGGATCATGACAGCTCTTATCGATAACATGTGCCGAGGTCGTTGATCGAATCTGGTTGTGGTCAAGGGTAAGATGGGAAGGATAATTGGAAGATTAGAAGACGCGTTCCTTTGGTTCATGTGCATTATCATTCAGTGAGTAATTGTCTTCGTGCAAGACTTTTTTGTGCTGCGCACCCATCGTCACCTTCCCACACTACAGATCTAAAATGAGTTCTGGCTTACATCCTATGATCATGCCAACCATATTGCTTACTAGCTTGACTGAAGTGATTTATCTTTTATGACCTCAAACATTTTAAGGGTTTAACACAGTGACCGAACAAAAAGATGTGATCATTCCGAGAGCAGGGTTGTGGAAGTGCAGAATTGTACTCAGATGTTTGCGATGCTACTGAGGTTAGCGATATTTACATTGTTGTTGGATATGCGGCATCTCGCCCAGCTGCAATAGACACGATTAGGTTGAGCTTTAGTTATGGACAACATATTTGACGTGTAAAAACATGAGCCAACTAGCCGTGGAAGCTGGCACGGGCTCACGATATGGTCGAAGATCACATATGAAAGACGTATATGATATCGCGTCCGCAAGAGTACTTTACAAAAGTCACATAAAGGGGAGATGATTCATTGAGTTTTGAGGGTTTTATTGTTGAATAGTTCCATAATGTATTCTCCTTTCCATTCCATCTATTCCGACTCTTACTCCACCAACTGTGTCCACACCAGTCATACTCCTCTTCAACACTTCCCGCTTCATCCGGGACGGAAATACCACGTTCAGGTAACAGAGACGAGATGGCCTTGGGTCTCCTGCCTAAGTTAATACCACCCACCAGTGGGGCTCTTGTTTGATGGTAATGTCTTCTCCAAGTCAGCTCCGAACAGGAAGTGCTAAGGAGATGCAAGGGTAGGATAAAAAGAGAGGAATAGCATACCTGGAGAGCTGCTAGATGAAGCTGGTCATTGTGAAGAGCGTTGCCAGATCGTGGAAGCTTGTGAATGATTGGCTCAGCGACCTAGTGATAGTCAAAGTTCTGTCTTCCTCGACGTCATCCTCTGTGGTAAACTCGATTCCGACGAAGTGGCCGAAGGCATCAGAGTCAATAGCTCCACTGTGAAGCCCGTCGCTTTCAAGGACGGTGTCGTCCTCGAAGACGCCCTCACAACAATCCCAGCCAACATAGCCCTTGTTATTCCAGCGGATCATCCACTGAGTACTGATGTTGTTAGTGATTGTACTGAATCCCAACTTTGCATAGTGTAGTATCCGGAGTAAAGAGAAGTAAAAGATAGATGAGAAAGTAGATACTTACTTGTTGGGGCCCGCCGATATTTCTGGGAACCATGCAGTGGGCAGGGCTAGTAATGAATGTTGTTGAACTGCATGGTCCCCAAGACAGTGAACCTATGCAGACCCCCCTAAACTCAGCGGGTGGCATCGCGAGTTTAGGGTCATCCGAATGGATGGTGTAGAACAACTGTTGATGTTAGTCAGTTATGGTGAGTAATGTGTGCTTCTTACTGACCTTGGGACGATGGTGCTCGGCACTCCTTCGCCGGCCCAGTATCAGACCTACTACTAATGTAGAGGCCGAGAGAGATGTTGTAGGGTCTCTCACTAGGAGTTAGGATACTGGACCGGCGGAATGCCCTGTGCCTCGTGGTTGAGGCTGGGCGGGATGGCTCATAAGACAGAGAGGTGACTTCCTCCCCCTGGGCGAAGGAGGTTTTGATGGGGGAGGAAATATATGAGGAGGAGAAAAAAGCAGACGGGAGGGAGAGAAGTGGGATGTGTTTGTGTAGGTAATTTTGGCTGGGGGGCAACCAGCAGCTGTGAATGCACGCTTAGGGCGCTGGCCCTTTTTATTGCGCTGCCAACGGAAGAGCATCAACAATAAACAGATGACCGACGGTTGCTACGTAGGGTATTATGTATTGTGTAACAAGGAACCACGTGAACAAAGTGATCTGTAGCAAGTGGAAGCAGGTGGAAGCATAGTCTGGGCCCGGCCACGCCAACAGCACTACTCATGGATATCATTTCTCCTTAGTCATGCAGTCGAGTAGAATAGACTACTTGATATCATCTTGTATAGATATCTCAAAGAAATGTTTGAATCGCTCTTGTTTCCGTTTCTATTGCTTAGTTCCAGACATGAGGTTCGCTCAAGCCATATGAAGCAGATACTGTCAATACACTTACACCCATTTGCTCGTGCACATTTGATTCATATTGTTTGTTCATTATATCTAGTATTAGACTGTTTCTGAGCTGTTGCTGGTGTCGCGTTCTGCCTTGAACTGGCGTTGAGCAGAAATCCGTTTCATTGTATCCTGCCCCTGGCCCCTTGGTCGGGCTGCCACCACCTGTCACTTGCACAGCCCACAGAAAGCTCAGGGTATTTTGTTGAAGCAATCAACACAATAAAAATAATCATATTTGCGAGCCTCGTCCGTAAATTCTATAGTAATTGCACTAAAACCACCATCACCAAGGCGGAGGTCGGCTCAGGCGTAAATTCGTTATTCTATGCAAGCCCAGAACGAGACTTTTGTTGACCGTAAGAATGCCAAATCCGATTGTTACACCCAGAATCTAAGCATTCTAAAGTAAATGCTGTTATAATTTTCGCCACAAGACTCGATCATGTTAGCTTGTAGTATCCTAGAGTCTCAACGGGTCAGAGTAAGGCTCAGATACCCCCACCCCTTTTCCCGTCTGTACTCAAAGACATCCCTATGCTACAGACTACGGTAAGGCATAGTGTGTATATTGAAGCTTTGATCGATGATCAGTCGACAAATGGAGTAGATTCGCGTCCAGAGTCAGCCTATTGATGCATTGCCATGCGGTGCAGCCTACTGTCCCGCAACTACAGTGCGACAAGATGAAGAAGGCTATGTGCGATCTTAACAAGACAATTGGATTTTCAGGCTATCGGGGTCGTTGATCTACTCTTAAAAAAAGGATGTCGGGAGTTACATTTCGAAAAGATGTTGAAAAGAGGGCCGACCGAGTGTCGCTATTTGGACTCGAAGAGGAATTTTCCATAGAGGCAGTAGTAGTCTGTATACTCCAGAAGTTAGCTCTTGGCTCTATTCGTGCTCCATCCCTTACTACATAGTAGTGTGAGCATCGGGAGTCATCATAGCCACTCTATCTGGAATCCAGTCGGTCAACTTCGCGACTCAGCTTCGAGTATGACCCCCGAGGTACCTCGTCTGGCTTTCAGTGTTGAAATGAGAGGGACTATCGCTCTAGCTCATGGAAATTTGCCCGGGGATCATGCGTTGAGAGGAATAAAAGGTTTGGTACTCTCCACAGTGTTGGCATTTGTACTCGATGGTTCTGTTGTACGTAAATGTTGTTTGCGATCAACTACAGGTGCGTGCGTGCAAGTAATGCTGAAACTGTCGAGGAAGTGTTCGGGTTATCGTCGAGTCCCTGTCGCAAAGAAAGGGACAGTCGGTTCTGAAAGATCTTGTTGTCTTGTTGATTTTCTATAGTCTGTAGAAGCCATTGTAGGTAATGAAGTAATGTCAGCTCAGTCGTAGTTGCAATCAGTGGTGAGCCCTGTATTCATTCAGGTCGAAAAATCTTGGCGTGCCAGATAAACTGATCGCAACATAGACCAGTAATGTATATCCGGCTTGATATCTTTCAAATCGTGACAATGAGAATTATTTTACACATTTTGTGGTGGAAGTTGAACGGGATCTGCCAGAATTGAGGGTAAGAAGGGTAAGTTTTCAATACTGTCATGGTGGTGGGAAAGTACGAAGGTGCGATTCAAGTCTCCCAGAAACATCATTCAGCTGATGTCGAACAAGGGTTTCTTTTTTGTTCTATGATTGCTCTAACTTTTCGCTCGCCATCATACTGTTCTATCATTGATTCCACAAAGAATGATCATCGAGTTAGTTGAGGTCGAAAACAGAACAAAGCAACGCCCTTTCAACCTCGCAGAATACGCACTGACCAACCTCTGCATAGTTCACTATTACTTTATCTATCAAGACCCGAGCCTTGCGATCCAGAATCAACCTACTCTGTCATGACAATTTAACCCTGTATGACAAATTCGTTGGCGTCCTTGCCTCATCATGAGAATAGAAGGCATCCAGAAACTGACCATCTCCACACTTTTCCCCAGACCCTCATCCACCCCAAAAGCCGTCGAAGCACCAAACCATACCATAAACAGCAATAAATCTGCAGCATCGGTTCCCGGTTTTTACGAAACCGGGATCTAATTCCCGTTCTTTTGAGTTTTACCGGAGCCGTTTGCTGTCTCCGGGCCGGTTGATCGACTTTGGACCGGAACCGAGATCCGGTCTGTACAGTCGAATTGGGCGGTTCTTTTGGTGACTTATAGCGGACAACACACGTCTTCTACCCTCCACTGCCCCGGCTTTACATATTCATGGGGTCCTTTCCTTCATCATGACTGGCCTTGACTCAAACGAAATCGACCTTTATGGACACAATGCGACGGCTTAAGCATACTCGACCCGGTTTTCTAGCGCGTCCATGTGACGTTTTGTTAAGAGCTGTCGTGGATCCTCGACTTTTTATTTACTCGCGAGACATCCGTTGACCGGAAGCTCTCTTTCCTTCTCTTGTTCTCTTCATCTTTCCATTCTTTGATCTTTTGTTTCACTACTTGAGCGCATTTCTCCTGTTATCTTAGTTATCCTTTTGAAACGAAACAATCATCATCATGGCCGAAAACTACCACAAGGAGGTCATTTCTGGCGTATGTTGCCCCTCAGTCATGATCTCGACTGCCCCTCGTCAAGAGCTTTGATTGCTAACATGAGACGCTCAATAGCTCAAGGACAAGAGCCTTTTCATCCAGGATGCCTTCATTGACGGCCAATGGGTTGCCAAGGAGAACAAGTTTGATGTTTTTGGTTAGTAACGCTTCATCATGAGTACAGTAATGCCATTGACAAGCTAACCCTATCTTAGAGCCTTCTACTGCCACTGTCCTCGGTCAAGTCGCCAACTGCGCCCTCGAGGACTTCCAAACTGCCATCAAGAGCGCCGACGTCGCCCAGACAAAGTACTTTGATAGCACAACTGGCGCCAGCCGAGGTGCTCTGTTGAGGAAGTGGTACGACTTGGTTCTCGCCAACCAAGAGGATCGTATGTAACATGTATGAACACTCGCTTCAACATAATACTAACAAGGATATCTAGTCGCAAAGATCCTTTCTCTCGAAAACGGAAAGACCTACTCTGAGGCTCTCGGAGAGGTCATGTACTCTGCCAGCTTCATCTCTTGGTTCGCCGAGGAAGCTACACGATCTTACGGCGTCACAATCCCCTCTTCAGCTCCTCATACGACACTCATGACGGTCCGGGAGCCTGTTGGTGTCTGCGGCATCATCACCCCCTGGAACTTCCCCGCCGCCATGATCACCCGAAAGATCGCTCCCGCTCTGGCCGCTGGATGCTCCGTCGTCATCAAGCCCCCTTCCGAGACTCCTTACTCCGCTCTCGCTTTCACCAAGCTCGCCATTGAGGCTGGTCTTCCTCCTGCTACTATCCAGGTCCTGCCCACTCGCGACCGTCAAGCTGCTACCGAGCTTGCTACCAACCCTCTCGTCAAGAAGATCTCTTTCACTGGCTCCACTGGTGTTGGCAAGTATCTTGCTAAGCTTGCTGCCGGAACACTGAAGAAGCTCAGCCTTGAACTCGGTGGTAACGCTCCTTTCATTGTCTTTGAGGACGCCGACCTCGACCTTGCTGCTGAGGGCGCCATGTTCTGCAAGTTCCGATGCTCTGGACAGACTTGTGTCTGGTAAGTCAAATTGCACCATAATTATAATCACATTACTAACACTCAACAGCGCCAACCGACTTTATGTCCAGAAGAGCGTTGCAAAGGAGTTCACTGCCAAGCTTGTCGAGAAGGTTAACGCTCTCAAGATGGGCGGCGGTCTCGACAAGACCACCACCCAAGGACCTCTCGTCAACAAGTCCGCCGTCGACAAGGTCAAGGAGCACATTGCCGATGCCACATCCAAGGGCGCCAAGGTCGCTACCGGCGGCTCTACCCCCGACAGCCCCGGTTTCTTCCACCAACCCACAGTCCTTACTGGCGTGACACAAGAGATGGCTGTCGCCAAGGACGAGACTTTCGGTCCCCTGGCCCCTATCTTCGAGTTCGACACAGAGGAGGACGCCATCCGTCTGGCCAACGACACCGAGTTCGGTCTTGCCGGATACTTCTTCTCCAAGGACATCAGCCGTGTTATGCGTGTTGCCCACAAGATGCAAGTCGGTATGGTTGGTGCCAACACAGGCAAGATCAGTGCTGCTGAGGCTCCTTTCGGTGGTGTCAAGGAGAGCGGTTACGGAAAGGAGGGCAGTCTGTACGGTATGGCTGAGTACCAAAACATCAAGTCCATCACCATTGGTAACCTCAACATCTAGAGTGTGAGTTGCATGACGAGGAACGAGAGAAGATGCGAAAGAAAAAAATGGAGGAGTTTGTCTATTTAGCCATGATCAATAATGACGAGGCGAAAGGTCTCATAGGATAACGATTGGGATCAGTACTATATACGGTCCCCAAAATACAAAACAGTAAAATTGCTTTAATTGTTGCCATCTTTCCTCTGTTCTAAACGCTGTATATCTTTACACAAAAGATTATTTGATCTGCACCTGTGCGTTTTCCCTCCTCGTGATGGTAGTGATTCTAGACACTACTAACTGATTGCATGGGTATTTGGTAACTCATGTAATACACCAGCTTATAGACAGTTATGCGATAGCTTTGGCTCGGAACCACCAGAGCCTTTCTATGTGTCACCAGTAACCAACGAGGTTCCATAGCGACATATTTTAACGGCTATCTTTATTCTCCCCGCATGTTGGTCTCTAAGAAGAACTCATTCAGAAAATAATTGTCTTCGATCTCGATCCTGGACATCCCATTGGCTCCATTCCTATGCTATGGTTAAATTATTCGCTTCTATTCAGCCTACCCTGCATAAGCTGCCTTGAAGCATCGCTCGCATCATTGGATTACACCAAATCATTGCATGAGAACGAAACACCGTCTCTGAATAGCCGTCAGACGTACTCTTGACTTTTCGCATTTCTCGCCGAAATTTGGGTATTTCTTGACTGGCTTCCCATCAAGCATTGAACTAACCCCAGACTCAGACTTCTATCCTTCCTCATCGCAACACAACGATACACCATCATGACTATCAATCATACAAACACCGAGTTTCTCTCGCAACAAGACCAAGAACGAACTTTCAAACAATCAACTACCCCTTTGCTAGATACATTTGAATCGCTTTGTTCCCAAAACGCTACCAACGAAGAGTACCCACTCGCAGAGGACATCCAGTGCAACGTCCCCATCTACAATCTTGCCGAGTACTCAACCTTGACTGAAGACCAAAAGTCTGCTCTTCAGGATGAATGGTACAAGGTCCTTCTGTACGGACCTGGTGTTTTCGTCACTGCCAATCTCTACGAAGACCTGGACGTGATCAATAAATCAACAGCGGCCTTTGGCGACATCATCAAAAAAGAAAGTGAGAGCGCAAAAACAGCCGGCGACCATTTCGCTAGTGCTGGCAAGAATGATCGAATCTGGAACTCGTTCAGCAAGCACGGCCTCCAAGATCCTGAGTCTTTCTTCCGATACTTCTCAAACCCTTACCTCGACCTCATTTTTGCTTCATGGCTTGGTCCCGGATACCGCATCACAACTCAAGTCAACAACGTTCGGCCTGGAGGACAACCACAGGTTTCCCACCGCGACTATCATCTGGGTTTCATGTCCGCAGAAAGTTGTGGAAGATATCCTCGAGCTATGCAAGTTGCTAGCCAGTGTTTGACTCTACAAGGCGCTGTGGCACATGTCGACATGCCTCTCGAGAGCGGCCCAACAAGGCTATTACCCTTCAGCCAAGCCTTTGCTCCTGGGTATATGGCGTACCGCCTTCCCGAGTTTAACCAATTCTTTCTGGACAACTATATCTCACTCCCACTGAAGAAAGGCGATGGCTTATGGTTCAACCCAGCCCTGTTTCATGCAGCAGGCGAGAACAAATCTGTGGATGTCAATCGGCTTGTGAACCTCTTTCAGATAAGCAGTGCTTTTGGAAAACCAATGGAGACAGTTGATGCGCTACCCTTGGTGGAGAGTACATGGGATGTTTTGTCCTCCTCCTACAAGGAACACGGGCTGAGCGACGAGATTGAAATGTTCGTCTCTGCTGTTGGAGAAGGTTATCCTTTCCCGACCAATCTTGACAATAACCCACCGAAGAGCGAAAACATGGCTCCCGATTCGGAACAAAATGTTATCAGAGATGCCTTAGTAAAGGGGAAGACCACGGCAGAGATTTTGGTTGCTCTTGCAGAGTTTCGGACAAAGATCAAAGCTTAGATGCATCAAAAGAGGGTACAAATGTCAACACAAGCTAGTTCGCCTGTTATATTAATATTACTATCATACAGTACTTATACAGGTACTAGTGCTGCCTACGTGAAGTTTTACACTATAGGGCTCGTTCGAATGAAGATAGACTTGACAGTCTTCTTTAGATGTCCGCGGAAGCTGTCAAATGTGACTGGGTCGTGACCCTCTAGCCATCGACAACTGACCGAGATGGAATCCTTTTCAAACCGCACAGACACCCTAAAACCAAAGACGCACTCTGCTGTCTCAGAATTGGCATCTTGTACCTCTCCTCTCTGCTTCATTCTCCGCCAAGCTCGTGCCCAGACACGACCGGCTGCTCGGCCAGTACCCTCCAGTCTATCAGCGTCCCATTCCCAGGTGATCAAGTCAAGCTTCCCAAGCTCAGTGCGGAGTTGGTCTGCGAATTCGCTGACGGAGCCACGAAAAGGTAAATCCGCAACCATTTCTTCTGTAATCTCGGGTTGATCACTATTGGGAAATGTCGCCCCAGCGATGCGAGCAAGTTCTTGACTTGGCCTCATGCTTCCAAAGCTCCACGCAACAGCCCAGCGTTTTGTCTTGCTTCCCTGAATAAATTCCGTCACAGCGTAGTTGTCGATTTTATTCTCTTTCAGCTTACGCACAAATGCGAGTAGGCTCGTGCGGAAGCCGAACATGGATGTGTACCACTGCACGCGCTCTTGAAGGACGAGAGACTCTTTGAGCATACGCCCAACAAATGCGACTTCACCACCTTCAATCACCATCTCGACTTTGGCGCCTGTGCAAGCCGTAAAGGGTGGGAATGCTTTTTTCTCGGCGCTTTCAACAAGCTCTTGCTCGGATTTGTAAAAGGGAGGGTTACACATTGTGAATGCGATACGGTGAACATTCAGATCATCTAGTGGGATGAGACTGTCTGTGTTTTCCCGCTGAACAACGTTGATCCTCTCGTCAAGATTGTTCAAAGTCACGTTTTTGCGAGCATACTCGAGACTTTTGGGGTCGATGTCTGTTTTTGTTAGTTGAAAGTTGATTGTGGCGACCGGATGGTTTACCTGTAGCGATAAAGTTCCAAGTATTGCGCTCTGTGCAACCCAGCAGCGGGTAGATACAACTTGCGCCAGTGCCTATATCACAGCCAACAACATCCCGAGCTTGCTTTTCGTATGAAGAAGTGTCAAGAAGACCCTTCAACCAAAGTATGTAGTTGTTTCGATTGGTGACCTATAAGACGCGTTAGATATGAAGACGCGTCAAAGTAGTAGCAGAAACTTACAGGTGGGCACAGTCGGTCATTGGGAAGCTCAAGCTGCAATCCAAAGTCGATCTTGAGAAGTGTTTTTGTCAACTGCATAACACATTCTGGATCGTTGAAGAAGTCAGTCTTGTGCTGATTCCATCTAGTGTTATATTAGCTCGGCTTGTCAAGTCTGATTATGGGAGACTTACAATCGTGCAAAGTCTGCATCTTGGAGAGCAAGCTGTTGGAAATCGGGTGCTTTGGCATATAGTTCAGCGTAGTGACGATCTCGAGCTACATCATCCTTCGCCGGGCCTGTCAGGGTACTGTTCGTGGCTGTTGGTTGGCTCGTATCACCATTGTCGACAGGGTGTCTGTAGCCCGCAAGGTCTTGCGAAGCTTTCCTCTTTTCACCCATCTTTGACGGCTGAGAGTGATGAGTGATGAAATTGTACGGTACTAAGTGCGCATCCTCACACTTTCCCTGGTAGGTCTGTGTAAATTTTGACGTCGATTAATCTTTGAGAGGTTGATGAAAATGATGAGTTTGCTCAGGGCAGTCACGGTGCACGTAAGAACCTATTATGTGAATATAGATAGGCACTGAAAGGCCTTGTAATTTAGCGACACTTTAGAAGTCGCAACCTCGGAACAATCATGTTGTCCATCATCGAAAACAATCTCATCAAGGGGTGCATTATATTCAAACAAAGACCCAAATACACTAAGGAAATATACATTCATATTCTTGACAATCATGAACAAAACAAATGAAATCGCGTCGGCGTCGTTGAAATCGTGTCATCGTCTTATGTACGGCATTCCACTCTGAATCTCATCAATCATTACCACAGAAGAACCCTCCATCGCCAGCCCTCAAGAGTCTTCATGTCCTTGTCATCAATATCCGGGTCGCCTTGCTCGATTCTTGAAGCAAGCTTCTTGATTCGCTTCTGTACAGTTCGGGCGACACGGATAGACACCTCGTTGGAAAACACAAACAGCACGGCAAACACGAGGAAGGCCAGCTTGGCGAAGCGGCCTTTGCCAAGTATGCCGCTCTTGATATGATCGAGAAGACCCTTTGACTTTTGAAAGGCATACTCTGTGTCGTTGGCTGCTAATTGAGAATCTTCGTCGTCTTCGTTTCGGCGCCAGAAGCGGCGGATCATGGGAATAAAAGTGGCACTATTTGGTCAGTTAGCCCTTAAAAAAGGTCAGTTCAGAGGGCTAAACACTTACATGGCTCCTCCGACGATCCATCTTCGCCAGCGATGGTTTTCGGCTTCTTTGGCGATACTACGCACCTCACTTTGCAAAACCCTCAAGTCATTCAAGACAAAAGTCGTCTGATTGCGAAGACGAGTTTCAAGCTCATAAGCGGACATGGAAGCATCACCACTTCGTCGCTGGCGCTGCAAGGTTATGTATTCTCGCAGATTGAACTGGCAATTCGTTCGGAGTTCCCGAAGCTCTCCCAAGTCAGCCGGGATGTTAGCAGGTACCATCTGATGAGGCGGCTTGATTGCGCTGGCCATGGTCCCGGGATGATTGGGGAGATAGGACTCAGATACCGGGCGCATTGGGAGATCATTGGGTCCAGTCTGAGGGCCGCTGACAGGAGGATAATTCTGAGGGTTATACTGCGATTCAAACTGTTGAGGGTTGTAGCCTGGTCGGTAGTAGTCCTGAGCATTGAAGTTTTGAGTGCCAAACTGCTGAGATCCGTACTGAGCTTCAGGGCCTGGATATGACTTTGCTCTCTCTGGGCCTCGCTCATACCCACGATCGCGATCAGCACGATCACGTTCGCGCTCCCGGTCTCGCGTAGGAGAAGGACTGCGGACGGGTTGAGGATCCAGAGATCGAAGAGGCGACTTGTTTGACTTGCGAGATTCATCCATGATGGGCGCTTATTCTCAGCAGAGACAGAACAAAGATGTCAATGGCAGTGTTACCTAACAAGGGGATGATATTGAGGCCCAAAGATGATCGCAAAAGGAGAGGCGAAAATTTAGCTTAAAGTATTCAGGTAAGAAAAAAGTAGACTATTACCCTTTCATGCATGTGCGTGCTGGCTTTATCGGCGAGAGAGAGGCTGGGCTGAATAAAAGAGGCCAGCCCATGACGCTCAGACGAGCAAGGATAGGCATAGGTTGGGCGCGTATGTGGGGTGATGAATGGAATAACGAGGTTGGGGGAGACGGAAGACGGGTCAGAATAGGGACTGGAGTGAGATATGCAACAAGTGAGTGATATTATTAGCAACTACTGAAAGCTAAATAGGCTATTCCTTTTCTCTTTTCGTCGTTTCTGTTCCTGATGGCAGCTGACTTGACTAATATCCTAATGCTCTATACATGCGGTGTGCCATCCCATCAATACCCTCGACAGGCAATGCACGTCTCATGTCTCGTAAAAGCTGATCCTGGACCTCAGGGTCGAACCGTTCCCAGATTCTACAGACCTGCCGCGTCAAATCTGGTCGTCCAGTGCGGAAAATGCCGGCAAAGGCTTCAAAGAGAATAGTCGTCTCATCCCAACCCAGAATGTTGTGAACATCACGGATGAGGCCTTCGAAAAAGTCTAGAATCTCGACCAAAAGCATGTCTGAACATCCTAGTCCTCGCTCATTGTCGAGTACCACGCACAGGGCATGCATCATGCCGGCCCAGCGAGTTACGGCATAGTCGCGAGCTGGGTCGTCTTCGATTTCCAGCTCAGCGACACCAAACATGTCAATTACACCAGTTCGTGAAAAGTCTCGAAGGTGGCGAAACAGAAAGTGCAATGCCTGGTGGATGATGTGCGGCGGATGTAGCGCCATGTCTTGAGGCATGAAGAAGCTCCCCAACCTGAGGGTTCCTCTTCTTACTGCATTTCTTGTCCGGGGCAAGAACGCGAATAACAAGTTCTGGTCAATGCTGAATCGTTCTCCGACTTGTCCAAATCTGCCACCCTGAGCTTCGAGATCGTACAATTGGACGATGATGTTGTCCTGTCTTCTATCCTGGCCTCTTGCTTCAAAATCGGGTGCTGGATTGGCATCTCGTCGCGGAGGTTGGGATCTAGGCAGTGGGTCAACATGCTCTCTCGTGTCTGTGACAGAGGGATCAGAGTCAGGCTGAGCAAGGCCGTATATCGCTCGAGCTGTGGCGTCGTAGGTCATATTGCGAAACATGGCCGCATGAAGTCCACGACGTCTTGTGCGAGATCGTGTGCTAGTTTGCTCACGAACATAATTCTGTCCTGACATGCTATTGGAATCAATAGTTTCGACCAAGGTAAAGTACATAATAGCTATAAGAAATTCTATGATGTTATGGGCATCTTATAGTTGCCGGGCTTCTCTTGTCCCGTCAAGTTTGTTCATGTTGATTGCCATGTATACCTACCCAGCTACACAAAAAGCAAGCAAGCCAAGCAAAGTAAGGTCATGCCACGCCACAAGTTTAGATGAACCATCAAACACAAACCGCGTTTCCTCAAACACTCACAATATTAATGATTGCTATTTATCACATGAGTCGGTTATAAACTTTGGTTGGTAACTCGAATTTGGACGTGACGGTACAGGGTGATCCTGTACAGGATATGCTTCGTTTTTCATCGACACAACCACAACTCAATTACTTAAAGAGGTTTCCTTTTAATTGATACCACCTAACATCATCAGTTCCGAAGCATGGCTTGGTGTTTCTATCAAGTCTGGCGGCCGACCATCGCGATACCTGAAGTCTCAGGCATAAGAATTAGGCGTCTAGACGAATCAGCAGGTCTGGGAGAGACATTCCCCCACCAATTTCCGACTTCCAGTCTTTCGTTCTTTCACTCTCTCTTTTCTTCCCAAATACGAGACAAGGCATCTAGTCCGCCGTTTCTACCGAATACATCCAAATATCACTTTGCTATACAAAATATACCTCTTTTATTCTATTGAGATAATCAATTTCTATCAATTCCTCTTGCTCTCGCTCAGTTACCCTCTGTAAGCTGTGTAGCTTCTTGTTAGTGTCCGCGTCAATGTTCTGCTTGAGATCTCACTCTATTTCAATGGGAAAGGCTACTTGGGGGTTTACGGTTGCCTTACATAAAGGCTCACCCAGACGAGTATAAGTATCTCGTCCTCCCCCTCTTATGTCCTGAATTTCGGTACGCTCAATATCACTCCTCTCCTCCTCCTCATCCTTCTTATACCGTTCAATTCAACTCATCCAGACCATCCTGGCTCTCAGCCTAAGACCACTTATTCGTCTTCTGTGTTTTTGATATATATCTGTGTCGTCCCGTTCGCCATCAAAGCCCTTCCCTTGCCCCTAGTATCGTCCCATTTTTGTCCCAGCTGCCCATCATGAACGACCTACCTTCGGCTTTTGCTGCTGATGTTGGCCATAATGTCGAATATAAAATTCGCGACCTTGGTACCCGTTCCGTTACTCTCTTCCCTACTCAAGCTCAAGTCACGCGTGAGATCAAGAATGTCCCTCTAAAGGTTAGTCAAGCGTATATGGCAGATGCATATCTCTTCGCTCACACCACGTTAGCCCGGTATCAATGAAATATCGATTGTTGGTTTAAGCCCTACTATTGACAAACACTCTGTCATGGTGGAAGGCAGCGGGGCTGCTACAATTACTGGTATCAGCGTCGAGTTTCTTCCTAACCGTGAAATCTTTGACGAAGTCTACCCTGACTCTGACGAGGATGAATCTGAGAGCGAAGATGGTAAAGATGATGATCAGCTTCCAGACGTCTCTCAAGACCAGACCCTTCTGGGAGTCAAGATGAAGCTCATTGAGCTCAGAGACGAACAACAGAGGGCCAGGGAAATCGTCGGCAATGCTGATAACCGTATCAAAATTCTCGACGTGTATTCACATTCCCTTGAGAAAAAAGAAGGCATCAACATTAGTGAGATGCTCGAAGTCTACAGGACAGAGCACATGAAAGCTTTCAAAGAACGCTTGATTGGTGTGCAGCAGGAAAGAGAAGTCACGGAAGCTATTAACAACGCCATAAAAGAACAATTGCGCCTGACCAAGCTTGCAGAGAAGGCTCGAGCGAAAGAATCAAAAACAAAATCCAAAATTCAGAAGGCTGTCAAGAAGAAGCAGGAGCAGCGCATGAAACGACTCGAGGAGCAACGCAAGGAAAAGAAACGCATCCGTGAAGAGCGTGCTCGTTGCTGGCCTCAATGCTGCTACACTGTACACATTCAGCTCGAGGTAAATTCCTCTTACACACCAGCCTCGTCTCGCCGAGAGTCAGTGTCTAGCGAGATTGAGCTGGTCCAACGGCCTCGAAGCAAGACGATTGATATAGAACAAACGTCCTCGTGCGATCTGGTTCTGTCGTATGTGACCGACTCCGCTTTCTGGACACCGAGTTACAACATGCAATTGTCAACCGTGACTTCCACGGGTGTTCTTTGCTTTGATGCTAGTATTCACAATACCACATCTGAGACCTGGGAGAACTGTAAGATCACCCTATCCACCTCTCAGGCCACATCCTCGAGTCTCGACGAGTCCAATCCTATCCTAGCACCCTGGCGAATCAAGCTGGGTAAACGGGGATCGGCATCTAGCTCTAGTGGTGTTCTTGAAAGCAGTGCAGAGCGAATGCAGCAGACCTCCTGGCGCAACAAGAATATGGTGACGCGACCGCCAAAGGACCACTTCAAAAGAGAAATGTTTGGTCTCACTCCCGATCTAGGTGGCCATGCCCTATCGGATTACCAAATGCAGCTGATGCTACTCGAGCAGCAGAACCAAAAGAGGATGATGATGGCCAGACAGGAGAACAGCTCTTTGCCCCCAGCACCTTGGGAACAACTACGTGCGCAACAACAGGCGATGCAGCAGCAACAGATGCAGCGGCAACAACAAGCGATGCAACAGAAACAACGGGCGACACAACAGCAACTGCATCAGGTGCGGCAACAACAGGTGCAGCCGATGCCGAGCTCGCAGGGGATTTCCCCGCCTTCTGGTGTTCAAACACAGCAACCGCAGGAAATGCAGCAATTCATGCAATTTCAGGGCGATGGATTGCATGATTTCGACTTTGACGCGTTTTTGTTTGACGAGGACCCAAAGAAACCGGAACCTCAACCATCTCTCGAGTTCCAGGACTCCCTTGTTGAAGAGACAGGCTTCACAACAACGTTCGATCTACCCGGTCTCAAAACCCTGGTCCCCAAGTTCACCGTTTCAAAGCAACGCGTTGCTCGTCTTCATTTCTCCAACGTATTTTTCAGCCATACTGTCGTGGCAAAGTACCATCCAGCAGCCTATCTCAAGGCCAAGCTCGAAAATAGCAGCAAACTTACGCTTCTACATGGACCAGCCAGCTTGACGCTTGATGGGAGCTTCATGGGACAGACCAAGGTTCCTCGATGCAGCCCTGGTGAGAAGTTTACTCTCAGTTTGGGTGTGGACTCTTCGATCAGAATCGTGTATCCCAAGCCTGATGTTCGGAGAAGCACGAGTGGCATGTTCAATAAGGAAGACAGTTCTGTCTATGTCCGTACTGTCACGGTGCATAACACTCGTGTTACTGCCGGAAAACGAGTCAATGTGCTTGTTTTGGATCAGATTCCAGTTTCCCAGGACGATCACCTGCGTGTTGAGATGTCGAGCCCTCGTGGACTCACAGTCGAAGGGCCTAGTCAGCCAGCTGGGGCTCCTGGACGTGACTCGGTAGAGGATAAGGATTGGGGCAAAGCGACAGCATCTCTGAGGAAGTATGGACAGGTCTCATGGGATGTTGCTTTGAATCCGGGCAAGTCTGTCAAGTTACGCCTTGAGTATTCGGTTTCGATGCCAAGTGGTGATGCTGCGAATGAGTGTTGATTCGGAAGAATCACATTTTGATAGTGGCGATGCAGCGCCAATTATTGCAGGGCGATGGCATATGATGTGGAGGGAGCTGGATTAATATCGACACTGGGAAGAATGAACTACGTGGCCTGTTCAGCACATTTTACTAAAGGTTGCTTGTTGTGTGCAATTCTCGTTGTTTCAATTTCCTCGAGGCTCACTGTTTATGATACGGTTTCTGTGGATTACTTATATAGATGCAGTCTGTTTTTATCTGGCTTGATATAGTCACCAGTATTGACAGGTTTTATCCGTCTTATGCGGACGTGTGTGAATAACTTAATGTGAGGCTGTAGTACTTCAGCGATGACAGATTGTTCGTCGCTGACAATGAATGCTTCTATTGTCTTTCTCCTTACCCGCTGCTCGTGTAACATATGTCGAGTCACTACGTACCATTCCATGAAAACATCCAAGAATGAAGCTTGACAGACTCGACGATTTGATCAACCCTGCTCCAATACTGCCTTGACTCATTGCCGATGGAGTCGGATGAGTCTTACACCTGAACGACTTACCCTGGACAGCTAGAACAGGGAACTCTGGGATTGAATACAAACACCGGAATCAATGCTATTGAGTCATAAGGCGAACAAAAATTAATGGAGAAAACAAATACAGTATAAAGAAGATCTAGTGATAATGATTCTTCCTCCTTACATTTGCGTATAACTGCATTTGATGCCCCCACCTCAGGGGCAGGTATTTTGACCTCTAAACTGCCCCTCCATTTGAGTCAGGTGATCCGATCAATTGCCCCTCCCCCTCCTTCTTGGGCTATCAACGCTGATAAAAAAAATCCACCATTGAGCCCAACAAGACCGAACGAATAACACAACGCTACAGAACGCAAAGATGTTGGACATTGAGGATTTCATTGAGGAGCGCGGCGGAAACCCCGAGAAGATTCGGGATAGTCAGCGTCGCCGACATGCTCCTGTAGAGCTCGTTGACGAGGTTATTGCCCTTTGGCAAGATGCGCGAAAGAGTGAGTCACGGAACAATTTCATAATCGATTTAAAGAATAAAAACTAACTTCTTCCAAGCCCAGTACGGCGTCACTCAGATCGGTACACAAATAAATGGAGTCCAAAAGGAGATTGGACTCAAGAAGAGGGCTAAGGAGGATGCGACCGACCTGCTCAAGCAGAAGGAGGAGTTGACAGAGAAGAAGAAGGTCCAGGAGGAGCTCGCTGCGGCCAAGAACGCTGAGCTCAAGGTCAAGGCCAAGCTCGTCGGAAACTACGTCCACGACTCCGTACACGTCAGCGAGAACGAGGACAACAACACCATCGAGAGAACCTGGGCGCCCGAGACCTTTGACAAGACCAAGCAAGCCGCTCTCTCCCACCACGATGTGCTCCTGCGACTTGGAGGATACGACCCCGTCCGAGGTGTCAAGCTAGTAGGCCACCGAGGTTACTGCCTGACTGGCTACGGAATGTTCTTGTGAGTTGGGTAGCGAGGAAGATAACGGCATTATTCTAACATTGACAGGAACCTGGCCCTTGTTAACTATGCTATCTCTTTCCTCTTCCACAAGGGTAGGTGATGCTCGAGTTTTTGCCAACTATTATTTGCTGACGATTTTGCGCGCAGGCTACACCCCTAACCAGCCCCCTTTCATGCTCAACCGCGACCAGATGGCCAAGACCGCCCAGCTCTCTCAGTTCGACGAGGAGCTGTACCGTGTCTCTGAAGGCCCTACACCCTCCGAGTCTGACCGATACCTGATCGCCACCAGCGAGCAGCCCCTTTCCGCCCTCCACGCCGAAGAGTGGATTCAGCCTGCCGAGCTTCCCATCAAGTACTGTGGTTACAGCACTTGCTTCCGAAAGGAGGCTGGTAGCCACGGCCGTGATGCTTGGGGTGTGTTCCGTGTTCACCAGTTCGAGAAGGTCGAGCAGTTCGTTCTTTGTGGTCCCGATGACAGCTGGGACCAGTTTGACCAGATGATGGCCAACTCTGAGGAGTTCTACAAGTCTCTTGGTCTCCCCTACCAGGTTGTTGGCATCGTAACTGGCGCGCTGAACAACGCTGCTGCCAAGAAGTACGATTTGGAAGCATGGTTCCCCTTCCAGAAGGAGTACAAGGAGCTTGTTTCATGCTCCAACTGCACAGACTACCAGACAAGAGAGCTCGAGATTCGTCACGGTGCCAAGAAGGGCAAGCAGATTGTTGGTGGTGGAAAGAAGGAATACGTCCATGCTCTGAACGCTGTAAGTCTTCTATCTATATCTCTGTTTGTGTCGACAGATATGCTAATTGGAGTTTCCAGACACTCTGTGCTACTGAGCGAACACTCTGCTGTATTCTTGAGAACTACCAGACCGAGGAGGGTCTCATTGTTCCCGAGGTGCTGCGAAAGTACATCCCGGGTGAGCCCGAGTTCCTTCCTTTCGTCAAGGAAGCCTCCAAGGAGGCCGAGAAGGTCGAGAAGAAGGAGAAGACCCTCCCTGTGCGAGAGAAGGCATAAACGAAATCACTTGGTAAATGATATGCGATGATATAGAGGAAGAAAAAAGTCGGCACTTTTGTTGATATAGTGTATGACGAATTGATGGAAGAAATGAATAAAGCATAAAGATAACTGGATTGCGCTACTGTATTTGCACGACTATGGTGAGTTGTGTTTCACACAATGAACAAGCCGGGACAAAACAAAGCTACATGCTACAAAACGCCGTCGGAAAATGGATGACAGAATATCGAAGAATTAAGCTCGATACGGAGTACATGTTGTAGAATTGGCCAGCATGTAGCACCGCGTACTCGGTCTCGCGAGCAGTGTAAGTGTCAACAATACACCACCAGGTCTTTATAGGAATATTATATTTAATTCTAATGTTCTTTTGGCTTTCAAGACACGACCAGTCCTTCTCGACATGTTTAGTATCTTCAAATACAAGGCCGACCTGTCCAGACAGGTCGATAACTCGATAAAGGACGAAGTTCCTCCGTAACAACTTACTTTCCATCGAGATGAACCCGTGCGTGATAGCTCAACTACCCGGAAAGATCTGAAGCTTCGCGTATGTTTCAGGAAATGAAGAAACAGGAAGTACAAATATTTCCATCTCAACCAGAGGGATTGGGTGCTTTGGTTCTCCGATTCTCTGATTCCACAGGTACACTGATCATTTGTAGAATAGCGTTACTCACCATGAGACAAAGAACAGATTGTACACGATGGCTGACATTAGACTCCAAGATTGACACATAGACCTCGAGACTGCAGAAAATTAATATCACTTTCCCAGGAGACAGAATACTTTGATTGCTCCATGCTTATTTGTTCTACTTATTCTGCAACCCCCTTGACAGGCCACAAAATCCTGCTTAGCTATAAACGCACAGCAGTTTCTTTCTCCCCCCTACCACTTCAATATCACGAGCTCGCAGCTCGACACTGGCAAATACAGTCAATCACTCCTCAACCTTTGCTTTGCCCTACATATAATGTAGCCGAATGTTCACTGTGCGCCAGGCCCTACGGAGATCAAGCATACGAATGCTGGGCCTGCAGCAGCGCCATGCAGCGTCGTGATGCTTCAGCTAGGACTTCGCTCTGGGCCTCTACATATGGACCTGCAAGTTGTAGAGGTTGCAGATCATGAGGCTGGTCAGCATCGTCGATGACCGATCCAAAAGAAGAACAGGCGTGCGCCCACTTTTGAACGATACGTTTGGCACAAGCTTCCAAAAGTGCGCAGTTGTATGTCCGGATGCGGACTCGCTCTGCGTGATCGTATCGCAGCATCGCCTGTGTACGAATGGTAATCTCGGTCTGACCTTCATCAAGACAAACGTAACGGGGGTTGATAGCTACATTGCGGCTGTCACACCAAAACCAATCTACATCTCCCATCTCGTGGTTGATGTTAAGGCCGAAGTAAACAAGGCTGCATGCTCGACGTTCAGGATCCTGTCTTTTGTTGGCCTTGATTTGTCGGGTAGTAAGTGGGTGGTCCTCCGAGAGGGTTCCAACTTGTAGACGTGTTTTTTTGGACGATCGGTCATGAAGAACGGGGTTGGTGGGTGTGGGCGATGCCGAGGTCCAACCATCGAAAATACCGAACAGAAATCGTTCAAAGTCTCCCATGGTGGCAGTGGTTTGCATGATGGATGCGAGACCATACAACTCTTCCGGTGTCAGGTCATCGCCACCAGTGATGGTAGTTCCAGCGTGACGGTGGTCACGAAACGGGAGGGCATGTTGGATTACATCTTGGGACAGTGGACTGTCGCGGGCATGTCCGTAGGGATGGACTCCTCGCATTGTTTATGCCCGGCCTTGTCCAGGGTCATGCAGCTCATAGGCTGGCTCACCCTCGTCCTCATCGGGAATAATGATAGGGTTGTTTGCGGCCATCGTAGCAGGTCCTAGAGTATATCAGTAATGACTCACTACCAGACTTCAGACTTGCCTTACGGTGATTTGTTTAGTGATAGCAAAATGTGAGCTGATTTGCGAGGGAGATATACAATAAAATGATTGCTGGGGCAAGAGGAAACTCGATGAATGGATCGCGCAGAATAATTTAGGCAGCTAAAGGGTTGTCAGTGATGCGCAGTGATGGCCGTGGTCAAACAACCACCTAAGTGTTTGCTTGCGGAGAAGGGTTTGTAAATTTATCTAATCACAGAGCTTGGCTATGGCGTAGGAAAGATGGAATTTGTGTTATTCTATTAGGCAAGGCCAAATATCAGTTTGGACTGGGAAAAACGTAAACTGAATTATTACTCGATATCTTCTCGGTACTAAGGACTCCCACCTCAACGCCTTCCGTAGTAGTATGTTTCCTTCGCAGTGCCCCCTAAAACAAAATTGGCTACTCGTGTCTGCAAATGGAACATAACGACTCTCTGAAGTTGAAAAAAAAAGAGTAAAGCAGAACCCTTTATCTTATAGATACTTGCAAGGCCGTCTCCTATTCTCATAAACACACTTAGACCTGTCCTTCCTGCAGCAATTGCATGCACTATTTACCCTTAAAGCTCCCTTAACCCCAGTTGAGTTTATGGCCTGCAATTTTGAATATTAGATATCATTTTCATTACCTCGCTTGAAAACCACCCGTAGCTTCGTTCATGTAGTGTTCGTCAACTCTAGACACCCCCACCCATGAATGCAGCCAAGTCGTCCAAATCAAGAAGTTGTCGTTCGAAAGCCTGGCATAGCTCGGGCGCTGTCATGTCCTGACTTGTGGTCTGCCCATCCTGAGGAGGCACGATTCCATTTGCCATTTCCGGACTGGTCTGTTTGATACCAGGCATGCCGCTGGGACCATGTGAAGTGTTTGACGGAGGAGGTGAAGTTGTAGGAGTAGATACTCCTCCTGAGCCCCCGTTGATAGTGGCGATGCCAGGTCGCCGAGCAAGCACAACTGGAGGCTCACTGTCGCCGCGCACCGACTCCGAAACGGAGCGGTTGGGACCTTGACCTGAAACGCTGCCTGAGCGGTTGGTTTGATCGTAGTCCATCGCGTCAGGATTTGTGTCGGCGTTGGAAGAAATCTCGTCCTTGATGCCGCCCGCGCCATGTGACGCTGAGCCATGGCGCAGAGAACTGCTGCCATTAGCAGCCGCAGCATCATTGTTGAGTACACGTTGCATAACGGTAAGGTGTCGCAACCAACTGCCCATCAAAGGCCAGTTTTCGGTCCCATCACTCATAAATCGTAGACCGTCCTTGACAATGTGTGCGGCTGTTTCGACAGCATTAGGGGGCGTAAGGCCCTTGAGAGACAGGTAGGCTACAGTAGCACTGGCGGTGAAGGCAGAGAAGAGCATAAATATCGGGAAACAAGGTGAGTGATCCTTCTCGGAGCCAGCCTCAACAGCAGTGAGCAGTGAGATTGTACCATGGCAGGATGTAAAGAGGCGATCAATGATATCGTGGCATCGAGAATTGAGTCGGAACGATTCCAGGTTGAAGTTGGGAGCTGTTACCTCCTGCAACAGACGTCTTCGGTGAACAAAGACCGTAGCGCAATGAAGAAGGCAATGGAGCATGGCAAAAGTATAACCAGAGCCCATCGTCATATGAAGGTTAATCTGGCCGGGCTTATCCACGAACTGCATCGGCAAAGTTGCCCGGAGACCCTCGATCTTTGCGACCAAATCACTACAGTCCTCCTCGCGGAAGCTTGCGAGTGTAGTAGTGGTAAGCATTGCGACAACGTCGCGCCAGACGGTCGAAGCCAGGACAATGTAACCAAACTCGCCAATCTCGGATGGGGGTTGACCGGGTGGAACGGCGTTAGGGTCGAGCTGCTGACGCAGAGTCTTGACAAATACAGCATTGCCGAATGCAAAGTTGATGTCCGAACAGGGCAAAGAGACGTCTGCAGTGTCATGGGGGGACAGTGCAGAGTATCGACCGGGAGTGCTCGTCAGAAGGCAATCCAGTATGTAGATGAGCCAGACTGTACGACGAAGGGATTCATCGCGTAGAAAGAGGTCGGCATCTGGGGATGGATGGTGGCTGTTCAAAATCCTGTACATCTGAACCATGCGCGCAGCCTGACCCAAGTAGATGTAGGCTCTGACAGCATTGCGTGAACCCCATTCGTGGATAATGATCAAGCACAATGCTTGAATATCAACGAGGTTAGGATGGTCTAGGTTTTGGTTGATAAGAGTCATGGCTTTGGCCGCGAATGTCTCGGCAGCCTGTGTAGGTCCTCCATAGCGGCGAATAAGACTTGGTGAGCTCCTACACGTCGATGTTAGCGATATATTCGTGACTTTGGCTAATATCGAGGTTGGCAACGTGAAGCATCACGACATTTAACAGTGGGGATGCGGGTATTGTGGGAAGATTTGACTCGGGAATCCTCGGCTCAAACCCGGACAGCAAAATATCCAGGAATTGGCACAGGCTCAGATTCGGTGATGGTAGCACCGATCGGTGTGGAGCCATGCGCCGGGCGGATGGGCGAGTCAGAACCACGCGGGAAATGAGACGACGGTCGGCGTAACAAACGAGACCAGCCAAAGCAATCAGGAAGGAAATTGGGCAGCAGGGTTCGGAACTGGTGACGTACCGGGCTGCGCAGGTCAAAAGACCATAAACCAGGGCAGCGTCCAAAGACGCGCTCTTTAGCTGTTGAACAAAGGAGGGCTTGTGAAACGCAACGCAAGCCGGGAAGGTCTTCGACACAACGCGCTCGCATTCAGCAATGAGTTCAGGCGTCAATCTGATAGAGGTTTCGTTAGCAAAAGTCTTCTTGATAGCCGGTCAAAATGTCAACTAGGGGGTGGCACGGCCCGTCTCACTCCACTCGTTGGCAGCGCAGCTGTTTGAGTGAGAGTGAGAACTTGGCCAAGGTAAATTTCGGGGGCACGCCGTAAACCGACGGCGATAATGTGGGGCTCTAGGACGGACACGAGTTTGAGGAGTCAAGCCCTTGCGAATCGGGAGGAATAACGAAACAGACGCGGTGATGAACGAATGGTAAGAAGGCGAGGGACGATCAGACCAAGAGCCGTTTTTGGGTGGCCGGCGGTTAGGACGAAAAGACTGAGGGGCAGGCTGAAGCCTGAAGCGCGAGAGTCTGATGATGAGACGAGTGAAGCGAGTCTGCCGATCCACCCGGGGTAGAGAAGAGCAGAGAACGATGTCCGCCAAACCGCTTGGAAGGCGACCGTGACAATGGGTTACTGTCAAATAGAAAGTAATATGAAAATGGGTGATTATAACCCGCAACTTACTTGTCGGAACCCGTCTGAGCGTGACGCGTTGGAGCAGCACCCACGACAGGCTGTCTCTCAGCAGTAGGTGCGGCGACAGTAGGAACATTGTCGCGGGGGCGATGAGGATGGCTGGCATGTCGCGCTGGGCTTCCTCCTCCGTGATGCTGAAGGCTCTCAGATGGTAGATAGCAATCATGCATTCCCTTCGAGCAATTCTTGCAAGGCGGTCTCCCATTCTCATAAACACACTTAGTCTTGCCCTTTCTGCAGCGAACGCTTCTTGGAATCAGCATATCAGCAAAAATACAGACATAGATAAACTTACCAGGCTCCTCCCGCCCTAAGCGGAAGCCTAGCCCCTGATGAGCTCATGGCTTGCAATTTTGAGTGTCAGTATTCGGATAATGTTATAGCTGGCGGGACACTTCCAATCCTGGGGAAAACAGAAATGGCTTTGTCAGTAGTGCTCCAGTGTGCCGGTGTTCGGATGATGTTATAGCTGGCGAAACACTTTCAATGTTGTTGAAAAGAGAAGTGGCCTTGATAGTAAGCCCCAGAGGTGCAACGATAGAATGCGAAAGAGAGGTTTGAAGAAGAAAACCTGGTGGAGATTTTCCCTTTCTCTTCCCGGCGCGCCGTGCTCGGGGTAGGAGCGACCGCGGGCTCTCGCCTTCCGTTCCATCGGCGGTACGTACCAACTTCACTGTTAAATTTAGTACCGACCTGTAGCCTACTAGGTTCTCTTCATTCACTCATTTCCGTATTTCCTCACCTCATCGTAATAAAACATTATCATCGAGCTTCTCAACAAGACCTTTCACTCAAACACCACCCAAACTTACGAGGCAATACCCGATGGTTCTCTTTTTTGCTGACTGAGAGTCGCAAGATGTATTGCCTATCAAGCAACCCTCCTCAAAATACCAGAGTCCAGACTCAATACTGGAGTGAAGGCATGAGTCTGAGAAGACAATCCAAACGCTGGAAATTATCGAGAGGTTTTATCTATCGCTACCATTTTATCCTATCCCCCGGACGCTGAAGACACGAAATGCATTGGTTGATGCAACCGCAGCAGGGCAGCACTTCTACGAGGCTTTTTGTTCTTGGTTGCTGGCAATATTGTCGTACATAAAACGGGGGCGCTCCCGGTATGTCCGAGGGTTTACTTCATTCACCGCCGTCGTCTTCCCTCCGAACGCTTCACAGTGTGCACGAACAGACCAGCTCCAGCCCCTCAGCCTACCTATAAACCAAGGAACGGAAGAGACGAGAGGTGGGGTAATACCGGCGGTCACGGGGGCTTATCCTTCTTTGCCCTCAGCAATTGCCGGTGTTTCTCCCAGGAACAATATCGGACAATGCACACTGGAGTAGGTAGTCAAAACGCCTGCTACGTCGTTGTCAATCACCTGCACCTACAGCAATCAAATCTCAAAACTTGTGAAGCTCGCTCTCGTGCTACCTCCAAACACGAGCGTAAAATCCAATTCTGCGATGCTACAGAGTGGCTTGAATAGCCGCCTCCGCCTCTGCGGTGGATTAATCTTTCATGCTTGTGTATTCGCCTCTTCGCAGCCGCTATCTGGATGCTATTCGTTCCGGCCCGGCAAATAAGAGTCCGAAAGAGGGGCTATCGGCGTCGTCCGCTGATTTTCTCTGCGCTCTTTTCTCCTCCCCTCCCAGCCGCTCCGTACGGACCGTTTTCAGAGGGTTACATTATGCAAGCATTTCCTTTCTTCTGGAATTCCCTCTTTCTCGCCCAAATACAAATTTGGAAATCTGTACAAATCACTTCACCCTCGCTTATGATTATTGGCATATCTTGTGTCACTTTGGGACGGATGGTCAGGACATGGTCCAGGTCTTGACGGAACTGCATCCTTACCTCCGCCCGGTGCCATGTCCTTCTTAAAAAGGAGAAAACTGTGGGGCCGTTTCCGTTTTGAAAACAGTGTTTGTTGAAACACGGCGACACGGTACCGTGTTTTCCACTAGAATCACCGGTATCCATGGAATGCAACTGTGAAGTTGTTTTGTAGCAGCAGTCTATGTTTCCCTGACGATTGATAAGACTTGACCGTAGTAACCTTTCGGCAATCTGCCAGCAATGTCGATAAATTAGATCATTGTAATGTTATGTATTAACCACAAGTATAGATAATGCCTTAAAGGATCAGGGGCTGGCGGGCTTAAGACAAGCGTACTGTCCGAGATCTGCAGCAGCGGCCAGCTCGTCAAGAACAGGCGCGGGAATGCCACACCATGTCAAGCAGACGAAATAATTAATGTAAGTAGAGAAATGAAACTCGCAGCAGAACATATCGACATAAACAACCCATCACTTTTGCGATTCAGCGTCCTTTTGACTATCTTTTTAACTATGTCTGCTACAGTTCGCCCCCAATAAATTTCCAATTTTTTTTTTCCAACTTGCCTGGCTGCCTTGTTCTGTCGCTTCTCAAAGTGTTAGATTCACATCAGCCATTGCAATATATAAGACGCCACCAACCAATTCTCAGCACGTCTATAACTGTAGTCTTTTTCTGTATAGTGATATCGATAACTCTTGTCTATTTACACACTATTTTAAACCACCACAGCAGAAGCATAGAAAACAACACCAGTTGATATAACATCAGTTAGCTGATAGGGATTTGAACGGAGGCTAGAAGGGAAGCAAATACTTCATGAAGTCGATACTGAGTAATAAACCATTGATCAATATCGACTAGAGCGACGCCGACTCAGGTACTCAGATATATAACAAAGAGGGTATTAACAACAATTATTGGAGCAAAGGGAAGAGCATATTCTCATAGGCTTCTACAGCTCAGCAGTCCACCAGCAGCAATTTCAACAGGCTATCATGCCCAGCACGTTGTTAGTACATTATTCTCACGTCAACAATCAAGCGCCAGACCGGGTTGCAAAGACCACATATAACAAGAGTCTTCAACAACGAATTCATCTTTTTCAATGCGGCTAAATGTGACAGCGAAGAAGGTAACTCAAGTAAATGTCCCTAACACCGACATCGGCGACTGCATAGGCATCTCCCCTCTCCTCATTCTCCAGCGATTGCTAATATCTACCAGCTCCTTACAGCCTTCGACAGCCCACGACCACTTTGTGAGAAAGCCAGGTGTAGCCTCCCAGCTCTGTATATCGTGTGGCTCACCCCAAATGATGAGACCATTTCGCCCGGCCGTGAGCTCATCTGCGTCTATGTAATTATCTGATAAGAGGGCTGGTGACTGCTCCAGTTCGAGGCCATGGGAAGAGAAGCTAAAGGGAGTACCTCGCTGCCATGGAGCCGCTGTATAGCTCATGAGATCGCCAACGAGGTCTTGCCATAGTTCCCAGCTGTCGAAACGGCCTTCGCGCCGAATAAGATTGTCGCGAACGCGAGCAAAAGGAATAATGTTGATCCAAGGGAAGTGATGCTGAGTTAGCTGCAGCGGGGTAGGGACAAGGGAGGAAGGGATGTTTGGGGAGGGAGGATAACGAGTTGTGTCGTCTAAGCAAGGGCCAAAAACAGGACATGTCATCGGGTCCAAAGATATAGTGTTCAGAGTGCGTTTGTTGGAAATAAAGGCACGGAAGACATTGTAATGGATGAGATGGAGGAGATGATCGGAAGGGAGGGGAAAGTAGAGATTAAAGGACTGTGGTGTTGAGGCGACTGTTACGATTTGGTCGAGCTGAGATACGGCGGGTAGTGACTCTTGGAAGACGGTGACGGTGGTATCCTCATTAGTGGAGGAAAGCGTCCGATTGTATATGGTCGTTTTTGTGTCTTTCTCTTGAGAGATACTATCAATCTCGTCGAAGCGCCATCGTAAGACCTCAAATGGATTCATGTCCCTATTTATCTCGGTGCCTGGACCCTTGAGTCGTTGTCCTAAAGGAGTTCATGAGCTTTCGTGTAAATGGGACCAGGGGAACGACTCACGACGTGCTCTTTGGTTCTTCCGGTTCTGGAGCTTTCTTCGCTGTTTGCTATCCTCGGACACGACAGAATTAGGAGCATAGAGTCCCCCCATTTTGATCTGCATTCTGTATTCTCCCGGCCTTGAGTTAGAATGAGGAGGAGTAAAGAGAACTGACCGACGAAGTCCTCGTCTTCACTTAAGCCCCGAGACATTCCTCCTGCGTTAGTGCAGTAAACCAACTGTAAGTTTCCGCAAGCTAGACTTAATTAGGACAAAATGTCATCAGTTCCACAATGCTCGTTTCGATGACAGGGCGGGTTAGGCCGAAAAGGGCAGGAATGTCATCAATTAACTACACCATTTACAGGGTTCCTTAAACATCTTCTGAAGTTAGCGACAAGACGGCTTTCTCTTATTATTATCTCTGTAGTTAAATGGTGATTTGTAATTAATTTTTTCGAGTATAGTTCTACAACAGATGTTCTGTCTAAGTAAATTGCAAGCATGTTGCAGTAGTTGAAAACATGGAGGCAAACAGTATAAAGGTCTTATAAGTCCCAGAACGAATTAACAATTCCTCAGTATCGTCAATACATCATGTCCCACATTATACAAACAAACCTTTTCAGGCGAATCAACTCTTCAGTCATCTATTTATCATGTCTCGCTACACTGCCGTCCACGTCAAGCCGGAAGGCCCAGGTGATGGTCGCCCTACAGCCCTTCAAATCATCCAAGATGAGGGTGTTAAGGGCAAGCTCCAGGGCCAAGTCTTCGTTATCACTGGTACCTCCTCTGGTATTGGAATCGAAACTGTACGTGCCATCGCTGCTACTGGCGCTACCCTTTATTTGACAGCCCGGGATCTCGACAAGGCCAAGTCCGCGCTTGATGGCATCTTTGATCCCTCCCATATGGAGCTCTTCGAGATGGATCAAGGATCTCTTTCCTCTGTACGCGCAGCCGCCACTGCTATTCTGGAAAAGACCTCGAAGATCCACTGCCTTATCAACAATGCTGGTATCATGGCCATCCCTGACCTTCGCTTTACCGCTGATGGCTATGAGCTTCAGTTCGGCACAAATCACCTCTCTCACTTCCTCCTCTTCATGCTACTGAAACCTGCGCTACTTGCTAATGCTTCTTCTGCCCTGCCCTCTCGGGTTGTCAACGTGTCCTCCTCTGGTCATAATCTACATGGCATCAATGATACCGATAACTACTCGTTCGAGCGCGGTGACTACGATCCCAACGCTGCTTACGGCCAGTCCAAGACAGCAAATATCTACATGGCCAACGAAATTGAGCGCCGTTATGGTGCACATCATTTGCACGCAACTAGTCTTCATCCAGGTATCATTGCCACTGCGTTGACCAGGCACATGCCCCCAGACGCTTTTGCGGGGATGGATCACATCGTGCCATTGATGAAGAGCATCGAGCAAGGTGCTGCAACCACTGTGTGGGCGGCAGTCGGAGATTTATGGAAACATAGGGGCGGCAAGTACCTTGCCGACTGCGATGTGGCGAAGCCAGGATCTGGAGGAGAGGACAAGTTGATCACGTCTACATATGCTGCTTACGCCTATGATGCCGAGAGAGAGGGTAGACTTTGGAGGGACTCGCTCAAACTCGTGGGGGTTGATGAGGAGCAGTAGTAGTTAAAGAGCCGCATTTACGACTCATGTACCAGCGAGTTCCCTAACAGAGGCCTAGACATGGCGGTATAAGCAGACCTAGGACGTGGTGGGCGGTAGTTTCATAGAGGCTTCTTGATAGGACGTCCTCACGTTTTGGCCGATTCCTTAGTTGATACGACCCCGCCAGTGCCAATCCACTGCACCGGTCTTATAGTTAAGAATAAATTCAAAGAATGCAGGCTGGTCAGCCCGACGTTCATCCTATGTGTCCATTATTACGCGCAACCGGTGGGTGGTCCCTTGCTAGGACTCCAACCTGTACGCGGGTATGAGTAAACTGAAGTTCTGGGATCGTACAATCAAGGGGTATCGGTTGCATAATACTCCAGCGATTAAAAATGTTGAATAGAAATCGCTCAAAGTTATGCACCGTAGCAATTGTGTCCTGAGTGCAAGTTTTGACTACTGACAATTAAATCTTCTGGTGATGATGACAGCTAAAGTTTATCTTATTTGGCCTCTTTCGGCCCTCTGTCCGCGAGGGCCTTGGTTAGGAGCTCAAATACATCTTCGCTTTCACTGAATTTGTCATCGAGTTATTTTGGCGATTTTAAGTGTCCTGATTGAGCTGACTGTTTCTTGGTTTAAGTTGAAGTAAAGAATCTATGTCCGGAGGTTATCCTTGCCCTTATTAAGACCACTGGCCTTGATAAGACCTTGCCCTCTATAATATAAAGGCGAGTGGTTATCCTCTATAGGCCAAGCTCGATTCTGTCATAAGTACCTCTTGATTAAGCACTCGCCTTCTTTGCTTCCTCCAAATCACTTCGAATCTGCACCATCTTAAACATCTCCTTCGTAGCCATCACCACGCAATGCCTCCTGCGCGCTATATCAACCACAGGCCCGCGAATCTTTGCACCAAAATCATCTCCAGCTAGCAGTCGGCGGTCAACCAGAGGCGTCTTGTAGAAATATAAGACTTCGATGACCTCGTCAGTCATGTCCAGCCAGAATGTCGACCCCCTACCTGAGCTACATAGTCTCTTGAACAAAATGGGAATGGACAAAGGCTTTATTTCAGCGAACTCAAAGAGCATGGCAAGCACCACAACTGTGGGGATAAATGTCCCTCATGAAGGCTGCCGTGTTATAAAGGGTCCGGACATGATTATATTCGAAAAGTATCACCTCCAGTGAAGAGCCAAAAACAGCAGCAGTAGCAGCGGTGGGATTATGCCATCCCGGAGCCTTGTATCTGCCTACACTTTGAAATTCTCCAAATCAAGGTCAGTCATAGGGATTTATAGAGGCTCGCCGTAGTAGCTGCTTATATTCCGATCTCACTTACAGACTTACCTGACGTCGTCCCGCTCAGAGCCTTGGAGGGAATATCAACAAAACAACGGCAACAAGATGACGGATATTCTTGCAGAGTAACACAGACACCACCGCAACCATACCCATCAAACATGGCTTCCAACATTTAATACTCACATTAACCTTGACCGGCACATCCATGGCAATGACTCAATTCCGTGTAGCTAAGATATTTCGTCCCACCATTTGGAACGCTTCCTTTGCCACACTAAACCTGGCCTATGAAACGGTTAGTATAATCAGTGAGGCCTTCAGCCGACAGATAACTTCAGTACGAACTATCATACAATTCCTGTTAGCTGAGTTTTCTCTGATGTCTATATTGGAAACTGTGATATCTGACCTCTTGTCCTGCTCGATTTCGCATACCGCCACACATCCAAGTAATACACTCCATATAATGCAGGCAGGCTCTAAACTATTAGTAAATGCCGGAGGAAACGCCGGCAGGGGCATCAGCAAAGAATACATACAGGAGCTTGCGGGCCAGCGGGACGAGGTGCCGGCGTCACGTTTATAATGATTACAATATTATTTCAAGTTCCTTGCTGCAAGACTTTCAGCATCAACCAGATCCGACAAGTCGCCTTATATATAATCTCAAACACCTACAGGACCAGCATTATAATAACTCGCGTAATTCTTTCGCCTGTAGTAAGTCGCTTGCTAGTATCAAACGGCTTACAAAAAAGACAAGTGCCCCAGGCATGATCTCTTTTCTCACAAGGGGATGATTACTCTTCTTAAGCGCCGGAGATCTGACCATCAAAGAGCTTCACTATTTCGATGATTTGGTTAAAGGGCCGTACCTGAATACCGTGATAATACGAATAACATCACGGAACGAATGAGACAACATTTGATGCGCTGTCGGCCAAGGGCGACAACGTGATCCCTGTTCGACTTGGCAGCAGTCTGCCGCTGAAATCAGTCATGTGCCTCGATAGCTTCGAATTTGACTCTCTAAATGGATGGGTAGTCGATCAGTTGTACCTGGTCGAGGTCAGCGAAGCTGCTTGTCTCGTCTTTCCATTTCACGCTGAGGCCGGATTTTCCAGTGACGGATATGGTGCAAAATGCTTTGTTGCCCGGCTGTTTGGCTTTCATCCGCTTAGCTGATAGTCCTTCACCATGTTCGGCTGTACGCTTCTTGGATTTGGGTCCAAGATCGAGGTGGATAGTGACAGAATCGTGACCATCATCCAAGCGGGCGTATCTGGGGCTAAAGCCTGCATTCTTCTTGTCCGCCAGGCCCAATCTACGATACCCGTCTCATAATTGAGACCAAGGCCAAAGTACACGGGTTGGCCGGGACGTCGCTCGGGCTTTTGTTCATTAGCTCCGGACTTGACTTGCGCAGCGCTAAAGGGATGGTCTTCCTGGAGTACGCCAACTTTGATATGTGTGTCCTTGAACAGACATTCAGGTAGCAGTGGGAATTCAGGGAGAGGTTCGTTTGACCGCCACCCGTCAAAGATGTTGACCAAAAAGCGTTGAAAGTCTGCCATAGTCATAGTTGTACCGGTAGCTGCCGAGAGATCGTACATTAGAGTCGATAACGCACATAGTTCAGAAGCGTGAGGTTTTCAGGAATGGCAATAGTGATGTTGGGCCCCCGATTTCTGCTATATTGCAGTCTTTCTCGGATTGCAGCATTAGACAGATTGACTTGGTCGTCACGCTGGCGCCTTGGTGCCAGTGCTGGTTGATGCCAGTATGCCCGTGCTGGAGGCGGAATTTCGTTCTCGTTGTCTTCATCGATAACGATGATGTGATCTGCCATTATCACGTTTCTGCAAAAAGTATTAGTAGTAACTCAATTAAATGCTCAAGACTTAGCGTTGCTGTAATAGTCAATGTCTTGGTATAGTAATATACCTTTCACTAATAGCTAGGTAGGTAGGGATTAGCATTAGTATCTTGTCAACGACTACAGCATGAACTGTGATACCACGTACAGTACAAGTAATTATGCAAATAATACACCAACGGTGTCATATAATCGGTATGTATAAGCCGCGACGGGGAAGCCAAGGCTGCATAAGAATAGAAACGCGTTGTAGTCGCTCGAAGGTATAGAATAATAAAGCAGTTGGTTGGATATAAAATGATGATAAAGGAATACAAAGATATAGAAGTTAAGGAAGGTATAATATAGCGAGGTAAGGCGAAGAGAGATAGGTAAGAGGAGGAGGAGGAGGAGGAGGAGGAAAATGCCATTAGCCAATACTGGAGAGGGAGGATTTTATGAACATTTGTATCATTTTAGCATCTGCGGTATAAACACGAAATTAGGCAGTTTGGTAGGTCCATTTAGTGCATCAAGCATAAAATACAAATCAATCACCAATTTGTGAGTTTATACAGTTTGCAGCAATCTAAGCCAAAATGACAGTTTCTAGAAGAAGTTTGGAATACTCAGGAAGATTTTGTATTTTAGTTACATTCATGCTTAGATGGATGGTGTGACAGTCATCGACGGATTGGCTCAAAGTCAAACAGTGCTCAGGGTGTCAGAAAGGCTGGCCGTTGGACACAAGAGACGAAATTAGCAGGTGACTTTATGCTATTTAGATCATACTTCTTAGGTTGTTTGTTTTTATACCCAAAGACTCATGGGGTTTCTGCTGTACCTACTAGACAGTCTGGACTAAAGGGGGTCTGCGGGCGTAAAGGATAGCCTTATTTGAGAGAGGGATTTCCTGGGGAAATAAGCTTGTGTAAACTAAACTTGTTGGATAGATGGCTCGTTGACAGTATATATTGGAAAGGTGATGCTGATGTCTGGTGATGTTTGCGAATGACTGGATTGTTCGTGTTACCAAGTGATGACATGATTTCCATTGTTGGTACTATAGAGTCTCCTTCTTCTTCTTCAGTTTGGTTCTTTACGTCTCAAGAAGTCTCTCGATCAGTAATGAGCTTGTTAGATGTTGCAGTGAAGGTGATGGTGATGTCAATCCAGAGACATATTGGGGTCCACTTTTGATGCCGGATTTCCGATTATCTCCACTTTATCGGTCACCTCCTGCCGCAGGAATCTCCAGGAAATGCGGAGGAAGCCTAAGCTAAACAAGGTCCTGCAAGTCAAAAGATACGGCACTTGACGAGCAATTACTTCAAGAAGTACAACTAGTCAAGATGTATGGATGTTCACAATAACTAAACATCCAAGTCTCATGTTAAAAGTAGGTAGTTGAGATCTCAAATATCACAAGAACAAAAGACAACAGGCCCCTCCGTTATGTGATGTGACATGCACAGCAACAACCCTTGACGGGTGATAATACTTACGACAGCAGCCATCCTTGTCCTCTGCAACCACAAACACCGAGATCTGCAGTACTATTTCTGAGATGCCGAACTAAAGGGACCGGCTCGGCGTGCCGTTTCTACGAATCATGCCTTGTCGAAGCCTGTATCGTTTGGAAATGGTAGGTCTACTAGCTGGCGTTTACTCATAGTTCGGAAACCGCTAAGATGATACTTTGCAAGTGTAGTACCTTGTAGTTTAACTATATAACAGACACATTTCTCAAGAAAATAGGTCATGTCAGGCAATTTTGTCTGTATTCTTTGCAGATTTACACAAATACACCTCTCTATTGTGGTGGTTCCTTCTCCTTTGAGATAACAGCCTCCGTATGCACGTCAATACAACTTTCACTTCGACCTAACACCATTGTTCCAACTACAACAATAAAAAGCCACCATGACTCAGGACGAGTACAATACTCGAGCGCCGCATGAGGGCATGACGCCTGGTCAATATGCTGCTACGCGATTCTCGTCGCTCAAACCTCCCATGCACAATGTGCCGAATCCAATAAAACTGTTGCGCATGCTCAACTCACAGCAATGGGCATTCTTTTTTATTGCTTTCGCAGCTTGGGTAGGTCTAAATGGAGCTTCCACACCTTTATTTCACTGAGTAATCGGCTGATGAACAAGCACAGACGTGGGATGCCTATGATTTCTTCTCAGTTAGTCTAACCGTTACAGATCTCGCTGAAACCTTTGGCAAAACGAAAACCGACATCACATGGGGAATCACCCTAGTCCTCATGTTTCGATCGATCGGTTCCATCGCCTTTGGTCTAGCAGCTGATCGGTATGGAAGAAAGTGGCCCTTTGTGATCAACAACCTCCTTTTTATCGTGCTTGAGCTTGTAAGCCACAACCTTTCACAACACCCCTGTCAGATTGCCTTGGCACTGGGCTTGTTTAGAGATCTACGAGATTTGTCCGAGGAAAGTGCTGACATGATATCAGGGGACTGGATTTTGTCAAACCTATCAACAATTCTTGGCTTGCAGGGCATTGTTTGGAGTCGCCATGGGAGGTCTCTATGGTAACGTCGCTGCTACAGCTCTCGAAGACATCCCGGAGGAAGCTAGAGGTTTAATATCAGGAATGCTCCAACAAGGAGTAAGTGACGAGATCTTTCTTTTCGTAGGTGTAGTTGAGGCTAACTATACAACAGTATGCCTTTGGGTATCTTCTGTGTACCGCTTTTGCACGAGGACTCGTCGATACAACTTCTCACGGTTGGCGTCCTCTCTTTTGGTTCGGGGCTTGCCCACCTGTGTTGTTCATCATCTGGCGTCTCATGCTCCCCGAGACACAAGCCTACCAAGAGCGCCAGCGTCTGAGGGAAGAAGTCAGTGCAGACGGAAAGGGAAAAGTATTTATCAAAGAGGGAAAGGTTGCCCTCAAGCATCACTGGCTACTCCTTATCTATCTCGTCCTTCTCATGGCTGGCTTCAACTTTATGAGTCACGGTAGCCAAGACTTGTATCCCACCATGCTGGAGAACCAGCTCAGCTTCTCCAAAAACAAAGTCACCGTTACTCAAGTCGTAGCGAATTTGGGAGCCATGACTGGTGGTACTGTTGTTGGTTTCTTGAGTCAGTCAGTTGGTCGACGAATTAGCATCATCGTTTGCTGTATCGTAGGAGGCGCTCTCCTCTATCCATACACTTTCGTTCGCGACTCATCCATCATTGCGGCTGCGTTCTTCCAACAATTCTGGTATGTTACCAACTTCTCCAACTAGTACTTTGACGTGTGGATGGAGTGCTAATGGCATGCAGTGTACAAGGAGCCTGGGGTGTGATTCCCATTCACTTGATGGAATTATCTCCTGGTGCATTCCGAACCTTTGTTGTTGGGACTTCCTACCAGCTGGGCAATTTAGTCTCGTCAGCCTCGTCGACTATTGAGGCCCGTATCGGTGAACGTTTTCCTCTTCCTGACAATGCTGAGGGTCAGAGTCGATATGATTACGGAAAGGTCATCTGCATCTTCATGGCCTGCGTGTATGTGTACGTAATTGTGCTGACTCTTGTCGGTCCTGAGAACTTGAGAGGCAAGTTTGATGTTGCTCACGACGTGGATGCGAGGGAGATCATGGGCAGCCGACCTATGGATGCATACCAGTATCGTAGATCGGGAGATGAAGAGAAGAACTTCAAGAGGGATAGCACTGAGAAGCCTGAAGTTGCACATGTCCGGGACTAGGCGGAGACATGGCGATGTCTGTGAAGGATTGCGCAGAGGTTGAGTGCAGGAGATAGCTAGCGCTGATGTTGGTTTGAATGATCAGTTAGTTTATGGAATCTCTTGCTGTATTTTCGAGTCTGTGGCGATTAATTGGTGTCTTGAGCAATCTGATGATTCTTCATAAGCCTATTCCCCGCACCGGAACAGTGATAACCGGTTTCATCATTCCTGTCAAGTAAATGGGAACTGCATCCTTTCGTCCTGGTGTGGAATCATGCTTCTTCGGCACTGTTAGTTAATTCCTCCGCTTTTTCTGGGTCGATGATACGAAAAATAGCTGGAGAAAGCGGTAGATTGGCTTTCCCCGCTTCCAAGAATCCGAATATGGACATGTTATTGACGAGGGCGTATGATTCCAAACTTTTGAAGATGACCATTCTGTGTAACAAGATGAGATCAAACATTTTGATGTTATAGTTGTCAGCTGCTTATTCGGTTCAAACCTGATTCTGTATTTAAAAAAAATAAAAAGATTCCAAAGCAAATAGCAACTTCTACGCACCTTGCAGAAGAGCTCTCCACTTAGAGATCAATGCATTCGTAGTACCGACAGATTCCAAGTCAACTCTAGTTAGCTCCTCTCTTTTAGTAATTGGCCGATCGTTTCCAGCCGTGACGTGTATACTGATGTCTTGGGAGGAGAAGGTCTCGAGTATATATATCTCAATGTCCGAGAACCCGGAGAGCTTCTTTCACTCCACAGATCATCCACCACAAACACCTTGAGGGCTATTACCTTTCCAAAAACATTCTAGTCTCGTTATTTTAAATCTTCAATCGAATCGCCTATCGATACAATGGCTCTTACCGGCAGCTGTATGTGTGGCGCTATCGCTTACAAGAGCACCAGTGAGTTGTCCTGTTGTAGTATAGATTGTATTACCCGGTATCTAATGAATTGGTATAGGTGACCCTGATGTTACTGCTCTATGTCATTGCACCGACTGCCAGAAATGGACTGGTGGTGCCTTTACTTCCAACGCTGTAGTCCCCGAGGACTCCTTCAGCGTCACCAAGGGTACCCCCAAGCAGTACGACGTCACTGGCGCCTCTGGAAAAGTGAATCATCACTACTTCTGTGGTGATTGCGGTTCAAGCTTGTTCACTCGCCTTGATATCATGGAGGGCAAGATCATCATCAAGGCTGGCGGCCTTGATGAGGGCAAAGCGAATTTGGATAACAAGATTGATGTCGAATTCTACACCCGCGACAGGGTCTCATTCCTCAAAGAGACAGAGGGTGCTAAACAGGAACACCTATTTGGCAACTAGTTACTGAGCCCCTTCGCTTACTAGATAGTTGATGATATAAATATATGCTCTTAGCCACCTTTGACGTGTTCAATGTCGCTAAGGAAACCGTTGGTTAACAATAGTGGGCCCCGTCTCCGCAAGTCGCAGTGGCGATCTCCCGAACAGTAACCCTCCATCATCCATCCACCGCCAAAAACGTCCCTGCTATTGTTCATCTATTCACTTACAATTATGAGATCAGACAACATCAAAACAGCCCAAAAGTCGCAAGAATCGGAAGGAAGAGACTTTGTTCTTCCACCTTTTAGCCGTGACGTTACAACAGATAAACCAGAAGCCAAGAGATGGGTTGAGGACGGCTTCATTTGGTGCTACGCCTTCAACCATGCCGAGGCTGAGCGCTGCTTTGAAAAGGCCACCAAGATCGACCCCGAATGCGCCTTGGCGTACTGGGGAATTGCATTTTCACTCGGACCAAACTACAACAAGAGTTGGCGAGCGTTTGATCGAAATGATCTTAGACACACCACCTTGAAGGGTACTGAGGCGTTCAAAAAGGCCGAATCGCTGGCCTCAAAGGCAAGCCCTCTTGAACAGGCTCTCATTCGGGCTATACGACATCGCTACCCCAAGGATGAAAAGGACACCAACAATTCAAAGGTCTGGAACGAGGCCTACGCAGAGGCTATGAGACCAGTCTACAAAGAATTCAAAGATGACCTCGACGTCGCAACACTCTATGCTGACGCACTCATGAATCTGACACCATGGGCGCTGTGGGACGTTCGAACAGGAAAACCAGCGCCTGGGTCCGAGGTAGTCGAGATCCAAGAGGTAATTGAGAAAGGACTCGCTCAGGACGGCGGGCATGAACATATTGGTCTCTTGCACGCCTATATTCATGTCATCGAAATGTCGACCGAGCCCGAGAAAGGCCTTGTTGCTGCTGAACATCTGCGCAGACTTGCCAACGAGGCAGGTCATCTTGCCCACATGCCTTCACATCTTGACATTCTTATCGGAGATTACCGAAGAGCCATCTCAGCCAATACAAAGGCTATCATGGCCGACGAGAAATTCGTGTCTCTGCGCGGTGGTGGTGACTTTTACACCATCTACCGCATGCACGACTACCACTCTCTCATCTACGCTGCCATGTTTGCTGGTCAATACGCTGTGTCGATGGAAGCTGTCGAGCGTATGGAGTCGGCTATTCCAGACGAGGATCTGCGAATTCAGTCACCACCTATGGCTGACTGGTTGGAGACGTTCCGCTCAGTTCGTCCGCATATTCTGATCCGCTTCGGAAAATGGGAGGAGATTATTGAAACACCGCTCCCTCAGGACCAAGAGCTTCTGTGCGTTACGACAGCCACGATACACTACGCCAAAGGTGTCGCCTACGCCGCTCTTGGCAACGTTGATGAGTCTGCAAAACAGCGAGAACTCTTCCTCTCCGCAAAGGCACGTGTGCCCCCAACGCGTATAGCATACCCGAACAAATGTTCCGATGTTTTGGATGTTGCAGAGGCCATGCTTGACGGCGAACTCGAGTACCGACGGGGTAACATCGAGTTAGCATTTGAACACCTTCGCAAATCTATTGACCGAGATGACAGTCTGCGTTACGCCGAGCCGTGGGCATGGATGCAGCCCGCCCGCCATGCGTATGCAGCTTTACTCATGGAACAAGAGCGCATTGAAGAAGCAGCCGAAGTCTACCGGACCGACCTCGGTTTGAACAACAAGCTCTTCCGCGCACGACATCATCCGAACAACGTGTGGGCTCTACACGGGTACCATGAGTGTGCGGTAAAGTTGGGACTTGATGGAGAGGCACGTGTCATCAAGCAGCAGCTTAAGACGGCTATGGCTTTTGTTGATGTGCCTATCGAGTCTTCTTGCTATTGCAGACGGGATGTCAAGAATACAAATGGGTGCTGTCGTTTGTAAGGTGGCTGCAGACACTGGATCGGTAGGAGACTGGATCGGTAGGAGACTGGATCGCATGGCGTAGCATAACGACTTGGATTCGAGCTCTAAATGAGTTTTATGTTGGACATGACTAGATATGCTTTATAATCAAATTTGATACAGATATTGGTTTTACGTTGTTGTTCAAGATTGATGAAGCCCCGCGTACTGCTCTGACGCCCACCAGCTTAAAACATCCACTCACATCAATTCCATCCGACAACTTGCCTTCGTTACCAATTTAAATAATGCCACGTCCCGCGAAAAAGGGAATCTGGTAAGATCGGGACAATCTGCCCTATCATGTCAATACTTACTAAATAACAATAGCAATACCTGCCGCCGTTGCAAGCTAAAATGTACCGCACACTATTTTACCAGAGTTTGCGCTGATACCCTGCTCTAGGCGACCAAGCACTCCCTATATGCGGACAATGCACGACCATCGGTCTTTATTGCGACCGATCAGAGAAGCCTACTCGATTTAGTACGTAGCCTGGACTAATCGATAGCTCGGCTTGATGCGACGCTGACTTGGCATAGTTGAACATCGAGAATTGCCCGATCCTGATACACCACAAAAAGCCCTTCAGGATCAAAACATTGCACGCCTGTTTCATTCATACACATCGGACATCTCCAAATGGTATGATCTAAGTGATTCGGCATTTTCATTCGGTCAAATCGTTCCTACAATCGCCCTAGATGAGCCACTTCTTTTCAGCGCCATCATTGCTTTGTCTGCCATGCAAACGATTAAAACATCATCACCCAGTTTTCGAAGAGTGGCCGAGTTCTACCATCACCGATGCGTTCGTCTCCTAATCACTCTCAGCGAAGGCGACCAACTCATCACTCGAGGCATCGCCCTCGCTGCGACGTGTCTCTTGAGATCTTATGAAATTCTCGACGGCAATGTTGATCCCAACATGCATCTTCGGGGCGCTTATTCCATGGCTTCGCTACATGATGTTCTTTCGGGGCATCTGCGAACCGGACTCCTCGGAGCTGGGTTTTGGAACTACCTAAGAGAGGATATTACGTTTAGTCTCTTTGAGAATTGTCCGTTGAAGATGAACCTGGACAGCACGTCGCTTATTATACATCACGAGTCTGACCAGGACTATCTCAATTCCATCACTTTGATCTTGGGTAAGAGTATTAACATGGCATATAGTCAAGACACAGATATCCTGCAATGGAAAAATCTTACCGAGTCTCTAAAGAGTTGGCGGAGAGCATGCCCGGATCACATGCGACCTTTCTCGAGGGAACCAAGTACATCCCATCTATTTCCAGCGGTTTGGTTCCTACAGCCGTATCATGGTGACTTGACCCCATAGTTGAGCACACTAAAAGCGACTGATTCTGATGGTATAAAGCTGCAATTCTTCACTACTACCTTGTTACAATGACATTTATCTGTCTCCACGGCCAACTAGAGACTCTGGAGGATCTAAATATTCTCAATCTCGAGGCAGGTTCCAAAGAACAGATTCTTGAGAATTTTGCCCGTGAGATTTGCGGGATCGCTTTCACGGCAAATGTCTCGTCTGTTCTTGTGAATGCATTTGGGCCGATAGCGTTCTGTGAGTATTACCTTTCATCAGAGCACCAGAAAGGTTGGCCACCAGGAGCATAAGAGACGAAATCATTAGGTCACTTAATGCAATTAAGACTATGATTTTAGGTTATTAATCTTTGTATTCTAAAACTAAGAGGCCATCTTTTTTGCTATTCACTAGCCTTTCATAATTGTTTTATTAGGCAGAAACTAACAGATAGACTATAGGTGCAAGATTTATTCGTCAAGAACCAATGCAGCAAGAGGTTATTCGCCAACTTCTCGCTTGCAAGCCAAGTATTGGGTGGCCAGTGGAGAGACTTGCCAATGACCTGCAGACACATTGGGCAACACTTTAGACCTATGCAGCAGTACGGTTTAACGACATAAACCATTCAGTTATTCCTTTCTCACTTTAATTACTAAACTATGACAATTGGTATGGCAGTGTTACGGTATGTTTTGTTGCATTGGTGTGATCATCATGGTCGAGATCTTTGGGGAAAGGTTTTCCGAGCTCGGGAAACTCATACCACCAAGAAGCACAATCGAAGGTATAAATGAGCAGGACTTGCGCTCTCGGAGAATGATCTTAACCAACTCTCAAATCACATTTAATCATTTATACTGAATCATTTATACACTTCCAAAACTCACATCATGTTGCGCACACAGAAGATCATTCCAGCCTTTACCACATGTGCCCGCAGCTTTGCAACAGTTACCCACTCTGTCCAGCCTGGAGTCGTTCAACCTTCTTCTCAAGAAGTAAAGAACTTGACTCTGGACTCGAGAAATCTTGAAAAGGCTGTGAGACACATGCACAGAGATGGGCTGGTTGTCGTGGAAGATGCCGTGCCTCACCAAGATATTGATCTTCTTAACAAGAAGATGATTGAAGATGCCCAAGTCTTGCAAGCTCGAGGTGATAAAGGCCCCTTCAATTACAACAAGGGAAACATTCAACAGGACGCTCCTCCCGTGGCCGAGTTCTTCAAGCCATCCATATTTACAAGTATGCTCACTCTTCTTTCGATGATGCCTCAACTTACAAAAAAGATCCTATCGCTACGCAGATCACTTCTGCAATGCTAGGAACAAGGCCCAAGTGGACTTTTTGCTCTGCCAACTCCGCCATGGCAACTCTCCCTGGCGGAACTCCTCAAAGACAACCGGTTCACTCAGACGCAGACTTCGCGCACCCTGATCACCCTTTTGCCCTTGTAATCAACATCCCTCTTGTCACAACTACACCAGAGAATGGATCCACAGAGGTCTGGCTTGGCACACACAATGGGTTCGGTCTAGATGCACAAGAAGGCGCTCACGGTGAAAGAGCCAGCGGTCGCATCAGAGAAGACCTTCTCTGCCAACGTGAAAAGATCTCACCTCCTATACAGGCCATCATCAAGAAGGGTAGTATCATCGTTCGCGATCTGAGACTTTGGCATGCGGGAATGCCCAACTTGACGAAGCAGACCAGGGTAATGCTCGCCATGATCCACTTCGCTCCGTGGTACAGAAACAGAATGAGACTTGAGTTTGGCGAAGATGTGAAGCCTATTCTGGAGGGTTTGGAAAGAGAGGGGAAGTTAGGACTGGATGTACCAGTAGATTGGGCGACCAGGGAAGCTGTGCTTGAGGGTTACTTGAATCGAGGCTTCGGCAATAGCTACGATTTTAGCCAAGAAGCTTGAAAGCTTGGCATTTGAGCTTATTTTTGAGGTATGACAAGGGTTCTGTTTATGCAGGATCACTTACATATGCATGGATTGAGAAAAGAGTACAAAGTAGAAACAGTTTATTTGCTATTATAAAACTCTAAGAAAATAGTTCTCAAACACCCAAACGCCTTATCCCATCGTCATCATAGCCCGTTAGTCGGAGTCACTGCTGCTGGAGCTGCCGTCGATACCACGCTTCTTGTGCTTCTTATCCTTCTTGTTCTTTTTGCCCTTCTTGAACTTGTTCTCGAGCATGTTGGCTCCAATGGCTCCAGCCGCCGCAGCACCGAGACTGCCGAGAAGACCACCTCCAGACGTGCGCGCAGCCCAAGCAGCAGCACCTCCACCAATGAGAGTGGCTCCGAGACCACGATCACCGTCGGGACCGGGTTGCCCGGGAGGATACTGGCCTGGAGCGCCGCCTTGCTGGGGATAAGCGGAAGCACCATACTGAGAGTTGTCCTGATGCTGGGGAGGGTATGATGATGAGCCGTGCTGCTGGCCATAGCCCTGCTGTGGTGTGGGAGAGTGGGAGTTGTAGCTGGGCTGTTGGGAGTAGGAAGAGTATTGAGGTTGCTGTTGGTTGTAGCTTCCATGGCCTTGAGGCTGTTGTTGCTGAGCGTACTGAGGTTGGGAGTACTGCTGCTAGAGATATTGTTAGTGATGGTGAGATTTGAAGGTGTAGAGTAGAACAAACTTGTTGAGGATAGCCGCTTTGTTGACCGTATTGGGGCTGGCCATAATTTTGCTGCTGAGGGTAGCCACCCTGCTGGCCATGGCCGCTGTTGGCATTACCGTAATAATCGTTGGCGGACATGTTGAGTTGCGATTTTAGGTAAAAGTGATATAGGTAAATGGAATTTGTTATAATGATGCTTGAGTGTAAGGCGATAGTGATGGGAACTTGACAGAATGACAGCTCCTCCCCCGCCTTTAATACCCTCGAGTTCACTCCAGGTCAAACCGTCACAGAGGCACATTTAGCCTATCTCGGTAAGTAGCTTCGCTTGATGGAGAAATGCGCCTTAGCTGACAAGCCTTGTTCGCGGCTTGGGCCAATGCCATAGGCGCAGTTACAGCCACGCGTGCAAGCCCATAAGCTGAATCTAACCAGTAATGTCAGGGCTGAACCACTACAATGGCCGGGTGACATGCAGTTTTACTGTTTACGTATTGGCTGTGGCTGCGTTAAATGTTTGTGGGGAACTCGGAAAGACCGAGTTAGCTGAGCCACGATCTATCGTTTAATGAACGAGCAGATGATGAGGCAGATTCTGTCAAGTATGAGGTGGCTGTATTATTATTGGTCAGCTATCCATCTATACACTATTAATTATAATTCGGTCATCGGAGTTTAGGCAATATCGTTAAATCCCTGCGTGAGGTTATCGCAGATCTCATCCACAATCTTGTCTTCCATCGCCTCATCACCAACAAGCCCCTTCAACGCGCCGGACTGCCACGTAACGGTAAACACCAAGTCTCCTCCCTTGACAGAGGCGACGTTGAAAGAAATGGGGCATGATGCTATAAGACCAGGCTGCGCAAAAGTCATTTTTGTCGCCCTGACCTTGTCTTTTCCCACTGTATTAGAACTACCATCCCCGTCAAAAACGCCAACATTACTAAGCTCATATGATGCGTCTCTTTTCTTGCCAATCTTGCCAAGAGTCCACCCTCTTATGCTGGACACGTACCGCAATAGACCGATGGGGTTGTCATCAAGTTTGACCGCAGCGTTTGCGTATTCTTTCGTGGCTTCGCTAGCTAATTTCCATTCTTGCTCTGATAAGGGACCTGTCGTGGTTTCGCTGCGAAGATGGACGGTGTAGCAACCTGATACTGCTTCAGTCGCCACGTCATTGGACATTCCAATTGAGGTTCTCATATTTATCGCTGTTTGGCCCACAAAGTTCGTGACGCTGTTGTCTTTAACGGCTTTACTAAGTGCGCGAGCGATAAGCTGTTCGAAAACCCCCGTGAATTTGGCATCGTGAGTCCTTGCAAGCTGCACAACTTTGTTAATCTGGGATGCTTCAATCTGTCTGATCTTGAGCTTATTCTGGTTTGTTTTGGCGTCAAAAAAGATAGGACCCGCTGTCCATGTCCCCTCGTTGACATAAGAGGCCGAGACACGAATGCCCAGCATTCTGACAAGGAAGTAGGGCATGTATTGGGCAAGAAGGGGTGCCAGCAAAAATGACCACGAGATCGTGAGCCTCTCAGGGGTGTCAAACGGCTCAGGTAAAGGTTTCCTTGGTGGAGCAATGGTAGACGATGGAATAGCTGCGGGTGTCTCTCTCAACCCCTGGAGAAAGGTCCGATGGAAAATCACCCCAGTAATACCGTCTCCGATAGAGTGCGAGAAAGCAAAAGCGACATGGCACTGAGTCGGGCTCAGAGGGAGGACTACGATTCTCCAAGGAGGGATGCCGGAGACAAACGGACGGTCCAACTCTGGTTTGATCGATCTTCCAATAGCTTCCAAGTGGTTGGTCCCAATCTCTGGGTCTGAGATGATGGAGATGTGTTGCTCAACATTGATGCTTGACACATGCTCATAGTAAGCTTTGTCGGTGTTTCTGTCTCCAACTGTAACACAGAAGAAGGGATGCTCTTCAATGCACCGTCTAAGAGCGTGGAAGTAGGTTGATGGAGACTTGATATTGATCTCTTCAGTAAAGTCGTACACTGCGCCAATAACTACAGCGTGATAATATCCCACATCCTCACGGGATATCGTTCGCATCTCATTAGGACCTACGTCGTGTTAGTGGCTGTTGCCATGGGCAAGTTACATACATACTCGCATATCTGAGAAACTCTGCACTAGTCTTCATGGTGGAACAGCCGAGGAGTTACAGTAGAGGGTAACCACGTATCGACAAACAGACTTGAAACGGGGTTTATAAGTTCTCTTGCAACTCTCAATTGGCTCGGGACAGGCGGCCTCTCAGTGAAGTTATCCTAGGAAATGAGATGTGGGTCTCCATAGCGCAAGAATCCTTCAACACGGACGAACATTACCCGAGTCAGGTAGACATTAGAAGTGATAGCATCATATACATAAACTGAGACAAAGGACATTGTCTTGTCTTGTTTACTGATAAAGAAAGTCATTTCAAAGGCCATCCCTCGTTACGATGCACCAAAGTCCTTGCTGATCCTGGACATCGTTACCAACCCTTGCGAGTCCAAACAGTCTCGGTACTGAATAGGCGTGACAACTTACCACAAATACCTTGTCTCAAAGATTATTCATCGTTAAGTCTTTACAGTCCCAAACACAGCTAACAAAACATCGAACCATGCCGACATCGCTAACCCCGCGCAACTCCACATTGATTCCAAAGCGATCATACGGAACCACCAATCGCAAAATTGGGTTACGACTTCAGCTGCGAATATGACTCGACGCTGACTGGTTCCAGAATAAACAGGGGCTCAACACTAACAAGTTTGTTAGCGACCAAGACAACTTATCTGGTCTTCTCTATCACATTTGTTAATATCCTCTGACTAGCATAGAGAAAGGGAAGAAACAAGTTTCTTCTTTGTGCAGAAAGTATTGGTCACTGAAACCAATATCACTACTCCACTACAGCGTTTATGGGTAAAGCTAGACATTTGAACATGCAATGTTCAAATGATTCCACATAGTTGACCACAATGAAACAAAACAGAAGTAACCCCGAGGAGAAACATGTTCAAAATAATTGGTATTATGACTGTGATCATTGGTCTGTGTTTCGTTTCTTCGTCACACATATAATCGTGAGGATACGAAAGATCAAGTAGATTTAAGTAGAATAACTTCAATATAAGATCTTACTCGCCCTTTGAAATTCACATCTCTATTCATGAACCTAATTCCTCACCATTCTCTTACTAATACCGTCAAGAATATATACCCAGGGACCACATGCAGAGCCTGATCTTCCAGTGTTGCGGAAGCTAATTCAGGACAACCCACTCGGTCTTCTTACAACTGCCATTCCCTCTCCAAACCACCCCTTCCTTCAAAGCAGCCACATTCCTTTTGTTCTGGATATTGGATATGGGGAAGATGAGACAAACCTCGGCAAACTGCGAGGTCACCTCGCCAGAGTCAATCCTCAAAGCAAGGTCATGATCGAGAACCTCACCGAGAACCCACACCTCAACAATGTCATCGAGCAAGACGTGATAGTCATCTTCAACTCTCCTATACAACACTACGTCACGCCAAAGCTCTACACTGAGACAAAGCCTACAACTGGCAAGGTCGTTCCAACATGGAACTATGCAGCCGTCCAAGTCTATGGCCGCGCCAGGATCTTCCACGACACCAAGACAGATGAAGCAGGCCGGTTCTTGTCTAAAAAGATCTTAGATCTGAGTCGTCATGCCAAAAACAAGGTCATGGGCTTTACCGGCGGCGATAATCCTATCGATTGGAAAGTGAGCGATGCACCGGACAAGTTCATCGAGCTTTTGAAGAAAAGCATTATCGGAATCGAGATCGAAATTACATCCATGGGAGGGAAGTTCATGATGAGTCAAGAGATGGGCATGGGTGATCGACAAGGTGTCATCAATGGGGTTTTCCAAGCTGGAATCGGAGACTGCAAGGGAGATGTCCAAGATGGTGCAGGTCCGAAGCGATCTGAAGGAAGCAAAGAAGGCGAGTGCTTAATCAAGAGGTACCATGACAGACTCGAGCCTGGCCTGTAGGGGATAACTAGACACATGAATATCCAATCACCATTTACTCAACTGAATGCCCACCTTGTCTCTGACATTGTCTTGTCTGCCATGAGTTCCCTGTAAGACTTGATCCTTGGACAACTATCACTTGATGTTATGCATAGTATAATCACGCAACACTTTACCGACACGGTCCGCAATTCCGGCCTTATCCCGATCGAAATATCCTAGAACGGTTGCAAGATACTAAAGTTTCAACGAACAACGGCACTTGAGTTCCCACGTGGAGTCCATCATTGGATTCTCGCTCCCGCTTATTCCCCATAGAATAAGCTATGCGTTAACTCCAGTCAAGTTTAACTTCCGCATACCAACATCTCCGTTATTGTCTCAAAGACCATAGTATTACCACGTGCGGCAATCCCACTTACTCAGGGTCTACAGGGCGTCAAGATCCCACACATCTGATCTAGATCCAGCACCTTTACAATTCTTGAGGCGTTCCGACGATCCCGTCTTTGGCGAGAAAGAGTCAACCGAGCAACGAATCAACGGTCCCACGTGTAGCCGAGGATCCGTTACTGGGGTTGAGAAGCGGGCCCTGGAAACTTCACTTCGGCAAGTCAAGTTTGACAGAAGCGAAATGTGATTGTAGAGTTACAATCTTCTGGTTGTGCTAAACGAAAAACGGCCTCGCGTTTACCGTTAGGAGAAAATGTTGCAGGTTGAGCGGTTTAACTAACCCATAGATGCGGAGCGAACTATCTGACAGATAACCATGTATGTATAAAACACCAAGAACCCACTGACCGGACATTGGATATCTGCAATAACTATTGTGGAAAGATCAACGATATCTAATATAGTACTATACTATACTTTCTTTTTCTCTTTCTTCCCTGAAATTATTCGCGCGTGCTTCTAGTCGATTCGGTGTCGCTACCATTCTCGCGCGCAATCGAAACTCCAACCCAGATCGCGATCATGGACAAAGCAACGCTTCTAACCGCTTCCAAAGTGGATCTGAGCGTTTCGACCCATCCCCGCTCAAATATCACTAGGTTGATCGGCCCGTCCATACAAATTGCCCTTCGCTTCCAGAGCCTCGTCGGTTCCATCTCAATCTTCCTCTGCCTGCGCGCCTGCTATGTCGCGAGCATCACCTTCGCGAGCGTTCTCTATGCCAGCAAAATAGTGAGCTTTAAAGCTTTTGTCGCAGCAAAATTCAGCGCTTTCCACAGCTTCAACATGTCCAGCCAAGCTCTTGCAAGTGCCTGGAATTCGAAAAAGGTACAGAGGTTACGGAACAAGATCTGGTACGAATTCGCCGTTTTCATCCTGGGTAGTGGGAACCTCATCTTCCTCATGCTCTTCTGGCCAGGCTGGTGGGTTCTTGCAGGCGCGGGCTGGGCAGGATGGATGCTCTTTGGTTGAAACTTTCCAATCGCGAATGAGTTCTTTTGAGCTCTCGACCAGAGGCAATACGTGATCCAATCAATGGTGATATATCCAACGCTCAACCAATCGACACCCTACTTCCAAACAAACGATGCTTTGTGACAGTCGACGCAAACCTCAACGCGAGAAGAAGAACGTGTTCCCGCCAGCATCCTTCCGCACTTCCTTCCCGTAGTCCTTTTCGGGATCAAACTCTTGCCACATACTCGCAGGGAAGATGTGTTTGTTCTTCTCATACCACCGCCTATCAACCACCTTTGTGAGAGTAGGATCTTCGTCGGCGCCCTCGAGGGTATTTATATCGGGTAACGCTTTAGCAGCAGCCGCCGCCGCCGCCGCCCTCGAGGCAGGCGTCGCAAGAGGTTCGTGTGGGACTGCAGCATCATCGGTCGGTGTGGGTTTTTGAGGAGGTTCGGCGGTGTATTTGAAGACAGGCTCGCCGTCAGGACCCGGAGTCTTGTTCATGGCGAAGAAATAGAAATCATAATGCTAAATGATAATCAGAAATTATTCAAGCGCAATGCGATTGGTGTAGTAACTTACGTGAGGTAAAATGACTGTTCCGCGAACAAGCATCAAATCATCAACGCCAACTCTGGCCCATTCTCTCCTTGCGTTTGCTTTTTCTCCAACGCCCAAGTCGGCGCCAACCTTTCGGCTCTTGTCGAGAAACACCCATATGAAGTCGCCTTTCTTTAATCTAACAATGCCGCCAGGAATATTGCTGCCGTCGTAGAAGACAAAAGGAAGGGCGATCTCGGTGGCTTTAACGGCTTCTTGGATGGCCAAGAATTCGCGTCGCAAAGCGTCTCGTTCGGCGGCTTCTTTGCGCAGTGCGGCTTTGGTCATGGCTTTTGGCACCATTCCGACTGAAGCATTGGCCTTGAACTTGGTTTTGAACTCGCCTTCGCTGCCTTCGGTTTCGTCCGCGCTGTCTTTTCGGGGCTTCGATTTCGGTTTGATCGCTGGCTCTTCATCCTCGCCCTCTTCGTCGTCAAATGACAGCAACTTCTTCCCTTGCTTCTTTTTCTTCTTCTTCAACGGTCGCATTCCATTTCCGCTATCACTGCCGTTGTCAGGAGTGCCTGCCTGGGAAACATCCGGAGTGGACGTGCCTGAGTATGCAGCTTCGCGGGACTCGCGCTCCTGTTGTTCGAGGACTTCTGCGCGTCGCTTGCGGAAATCGGAAAGAGCGACGAGGCCTACCGTGTGTGTTGATAGACGCTCATTAGTCGTTTTGTTCTGTGGCTTGAACCGAGACGCTCCTGAGTCAGACATTTTGTTGTTTATTCTGAGCGCAGAAGAAAGAATAATGTGTAAAGTTTACGATGTAGCTACGATAACGATAAGAAATGTACTGTGTTTTCTTATCTGATTACACTGTCTATTCACTGTTTTATAGCCTTGAGTAGACAGTGCGGCTAGGGGTCTACTACGGAACTACTCAACTCAATTCAAGTCATCATCAGCACTCTACTACTAAACTTACTCTATTCGGAATCTACTTGGTGGTGTAAGTGGGAATGGATAAGTTAGCAATTAATGGTAGAAAGTAGAATATTCATTAATGACTACTGCGCTGCATAATTTATTGAGGACGATGTTCACTTATATGCGAGGCACTTTCTGCCTCCACAATTGCTTCGACGTCATTCACTTGAACCTCAGCCCATCAATATTCTCTGGCTAACTTTGTACTTACCTATGCAGCGTTTCCAATTCTCACGGCCTACTTTCTCAAACATTCCAAGAAAGGTACAATTGGCAAACTATTCCAGACCCACGATCATGGCCAATGTTGATACTTCACTACCCCCAGAGCCTACTGGAGCTGCCGCCGACTTCGCTGCTAAGCACTCAGAAGAGCACCCACTGAAGCTCTACGGCGGCTGGTTCTGTCCTTTTGTTCAACGAAGTTGGATCACTATTCACGAGAAAAAGATTCCTCATCAATATGTCGAGATTAACCCGTACAAGAAAGAGCCTCATTTCTTGGCTCTGAACCCTCGCGGACTCGTGCCCACACTTGCAGTCCCCTTTGACGCACAAGGCAAAGAGCAGAAAGCTTTGTTCGAGAGCAACATTATCTGCGAGTATTTGGATGAAGCTTTCACTGACGAGTCCAAGTATGGTTCTCGTCTGCTTCCCACAGAACCATATGAGAAGGCCCGGTGTCGTATCTGGATCGATCATATCAGCACCCGCATCATTCCTGCCTGGTACAAGCTCATGCAGCACACTCCAGAAAAATCATTCAGCCTTGAAGATGCGAGAGAAGAACTCAGAGGTAAAATCAAATCCTTTGTGGAAGAGATGGACCCTGAAGGTCCATGGTTTCTTGGTTCGACTCTGAGTCTCGTGGATATTTGCTTCGCACCTTGGGCAAAACGCTTGTTCCTGATTGATCATTACAAGGAAGGTGGGCACGGAATTCCTACAACTGGTGAGGGTAAGGATGGTGATATTTGGAAGAGGTGGAAGAAGTGGTATGATGCGATTCTTGATCGTGATAGTGTGAACGAGACGTGGAGTGCTGATGAGCGATACATCATCGCGTATAAGAGATATGCGGAGGACACTACCAACTCTGAGGTCGGTCAGGCAACACGATCAGGCAAGCGGCTTCCCTAGAGCGAGTCCACCAACAAATATCTCAACTCTGATGCAGTTGGGTGGATTTTGAGCATTTTATTCCCTCTTTGAAATATACATCATCATATACCATAGCATAGAAGTCACTATTGTCTTTTTACATCAATATAAAACCAAAACTTTCATGCTTAGATATTTTAGTTCTTTTCATTGAGTTCCATATCCGTCGCGTCACTGTCTAGTCTTGTCTTCTAATCTTGATACAAGCCCGTGGCAAGTCATGATATCAAAACTTGAAGGATGCCATAATAAGTGCCGTCTCTCTTGCCTTGGTCAGCCAATCGCACCTCACCACATCGTTTCTCTCAATTACGGACTTGGTGCTCAACATGGCATACAGGCAAACATGGCTCACTGCCCAGTCGCTGTGAATTACCTTAAATGGCTGGTCTTTATCATCATGTGCCTGCATTGTTATTACAGAACCCATGGAACAAAAGTACTTTGTCACTTTAAATAAAAAATATGGCCAATAGGTTGCCGATTGTTAGTGGTTTCGTGGTTACTTGTGGAGAGACCAATTCGTTTAATAACTTGAGCCTTCAGACAACAGTGCTGAGGAGACTTCCAGAAAAGAGCACAATATTCACATTGTTGCTCAGGCCGGATGACGAAACGATGCTGAACGTACGATAATAGTATTCTCCGATGTCACATAGGTATGGTTTGACATTAGTACTGATATCACAACCACATATTCAAAAGTCGAATCTTATGTATTCAGGACAACAAGGTACGCGATAGCAAATCATACTAGAGGACATGCTCGTTGAATGTCATTGGAACAAACAAACATACCTCGGCGATTCCGAATGATAATTCACGGCACTTGCAATTTCGTTGCAAACATTTTCCGATAGTAACGCGATGCATGATGGTCGATTCTCTCTGTCATGTCGCACATGAACGTGGGCTCTACCAGAGGCATGTAAGTTGGCCAAGGTTGCCGTGTACAAACCCGTCAGTAATCAATACGTTCATGCAAAAAAGACGGAAACGATGTCACTTAAACGCCTAAGTCCCGTCGATCTAGACTAGAACTTAATACAGGCTGTTAATGTTTTCCGGTGGGTGGATCGATAAGTGCTGTACCCATGTTTAGCAACACCATGCAAGATGCAAGTCATGACCTAGCTGGAGCTGGAGCTGAGCTGAAGATCCCTGCCGAGGCCGAGGACCTTTTACGATTCTGCGGGGTGACACAGCACAGCACAAGACAAGATAGCAAGCAGGGTTCTAAACTAGATCGATGGCGGTCAATGCCGTGAAGCAATCGCCCGATGCCGTCTTTGACCGCTCTCTTGGAAAGATTTGTTTTGTTCTGTTTGTTTGTCAAGTTGCAAGGTCAACGTCAATTGGCGATTGGTGTGTGTTACAAGGCATTGAGTGAATAAGTGACAGGGTGTGTCTATGTTCGGAGCAATATGGAAACGTTGCTACTGATGGTCAAGATGGAAGCCAACAGCATAGCGTAGAATAGATAGCAATACTAAACTTGCTCAATATTCTATCCATCGCCGTTGTTGTTCTCTCGTTTATGCGGAGAAGTGGGCTTGTACTTTGATCGTCCCGGAATAGTCGGGAGTATTGGTGAAGATCTTAGCATGATGCATCAAACCTAGAGTTGCCCAACCTCTAAACACAATTAATTTTGTATTCCTCCGCGTTTCCCGTTACTAACGAGGAGTAATGGAATATGTCAGGGCAAGACATGGCACGACTGAAGAATTTTCTTCTCTTTTTTGCCACGAGGCATGGATCGTAGCAGTCGTGCCATGACTTGTGCATGTCTACATGTCGTACCCTGTAGTACAGACCGTGACCAATGGCGTCTTGGTTTATTTATGTTTTCCTTTACTTACCGATAGTATAGTGGCTAATCAGTAAAGAGTGAAATCACACAATGGTGTTATGATTGTTTGACTGTTTATGGATGACCCGTCAGTAGATTATCTTTCTGTTATTAGTGGTGATCTTCCCACTTGATGTTTCGCGTTAGTTCACCAACCTCCCTTACGACTTTGACGATGTCCCAGGTGACGCTGAACAGTCAAACCGGGTATCAATAGAGAAAGGATTATCACTAAAAAGAAGCTCGAGCTCAACAAAAATCTTCAAGTCAGGTTAGAAAAGCATCCATTATTCGAATATTCATTTGTCCACCAGTCGTTGGAGGCTCATCGGGTCTAGACCCCCTACAAGCCCACAAGACAGATCCCGCGACCTCCACTGTAAAGCGGGACCTACAGAAGGTCCTCGCAGGCATTAAGTGGAAGCTTGTGGCCTATTTAGGTAATTCGTTATGCCCCATGGCATTCCAACGGTGATCAATTCAATTCGGTTCAACGTCGAGGTAGCATTACCAGAGATGCTATCTGTATGATACAACGTGCCCCTAATAATTCAACTCGACAAGTAATATCATCCTATACAAACAATCACCTGAAAAGACAAAAGTTCTGGACCGTGATGGTCACTTTAGCTTCTATTTTGGGGTGAAGCCAATGCACGAGACCTGATAGCTTAGACTGCCGATGCCGAGCTGAAGACACGGCCCCACTCGGGGACGGTAGGAATTGAGGGAATACGAGACCCAACACCAAACACTTTGAGAGTACAGACACAGTAACTTGCAGTGGTACGTCACTTGACATTAACTCACTCAATGCTTGTGCTCGAGAATGTAGTGAATTCGGTCCTATCAATGTCACTCACTAAGCTATATGCTTAGTTCTAAACTCAAGTATAAAGAAGGTCTAGTCCGCCCTTGAGTTGTAAGTTAGTCAACCAAGCATCACTCGCAACTAAACAACCAACCTCTTCACCACTATCACATAAAACTTATCAATCTCGACTCTTTACTCTAAACAACAATCTACATCAACCATCAAGATGCAATTCCTAAGCCTCGTCCTTATGGCTACTTCAGTCCTGGCCATTCCCGCCAAACTCCCTTCCAAGGCCCCAGCACCAACATGTATGGAAAAGGGCACAAAGGTCTCTTCATGGAAACTCACAGACTTTGTCTACAACGTCCAAAAGAGCACAAACACCGCCACAGTCGAGTTTGACCTCCACAACGCTGCTCTCGACTACACGGCCAACTGCTACGGCAAGTCAGTCTCTAAGAAGGCCCTCTTTGATGGCAAGACCGACTACACCTGCAAGGTCCCCAACGGAGCCGACTCTGCCACCTTCAAGTACAACCATAAGAAGGGCGTCATCTCCGTTTTCCAGCACTGGGCCTGCGTCCAGGAGGGTGGTTGGTTCGAGGCCATCGGCAACAAGACTTCTGCTGAGACCAAGTCGAATTGTCACTCTACAACCAAGTCCGAGACTTGCACAAAGGCCTCCTTCACTGTTCCCGTTCTCGAGATGCGTGCCGTCTTGTAAGAGGCGACACTAAGACCGCATCGCATCTTCTTTTCTTTGGCGACAACATTTTTGACAAATACTTTTAATAATTTCTAAGCGTAAGCTTATGGCGTTGGGGTATAACCCTTCTTTCAATCCACGACTATGCCGTAACGACGGCTGGATAGGATCTAATTCTACGATCTCCATGACATTCATTTACGACAAATACCCACGATGAGGTAGAAGATTCGAGGAAAAGCTGGTACAGCAGCAGCAGTTTTAGACAATCAATGGAATAATTTGCATCTAATTTGAGCATGCTTCAATGAACTCGTGAACTGTGGCAAGCCCACCACCAAGAGCACAACAATGTCAAATGTGCAACTCTTGATTCCGGATATCTCGTGTGTCAATGTAAAATAAAGCGGTGTGGTTGTTATGGGAAACCGCATGGTTGTGAGACACTCAAGGGAGAGGAAGAAACACTTTGTTCAACGCCGGAACGCCATTCAATTAGAGGCATGCCTGCTGTGACCTGTCTTACTGACATTAACCAGTGAGTTTATGTGCTTGGATTAGAACTTGTGTATCAAGGAACCTTCATTATGGAGCGCCATGTTATCGCTTCAACTCGTTTTCTCGAATCGGCTATCTAGTCTAGTCACTGGTCCAGAGTCTAGTTTTGGTTCATCTCAGTCAGTCTTGAAGAGAGGCTTACAACTTAGGTAGCTTTAACGGTGGTAAATACTCATTTTCTATCTCATTCCAATCCTACACTTGGTGTCAGCCACCACGTTCTCATACTATATAGCCAACGATCGCAATGAGGCGTATTGAATTGTGGCATCTTAGGCGCTTTAACTATAATTCGTCTCAGTCTTAGTCTCAGCCTCGGTCTTAGTTTTAGTGGATGATGAGTTCCTTCAGTAAAGTGTAAGACAACATGTCGGCACTTCCAAGCCATCTATCGTAATCTATCCGGTTTCACATACGTCGGTGTGCATGAAAAATAAGTTGATGGGAGTATTGTACATGGTTCTCTGGGATGTCATATCTGACAGTGTTCACTTTTGTGGTTTCAGTCTATACCTCCGCTACAAAGCTATGCGACGTCGGTACTCATAAGTCTCACTGGCATGTTGGTTTGTACATCTCTCTTATATCGTGAAGATCTTATTGATAGCTTTCCCCAGAACTTTGAGATCTTTCTAATTTCCTCCATAGAAATGCTCTTCACTTAGACATGGGCCGGGACTTGGCATTGGCCGCTCAATCGGTTAATACACCGGATCACAACTCTACTCAACATCTAACAATTTGCTCTCAATCATGTCGTGTTTGGCTTGACAGGCGATCCTACAGAGCTAGGCAAGAATGAAAAATATATGTAAAATACTCTTGGGATAGACATTGTCATCATTTAGTCATTAGGCAAAGAGATGTAGAGTCAGATTGACGAGAATGGCAGTTCATCCTTCAAGTTAGTCGCGTCTCTTTCCCCGCATCAACTTACCATCGCCGCATCTCGAAGAGGCAACAGAAAAGGACGTAGACGTAAGGATCCCAATCCCGAGCAACATCCGATCCGAGGGCGTGGCTGTGATGCTTGGAAGCGCGGGGTAGTATAAGATGCCAATGAACATAAATAGTCACGCATTTGCTACTCTTTGAACTCCACATTTGTGATATAATATCACTTATACATACTCAAGCTACATACAACATGGCTACACAGACGATGAAGGCTGTCAACTATCAGGGCCCTTTCAAGGTCTCAGTAGAAGACGTTGAACTGCCCAAGCTGCAACATCCTGACGACGTCATTGTCAAGGTCACGACGGTGAGATTTAACTGTTCAATTCTCTACTACAATAGCTAATCTAACTCACAGGCTGCCATCTGTGGCTCTGATCTACAGTGAGTGAGAGTATCATATACAAACAGCAACGACACTTACAACAAATAGCATGTATGAAGGCCGGACAGCAGCAGAACCCGGCATCACATTTGGTATGATCATTAAGTCTTCCTATCTTCTCCTCACTTACTGACCGTCCCAGGCCATGAGAATATGGGAATAGTTGAACAGCTCGGTGAGGGCGTCACTCTCCTTAAGAAAGGGGACCGAGTCGTTATGCCCTTTAACGTCGCCGACGGCCGCTGCCGTAATTGCGAAGAGGGAAAGACTGCTTTCTGCACTGGCGTAAACCCTGGATTCGCTGGAGGTGCTTATGGATACGTCGCCATGGGCCCTTACAGAGGTGGTCAGGCTCAGTACATCAGGGTCCCGTACGCTGACTTTAACGCTCTCAAACTCCCTGCTGGGAAAGAGCATGAGGCTGATTTCATTCTCCTCGCTGGTGAGTTCTTCATTCTCAGGCCGTTCTCCAAAGTTAATCATATTGCAAAGATATCTTCCCTACCGGTTGGCATGGTGTCGAAATCTCCGGTTTCCGATCTGGTGAGAGCGTCGCTGTGTTTGGTGCTGGTCCTGTAGGTCTTATGGCAGCATACTCGGCCGTCCTGCGCGGTGCCTCACGAGTGTTTGTTGTGGACCGCGTTCCCGAGCGTCTTCAAGCAGCTGAGAAGATTAATTGCACGCCCATTGACTTCTCCAAGGGCGACGCTGTAGACCTGATTATCAAGGCCAATGGCGGAGAGGAAGTTGACCGATCTGTGGATGCTGTCGGTTATCAAGCTGTTGGCAACAGTGGCGATACTGAACAGCCCAACATTGTTCTCGAGAACATGATCCGCGTTACTAGACCTTGCGGTGGTCTTGGAATTCCAGGCCTTTACGTCCCTAGCGACCCTGGAGCTTCGGACGAGGCATCCGCCAAGGGCATGATCAGTCTTAGCTTTGGCAAACTCTTTGAGAAGGTATGGCCCCAATACGCTCTGATGGACAGGCATTATCTAACACGATCTTAGGGACTTACCATTGGTACGGGCCAGTGCAATGTCAAGTCTTATAATCGCTATCTTCGAGATCTCATCATCTCTGGTCGAGCCAAGCCTAGCTTCGTCGTTTCGCACGAGATCAACATCGATGAAGCTGAAGTTGCTTATGAGAAGTTTGACAAACGAATTGACGGATATACCAAGGTCCTTATCCACCCTAACGGCGGGTTCTGAGTTACTTGAGCAGATTTAAGATAGTTCTAGCGATATTTCAAAGAGCGTAATAACTTTGATTGAATGTGTTGAGTTGAGAAAGCTTCGAAGTTGCAGAAAACTTGACCTCCGCTGCCTAAATTAGAAGATTGTTTAGTTGTTTTATGCCATTTTAGGCCTGTCCCTAGGTTATTTATCTTTTACATCCTGATTTTATCTTGAGCCTCTTGCTACTTTTCCCAGAGCTCAACGTCTCTGAACGTGTATGCTCCAAATGTCTCCCTCATACAGATGCGCTCACGTCTCTTTTGTCTCGAATCTTCCTTTTCTGTTGCCATGGGTAAAGCGTCCTCATTTTACGTGTCGCATGCTGATTGCGATGTCGGAACGTTTATAAGTCCAATTGGCCAGACCGGGAATAGTCACGATATACCATGACTTCATCTCCTCGTTCTAAACACACTTAAGTATCCTAAAGCGGTAATAAGTTGATTCACCGAGGCCAAACATAATTAATTGACTCACTTTCGATCTTGAGTATATATAGACTGTGGTTCGACCACAAGTTTTGCATATTGCAATTGGCATCAAACAACATGGCGACGACTACTTCTCTTGAACTCGCGAGCAATCGCCCTGAAGACAATGAGGTAGAACACTCAGAGGTGGCTTCAATCGATGCTTTACCACCAACTGATCGAGGCCGTGGAGCGTATACAGCTCTTGCTTGCTGCACAATTGCTCAAGCGCCCATCTGGGGTAGGTTTCCTCCACATCTCACCTTCGGAATCGCAATCTGACTTGGTCAGGATACTCTGTATCTTTCGGGATCTTTCAAGAATACTACTCTGCTCACACAAACCTCAAAGCCTCTCCAAGTGCCATCGCCTCAATTGGTGCATCTCAAACAGGAATCATGTATCTCATGATGCCTCTGGCTTTCATCGCCCTCAATCGTTTCCCTCTCCTTCGGAAGTGGTGCGGACCGCTCGGTCTCGTCATCACCATCATCAGCTTAACCTCTTCAGCATTCGTCAGTAACGTTGCTGGACTCATCGCGACTCAGGGTGTTTTGTACGCTATTGGCTGCAGCTTGCTATTCAGCCCTATCTCGCTCTATATGGACGAATGGTTCGTCGAGCGTAAAGGATTTGCATATGGGGTTATGTGGGCTGGAAAGTCTACCGTTGGCCTGGCTTTACCATTTCTGTTCAACTTCTTGCTTCAAAGATTCGGGCTCAAGGCGACTCTTCTCTCTTGGACAGTCGCATCAGCTGCCATGACTCTACCTATGCTCTTCTTTCTGAAGCCCCGAGTTGAGGTTAGCCGTGACTCGCGGCCACGTCCCATCAGCTTTGCTTTCATGGGACTTGCATCATTCTGGATGCTGCAGTTTGGAATTGTTGTTCAATCACTTGGATATCTGATGCCAAGCACGTATCTAGCGAGCTACGCCAACGCAATTGGTCTCTCATCAGTCACTGGACCACTCTTGCTGGCACTCTTTTCACTTGCTTCTGTGCCTGGATCTCTTATTCACGGCATGCTGGGCGACAAGGTCTCTTCTACCAAAGTCATCCTTGTCTCCTCGTTAGGAAGCGCACTCCCAGTGTTTCTACTGTGGGGTCTCAATCGTCACATTAGCACCATGGTGGTGTTTGTGATTCTCTATGGCTTCTTCGCTGGAGGATTCAGCGCTACATGGTCAGGGGCTTTGCGGGAAGTCAAGGGAGATAATGAATTCATCGATACATCTTTGGTGTTCGGTATGCTTCTCGGGGGTCGTGGATTAGGGTTCGTCGTTGCAGGGCCTTTGAGCGGTGCGCTTATATCGGCTGGGAACTCATTGGCAAGCGGTGATAGTCTTGGGTATGCGACCAGGTATGGCCCAATGATTCTTTGCACTGGTGTTACAGCAATTCTGGGAGCATGGGCTCCTATCTGCAAGATCGCCAAGTCGATTGGGATGACGGGAGTTAATAGCTGCGTGAGGATGGCTTGATCAGAATCTGGACATGGCAGCAGGAGGCAGGAATATGAGAATTGCTCATTTCGAGGACTGGTGATCCTATAATAACTTTGATTTTTTCCGCTGTCTATCTCTTTGTGATCAATGCTTCACCATTCATAATGCCCAGTGAAGCATCATCTATCTCAATCCACTGCTCCCAAGCCTTGGCCATCTCATCTAGTTCGTCGCCAGTTGCATTACCCATCTCAATAGCCTTTTGTCGTGCAAAGCCAGTCAGAGAGCGGTCTTTCATTGCTGAACCTACAAATTGTTAGCTCATTTACCAGATCGGTCAAAAGATTGTTTGTACTCACCCCATGCCTTCTTATCTTCAGGCGTACTATAACACCAAGTCCCAAAACTCAAAGTAATGTCTTGACGAGAAGCTCCAGCTTCCAAGGCCCACGAGAGAAGTTGACGGCCTCCTTTCCCTTGCCCTCCCTTTCCTTCAATGATCTTGATCTGGAGCTGATGAAACTTGAGAAGAGCTGGAAGCTCAGGCCAAATGCACCACATGTACATGTCGCTCTCGCGTAGGGAAACTGTACCTCCAGGCTTGGTCACCCTCATCATCTCCTTTATCGCATCGACAGGTGTATCCAAATGACACAGAACCTGGTGAGCATGGGTGACGTCGAAAGTCGAATCAGGGAAAGGCAGCTCAAAAACATTGGCGCTTTGGAATTTAATGTTGGTGACACCTTGAGAGTCGGCGTAGTCCTTTGCTCGAGCGAGGATCTCGTTTGATATGTCGGTAGCTGTGACTTCTCCCTCGGGCATGTATCGCGCTAAGGATGCTGAAATTGTACCAGACCCAGCACCGACATCCAAGAGCTTCAGGTTGGGATTGCTTTTGACGATGACTTGTAGCTTAGGTAAAAGATGGTTGCTGCTGTTTTCAGCACTGCGCCATTCATGATGCTTTACTTGGGCAGCGGCATATCCGTGGCCGTACTGATTGTGTCCTGACGCCATTATCTCGGTTGTAATTTGTTTAAGAAAAAGGTATTATTTAATCAAGACTTAATATTGTATCTCTGTTGAAACCCGTTTTATATGTTTTTTCTTTACTTGATAATGGTTACCCTGTTGCCTGTCGGAGCTGAGATCTCCATTAATGAGAGCTGACGTAGTCTCAACTCCGGAGGCAAGTTGTGGGGAAACCTCAACTCCGGTCACTACTAATTCATGCCATTGGAATGTTTTCCCACCTGCTGAACCAACTTGTACAATGAGTTATTCAACATGAGTACTGACCTATTAACATTGTTCTAATACTTACAAACATAATGCTCTATCAAGATGGGTTTGGCTCGTTGCCTGCATATATTGTAAACCCGGGCTATCCGGCATGTTAAAGCCACCAGACATCATAAATCCATCCGCTGGTATAAGTGTATTACACAAAATATCATGGCCGTATGGTAAAGCACTATTACTTTACTTACGAGATATCCAAAGATTTGGCAGTTCACTTCAGCTCAATTCAATAGTTCGTTTTACATACATCACAGTATCCATCCTTTCCAACAAATTGTTGTCCATCATTCCAGGCACACTTCATGCGGAGTAAAAGAGCGGAATGCCTCCGTCAAACCCCCAAATAAGAAGCAAATATTGAAAATCAGAAACAGACCAAGCAATTCTCAGCTTAGCATGAGATGAAGTAGTCAGGAAAATACCTGTCATTCGTTGCCAAGTCATCCGGAGTCAATTCCCGAGACTGGCCTTTTTATTACCCCGTGGGGTTAAGCTCTGTGAGGGGAACATATCGAGCTTCCTTTTTGACCATGGATGCACATTCATCACAGATGATGTTACATTTTGTGGCTTGAATTGGTCACTTACTGAACCTAGCAGTTCTTTTTCAATAATTCTGTCTGTACAATTGCTGCAAGTCAAGCCTGAAGCAGTCGCACGGGCCGAAATACGAAGATAACTTATAGTCTCTTTAACAAACATTTCAACAATTACTGTAACTTTCCAGAGATACTTTATGCGACGTCATTGAACCAGATGCTACTGGATCCCCTGGCTGCTTCTCCAACTAGAGGTCAGACTGCAGAGCCGCCACCACCACCACAGGAACCAAGGCGTGCAACCCATTCGGCTGTGGCGTACCAAGCAAAGACCAGGTTTCTTCGGACTAACGGTGTTGATCTTTTTCAACACCAATTACTTGACCTTTAGAAAGAATGTTAGTTCTTCTATGAATACCTGTGTTACGGCAGATGATATCTACTGTTAATAAAGCTCATATGTCAAGTAAGATAAGTTAACTCCGATACTGGCATCTCCAAGCGACATCGGTAACAACTTAACCATAACCTTCTCCGTAACTCGGCCGTAAAAGGTAGCGGAGTCTCCTTGGGATCTCCTCTGTGGGGGATCTAATTCAACCCTAACTCATTCTAATGGGGTTCGGTGGATCCGGCCTTGTATCGCAGGATCGTCCCCTTGTTTAATGATTCCCCCAGTCCCCCAAATGCTCCCCGACCTCGGCTCGGGTGAGCCATTGAAGTGATTGACATTGAGTTTACCTTGACTGGCTGCAGGTCGTACTCTAAAGGCAGGATCGACGGAAAATACGGACCTGCCCCGAGACATTCAAGCCATGCCCATGTCTCTTTATAAGTCACCCTCCCGCTGCCCTTTTTCCTCTTGAAACTTTTGTGACCTGCAGTGTAGACTTTCTTCTTTATCCTTCTACCCCTTCAAGGCCTTTCACTACACAAAAGTCAATTTCATCAAAAAGGCCTAGTAGCTGTGAATAATGGCTCTCAACTCCAGGGAGAAGGAGAGCGGCAATGAGTCGCCTGTGTCCTATGACGCTGAGCGCACCAATACCGTTGGCGATGGTGTTGTCACAGACGACGTCCAGCTGGTTTGTCCGTCCTCTACAACTGATAGCAAGCTCATGGCCAGGATTGATTTCCATGTCATTCCTTTCCTATGTATCATGTACTTGCTTGCCTTCCTAGGTACACCCATCTCATTCTTCTTTACCGTGTTGCAAATAACTGACTGATCGTGTAACATATAGACCGTGTCAATATCGCCAACGCCGATGTTTTTGGTCTCTCCGAAGAGCTTGGTCTTGAAAAGACAGAATACAACACCGCTCTCGTCGTCTTCTTCGTCCCATACATCCTCTTCGAGATCCCCTCCAACATTCTTCTTAAGCGCTTCAAACCCCATGTCTGGCTCAGTCTGAACATGTTTCTCTTTGGTCTTACCACCCTTCTTCAAGGTTTTGTCCAGAACTACAGCGGCTTGATCGCCACACGTTTCTTCTTGGGTCTTTTTGAGACGGGCATGTTCCCTGGTGGTAAGTCGTCATAAAACTCTTGCGAACACAGCGCATTTCGCTCACACTTAAAAAGCTTTTTATTTGATTGGCATGTGGTACCGTCGCCGAGAAGCACAGCGTCGTTACAGCTTCTTCTTCAACAGCACGACTCTTGCCGGCGCATTCGGTGGTCTTCTTGCCGCAGCTATTGGAAAGATGAGCGGTGTTCGCGGTTATGCCGGTTGGCGTTGGATCTTCATTCTCGAGGGCGGTCTCACTGTCCTCGTGAGCTTCTTCTTCTTCTTCCTGCTGCCCAACTTTCCTGAGCAGGCCGAATGGCTCACTCCCGAAGAGAAGAACTATGTCACTGCCAGACTACGCGCCGATCAGGGCCACGCCGGCGCCGAGCGCAAGACGACTTTCTCCGATGCTCTCAACGTGCTCAAGGACTACAAGATCATCATCGGCGGTTTCATGTACTTCGGTCTCATTGTGCCTGCTTATGGATATGCCTACTTCGCGCCTGGTATTATCAAGACCTACGGATACAGCCCTATTCAGACACAGCTTTACAGTGTTCCTCCATGGGCTGCTGCTTTCGCATTTTCGCTCTGTGTGGCCTTTGCTTCAGACAAGTTGCGCCACAGAGCATGCTTCGCCATCTTTGCCATTCTCGTCGCCATTGCAGGATTCGCCACTCTTCTTTCTGTCCACGACAACCACAAGGTTCAGTATGGCGCTTTGTTCCTCGTCACTATGGGTGCTTACACCGCCATGCCCATCATTGTGTGTTGGTTCAACATGAACCTTGGAGGTCACAGGAGAAGAAGTATCGGCAGCGCATGGCAAGTTGGTTTCGGAAACATTGGTGGTATCATCGCCGTGTACTCTTTCTTGGCAAAGGATGCTCCCAAGTTCGTTCGAGGCTATTCCATCTGCATTGCATTTACGATTCTCTCCATCATCGCTTGTATTACATACGGTGCTGTCTGTCTGTATGAGAACAGAAAGAGGGCCGCAAACCCACCGGAGAGGGAGCTTACTGATGATGAGAAGGCTGAGTTGGGCGATAATGCGCCTACCTACAGATATCTGTTGTAATTAAAAGTTGAGCATGTGGTGTGGTTTATACTCAGAGTTGGATACCTAGTTGTTTTGGCCTAATTTTAATGAATAATGAAATACCAACAACATTTGTTATATGATCGATCATTCTTATTGGATCCATCGTGCTTGAAGCAATAATCAAAGGGCCGATGATTTTATCTTTGATGCTTGTACTGATTACCTTCAGCCAGTACGACACGGGTGTTTGCCAACCACGTTTCGTGTACTATCTTTGTGTAATTGAAGTCTCGGAGTATTTCCTCATTGCCTTAAGAGCAAACTCTTTGGTAATAACAAAAGTTCACAAGTCAATAAGAATGATTGAAATAAACCCATGCATAGTATCCGTAGACTTACACTGGTTCATTGTCAGTGGAGGCGAATCCTTCACTATGCCTTTTTTGCACAGCGCGGCTCGCAATTGCCCCTCCTCTGGGCGCGCCCTTCACTAAATACTTCCCCATCAACCCCACCAAGAAATTTAGTGATAGTATAAGATCAATCGTGTCCTGCGACTCTCTTTGGGAACTTTGTTGTTCATATAAGTATATTCTTCTCTCAAGGGTATCTTAAGACCGTCTCTATACAATCACATCTAATATAGATATACAATGGCGACAATTCGACATGCCCGCCGGGAGGGTAAGTTCAACAGTGCATCTCGAGACGTCATGATGCTAACACCAACTCTGCCATAGACGCTCCCATAATCCTTCAGCTCATCCAGGAGCTTGCCGATTACGAGAAGGAGCCAGATGCCAACAAGGCCACCATTGAGACCCTACAGGCCACAATTGCCTTCGCGCCATCCGACTCCCCCGACGCCGACGCCTCTGTCGTCCCCACCACCGAACCCATCTCGCCAACAAAGCCCGCCAGATGCCTTCTCCTCATTTCCCCCGAAGGTGAAGCCGTCGGTATGGCACTGTACTTTTACAACTACAGCACATGGCGCTCGCGCGCAGGCATCTATCTCGAGGACCTGTACGTCCGGGAATCAGAGCGCGGCAAGGGATACGGCAAGAAGTTGTTGAGCACATTGGCCAAGCAGGTCATTGCCATGGATGGAGTTCGGCTCGACTGGGTAGTCCTCAAGTGGAACGAACCTAGCATCAAGTTCTATGAGAGCATCGGCGCCTACCCTATGAGCGATTGGGTCGGCATGCGGGTGGACAACGAGGGCTTGAACAAGTTGGCCAACTTGACGGATTAATACCGAATAAAAGAAACTTTGATACTCCCAATTATGGATGGACCACCGATATTTGAATGCTATCATTTCAGCTCGCCACAGATTCAAGACTCGACCTTGGGATGGACTGGTGTCTTGGGCTGCTTGTTTTTCTTTTCCTTATTCTTGAAATTTGGCTCTGGCGGAACGTCTTCGAAGACTTCGAGTTGTCTTCTTGAGGGAGCGGTAATAGCAGTATTGAAAGTGCCCCAGGTAAAGCCTTTTTTCCCTATACCTGGTCTTGTCTCTATCTTAGGGCTAAGTTGCCAGATTTTCTGATAAGTGCGGCGGAACCACCTTGGTGTCAGTTCCTTAAGATCGCGATCTAGGTGGTGGTGGTATGGATGGTCCGTTTTGTCTGGACCGACGTGTGCAAACTGCGAAAGCTGATTGATACGCTCGACTCTATTAGTAGGTTGAGTGGCGTAACTCTCCCAGTTCCAGTCCAGGGTCGGTGACTTGTCTGACTTGACAGCTCGTAAAGGATTCGCAGCTGTCCTCCTTTTTGGGATTTTCCACTGCTCGTCTTCCTGGGCGCCTCTGGATAGCTGACCAAGAAACTCCCATTCGTTGTTGTCGAGTGGAGGCATTACTTTATTAGCAGCACGTTTCCAGAAGTGCGCCCTCTTAGCTTGGTAGACCCTCTCGGGGGTTGGGTTTCCCCAGATGTTAGTTTTTGGAATGTCAGGTTGAAGGCTTCTGATATCGGACTTGGGCCAAGACATGTCCGCCTCCTCTTGACGTGCTTTTTGAGATATTTGTAAGTTTTGGAGTTTCCGAGTATCCCATTTGTGATAGAATGTAGGCTGGAGAGGCTTCGGTCCACGTCTGACCAGAATCTTCCTGGGCACTTCTTCCTTTTTGTCGCTTGGAGTGTCTACTGCGCTTTCTGCCTTGTGTTTCTCTGTCTTTTGTTTCTCCTGATAAGAGTCGTCCTCGATCGCCGTTTCGGTTGACTTTGCAACCACCTCATCGTCCGGCTTGTCTTCTTGAACACCTTTGATTGTCGCCTCCAAAGCTTCTGTGTCGCTGGGAGGCTGAGGCTTTAGAAAGTCAGAGATAAGGCTTCGCCTTCGGGATCCCGTCCTTGCAAAAGCATGCATCAATAATTCTTCCATCCACTCCTTATGTCCACTATTGGCCGCCCTCAGCTTGCGCAAGACATTGGCGCCCTTGGCACGGTGCTTATCTTGTAGAGGGTCATATTTGTGGTGTTTTCGGAACTTGGAGCGAATTTGCGTGGTGATGGTAGGTCGAATCGCCGGGGGAAGATATGAAGTCTCGCGGAGGATATTTCGATAAAGATGGCGAGGAGGGAGGAAGCTAGGGATATTCGAATTTGGACGAGGCATTGTGAGATCTCGCAATGCAAAAAGAACAACTAAATAGAGGCACGAAGCCTCGTGGGAGAGTTACAATGGAAAGTGGAAGACGCTAATGCTTGAATCTTGAAGCTTGAATTGTCTACTATAATTTTCAGTAGCTGTCTGCGGTAAAACCCCGGTCGGTTCTTTCATCTTTCATCATTTGCAAAGACAAGTGACAGTAAGAACACAAGTGACGCAGCTTTGACACCTGTCTCTTGCCAAAGAACAAATTGTTAGGCGTCTTCGAGTGTGACAGTCAGGTGTGTTGAATACTTCCGAGCAGCCATCTGCATTCGGAGCAAGATCGTGATCGAGCAAGGCTAATAATCAGCAGTGATGGAGTAAGATACCTTGCCCATAGCAACCAAAAAGCTTAAACAGTAGAGAACTCCTTCACATTGGAGTTGCTTAATTGATGGTGTGTAATCATGTACTAGACTTTATGAAGTATATCTGGTGATGATTGTGTTATGGTGAAACACATTTGGTCCAGGTTATGGCGGCCCTTGAGAAGTGGTTGCATTAGTGAGCTTGACAATTCACGCGTTGCTGTGGAATTAATGGCTATGAATACGTCAATGTGCTTGCACAATTACGGCCCATCGAATGGCTTCGTTCACTGGAAACAACAAAGAGCGAACGAGTGATTGTCATGTTGAGGTCGCAGGAATAGGCCAAAGTTACTAAAGGTGGGTCTCATGATGATACATTGAGGCCCTGGCTCGTGCGTTCACGGCCTTTACGCGCTCTACGCGCGAGACACGTCTGGAGCGCGATCATCCGCGAAACGGACACGTCTGGGTTAATTGAACGCATCTTTTTTTTCTGCCAAAGGTACTCGTCTCGTCCCGTTTCACGCTCGACGACAGCCGAGGGAGCGGGAACTTGCTGCAAGTGAGCACAACCGAATAAGTCACTTTGACGTGCATAAGCTCAAGTAGACTGGAGAGTACAGTACAATACTTGCAGTTACCTCAATTATCATGTCTCAATCAGGTGTAGAAATAATCGGCATTGGCGCCTTCTGAACCGTTACCTCCAATCACCTCCTGCTTTCATCTCCATTAAAGCATATTGTTCACCTCTACTACATACAACCTTATCGAAAGCATCAATGGTGATAATTTGAGTAGCGAAGTATTCAGGTACTTGATCTTCACCGGGCCAACTGGACTATAGGCGGCTCATTACACCAATTCCGCTAAAAGCATTGGCTCTCAGCGCTCTCCCCGCTCGTCTCTGGGGCACCATCGAGGTACCTGAGACCCTGGTCCGTCTGCATCTCACCTCACCTGCACGACTTCGCCCTGGCCCGCCCACTATCTCCAAGAAGTACTCATTTCGTCGGGTCTTTACTCCATCTCCATCTTCACTCTGCAACCACTCAGTTTTTGTGCGCACAAAACCACTGAAACTCGACCACGAGGCGCATGGGCGATCCCGGGTAACTACCTTCAGCCCCATGCTGCGATTCTTTTACACCTTACGATACCAAACCAGGCCACTCCATTTCACCTATTAATTCAACCTTGTCGCGTCCCCCTACTGATTCTCCGTACCTTTTCGAGATCTTCTTACTGTTAGCGCTGTGATGCTATCACGCCCTTGACGAACCTCTTCGAAACTTCTTCCTAACGAGGACTTCACTGCAACTCCCCTCCAGGGGTTGATTCTCCCTTAATACGATATGCCGTCGGCATCGCAATCATCTCAACAATCTTTCAATATGAGTCAACAATCGCAATCAGGAATGGGAAACTCATTCCGAGGAGGCTACAATGGCGACCCAGATAATTCCGGTATCTATTCGGTAAGCACAACCCATGCAGTCTGTCGCTATGCGATTGCTAATAATTCTGATATAGGCATCATATTCAGGCGTGGATGTATACGAAATGGAAGTCAACAATATCGCCGTGATGCGCCGTCGCAACGACTCATGGCTCAATGCCACTCAGATCCTCAAGGTCGCGGGAGTTGACAAAGGAAAACGCACCAAGATTCTCGAAAAAGAAATCCAAACAGGCGAACACGAGAAAGTCCAGGGCGGATATGGCAAGTACCAGGGCACTTGGATAAAGTTCGATCGTGGTCTGCAAGTCTGCCGCCAATACGGTGTTGAGGAGCTTTTACGACCACTCCTTACCTACGACATGGGCCAAGATGGAGGTGTCGCCGGGCGAGGTGATTTTAATACACCAACAAAAGAACAAGCAATGGCCGCACAAAGGAAGCGATTATACAATCAGAATGCAGACGGAAGAGCTAACGGCGTATCCGGTACATTTTTTAAGAATATCTCTACGACTGCGTCGCATGCCGTTGCAGCTATTAGCAAAGCTCGGTTCGACTCACCGGGTCCCAGGAGTAGTCGCAATGGTGCTTCAAGAACAGCTTCTTTCAGCCGCCAAGCGTCGATGCAAAATGGCGATGATTTCCCTAGCAACTCTCAACAAAGCTTTGCCTCCGATTATGGACAACAAGTTGATTCGGCATATTCGACTCAACAAGCCAACAACTCAGTCCAAATGGCCGAACCAGATCCCCCTCGAAAACGCCAACGCGTGACGATGACACCGGCCGAAAGCTTCAACGGATACGGGCAGAATATGGATATGTATGCAGCGACATACCCTGGATCACCAACAGAACCTAATGAGTCCTTTATGTACACCCAGAGTGCTATCCACGATCGATCGCCAATGGAGGAGGGCAACGGACCTCTACCACCCCTGCCTTACGAGATGTCTCCAGATGTCGAAACCAAGCGTAACGTGCTTATGGGGCTATTTCTGGAAACAACGGGCACTGATCCTACAAAAAATGATACCCTTCGAGGGTTTACACCATTGGAATTGGACATGCCAATCGACTTACAGAGCCATACTGCGCTTCACTGGGCCGCAACTCTTGCTCGCATGCCTTTGCTGCGTGCTCTAATTGCTTCTGGCGCTTCTCCGTCTCGCGTGAATGCATCAGGCGAAACGGCGCTTATGCGAGCATGCTTGGTGACAAATTCTCAAGACCATAACTCGTTCCCTGATCTTCTAGAGGTTCTGGGTGGAACAATAGAGGCTCGTGATCACAAGGGACGGACGGTTCTTCACCACATTGCTGTTACTAGTGCTGTCAAGGGTAGGAATGCAGCAAGTCGCTATTATCTCGAGAGCCTCCTGGAGTGGGTGGTTAGACAGGGCAGCGCACCTAACAGCCAACATGCTCAAACAAACGGAAACGGTCCCAGCAATTCGCAAGCAGCCAGCCCTAAGATGGGCATTGCACGATTCATGAGCGAGATAGTTAATGCTCAAGACAGTGTGGGCGACACAGCCTTGAACATCGCTGCCCGCATAGGTAACCGGAGTATTATTTCTCAATTGCTGGAGGTTGGCGCCGATCCAAACATCGCAAACCGTGTTGGCCTACGACCGCTTGACTTTGGTATTGGAAGCGAGAATGCTGAGAATAAGACAAACGGCGAAGCAAACGTCGAGAACGGTGCCGTAGGCACGAATCAGCGTAGTCGAGAAAGCAGCGACGAAATAGTTGCTTGTGAGTTCCAATAATCCCCATTCCATTAAACCGTTGCTAACCATCATAGCCATTTCTCATCTTCTGTCAGAAACAGGCTCAACATTCCAGGCCGAGATGAAGGCCAAGCAAGCGTCTCTCGATACCCTTCACAGCACCCTCCGTACTACATCAACACAACTTGGTGAGGCCAGACGAAGTCTCGAGCACCTAACTGCTACACTCAAGAAGCAGCAACTAGCAAAGCAAAAGGTCGCCAACCTATCACATGCCCGTGAAGCTGAGCAAGTACGCCTGATGCAGGAGCAGTCTCGAGCCTCACAACCCAACCCCTCATCATCATGGGAAACCGAGTTATCAGCTATGCTCGAGGCCGCTGACGATACGTCCGATGGAGAGTTAGGTGGCGAGGGCCTCCTCCCCTCAGCGGCAGTCCTTGAAGCTCGGGTTCGTGCTGTGAAGAAGCGATGCGAGTCAACCCGAAAGATGGTGTCAGCCCTCAAAGGACGAAGTCGCGACACCGAAGTCAAGTATCGTCGTGTGGTGGCGCTATGCACTGGCGTCCAAGAAGACGAGGTCGACGCTGTCATCGACGGTCTACTCAAGGCTGTGGAGAGCGAACAAGAAGAGCTTGAGATTAATCGTGTCAGGCGCTTCCTTGGCGGAGTAGAAGGAGTGCATTAATATCGGCACTTACTTCTCCTCTCGCTTTCCCGCAGCAGGACGCTTTGCAGTCCTCACATCCTCTAATGACTACAATTCGTGTACGATTTTGGTTTCGTTTATATAAGGTGCTTTTGATACCCACTGAGCCCGAGAAGCACCCCCCGCTCGTGGTGGATTAGATCGATGGGCGTTTATTCATCAGCTGTGGCTGGCGTACTCTTTATCCGTTTTTTGTTACTACTATCCTTGGTTTTGGTTCTTGCCAGGATGCTATTTTGTCTACGAGAATCAGGTTTGACGATTGTTATACCTTGCTTTGCCTGGCGAGAGATCCAGAAGTAGAAAGAGAGAGGGAGAATAGGGGAAAGTAGTTGGCGCAGGGGTTTTTCGCGAAAGGTGTATAATAATTCATGACACAAAAAGTATCAGTTCTATCAACTGTTGTCACACTCTCGCCCATTCTGCAAATTTGTGTCTTGCCTGTGATTCAAAAGATGTACACAGATCTTGACTGGTCATGCGAAGAGCTCCCATCTGTCGCCCATGCTAAAACTCCAAACACCATGCAATGCCTTGCGATATTTACAATGTCATTGACCCGTCACCTCTTGCCGGTTCAAGGCTCAAGAATCTAAGTGACGCCGTTTCGATAGACACCCTCCCATCTTTCCTCAACACCACCAACCTTATTTTTCAAGTCGTTAATCTCTGCATCCAGTTCATCTACATTTCGAGACAGAGCGCTGACCTCCTCAAATCGCCTAGAACCTTGCGCGGTTTTGATCATGGATTCAACCATGAATCGCTGCTCTTCCAAGACAACTAACCGCTCTCTAAGTTCCTTTTCTTCTGTCTCGAGCTGGCTGACGACTGTGCTTCCTTCGCTAGGCGCTTGCGACGACGTTTCAGTATCCGCAAGCTCCGAGTGTCGTAAACTTGACCCAGAGTGATTGTGTGAAGCGAGAAGCCGTGAGGTGGAAACGGCTGTAGAGGATGATGCGGATGAGCGTGAGCGTAGCATCTGGGGCAAGCTCTTGAGAGGGAGCATGTTTGTATGTAGGAAGCCACTCGCATATGTATATATGGCCGCCTGCAGTCGCCGTTGCGTGGCGCTCTCTGTGGGAAGGTCGCGGAGACGTTTTGCAGCGATACCATATTTTCCAAAACTGTCGACCAGGCGCTTTCGAATCTTGGCTGCTTCCTGGATCTGAGCGCGTGTTGGTGGAGGTTTGTTCAGGTCGATTTCGCCGCTTTCTTTCTTCTCTGGCTGTAGGTTCAGAAGCACACGATGGAATGATGGCAGGAGTTGTTGAATGCCACGCTCGAACTGTTGTAGAGTCTCGTATGCCCGCTGATCGGCAGGTTTGTGCTGTAGTGACGCTGCAAAGTCGCGCGCAGAGAATATAGTATGTTTACAATCGCGACACATCCGGATATCTATGCCAACTTGCCCGCCGTTTGTTGTCGAGGTTGGTTTCTCGGTTCCCGAAAGTGATTTCGTCACGCCGTTTGTATCACTTGATACGTTTAGTCCAACTTCTAAGGAACATCCTGTCTGCGGATCGCCACAGACAACACGCCCACATATGCGACAATGGTGTCTTCTAAACGTCCAAGATCCAAATTCTTGTCGGCAAAATGGGCATTTAGAGACAGTCGCATCTTCTTCCCAAGTAACAACTGATTGCTCGATAAGCTTGCGGGCATTCTTCTGCCCTGCTAATGATGTTACTGGGCCAAGCAAAGATCCATTCGATTGCGTGAGGTTTTCAGGAGGGTTCGCCAATAGTTTCGTGAGCTTTGTCAATCGTTTCTCAAGCCGTGAGATTTCCAGATTCTGCCGTTCGACCTTCTTCCTTCTTATTTCCACAAACGCATTGGTGTGATCCGTCAAGACACCTTGGTGGTCGTTGTATCCTTCTCTTGACTTGAAGCATGTCTCGCATACTCTTGCCCAATAACCACGGACCGGCTCATGTTTCGCGCTTCGACTCAGTTTCATCTGGTACATGGTATGTTCTTCGCAGAACAGTCGTCCACAATGTCGACAGTTAATGCTTCCATTCAATGGCCCTAGACTCCTTCCACATGTCGGATCGGTGCATGAATCGTAGCTAGTCGAGCGTTGCCAATGGTGTCGCGTGATGAGGTCGTCGGGATCAATAGGACCTTCGAGGGGGTTCTTTCCAGCAGCGGTTGACATAGGGGTGACGACAGGTACGGACTCGTTCGACTCAAATACATCCAAGCCTCGAAGCTTCTGGTTTATTAGGGAGAGGGGCTGGAATCGTTTCGCTTTGAGCACCTGCTTGTCGAACCACGTCTTTACTTCATCTTGTTCCTCTTCTGGTAGTTCTTGGTGGGTGTCGTCAATGTGTCGGTTAAGTTGTAGAAGGGTCATCTATCGGCAGATATGTCAACACCAGTTTCACTAGCCAGATATTGGCTTTCTCACCATTTCTTCATTACATATTGGACACACGAGCGCGCCTCCATCTGCCGGCCCCCCCTTCCCTTGAGCACCGACGCTGATGCTATTGCCGATGTCCTGGCTTGCAAGACCTGGTGAAATACCACTTATGGGTGGTGACACTGATGACGAAACTATCGAAATGCTGCTTTCTGAAGCTGCTAATGGACTTGCAACTCGAGGCGCATTCGTAACCGGAGGGGTCGGGGGAGCAAGGCCCCTGCCGCTTCCAAGAACACGGCCACCGCCCAGCTTGCGGCCCGACATGATGAAGTATTTCCAAAGACAATGCCGGTTTTGAAAGGGAGAAAGAGTACGACCGCAGTTGGTCGAGCCCAATCACGCGCTGCAACGCTTTGGAAAGTATGTAGAAAGTGAGATTGGTGAATTGAGGGGAGACTGGCCATCCATGCTATGGCCTGGCGCGCATGTCTGATAAAGAGGTACCTTGATTTGTGCCATGTAAAGGCGGTGAAAGAAGTACCGTCATAGCATGCGTCATCCCAACCCCTAAGCAGTTAGCTCTAATTCGCTTCCTCCCGTTCCCCGTTAGCGGCCTTATCGGCCATCCTTGCAGCTCGGATAAGACTCAACCTTTGTTACCTTTACTTTACCTTACCTTCCTTACCTTAGTCGATGGGGAAAAATGACCCCCATTCAGAAGCCGACATCAGCCCAGCCGGCGCTGGAATCCCCGGCATCTCCTCCCGCGTCTTCTACTCCGTCTTCTGACTCTTCTACTTCTGCTTCTGCTTCCACCCCAGCCACAGCAGCAATGGCAAAGACATTTCCTCCTGTGCAGCCTGGAGGCAGTTTAATTCTGGCATGGCAAATCAAGCACAAGAAGGTGCTTGTTGTCGGCGGTGGTGAGGTACGTCTGAATCATCACATGTCATGCCGAGACTCGGGCTTCTTGGCCCAGAAGCCCATCGACTACGATTGTGCAGCGCAATCAAAATTTCATCGGTTCTAACAAAGCCTCATAGGTCGCCGCTGGTCGGATCCTCAACTGCCTCAATGCCGATGCCAACGTCACTGTCGTGTGCCCCAAGTCTGGCCTCAACCCTGAAGTCGCTTTCCGAGTTAGTGAAGGTCAAGTCGCGCATATCGACCGAGTATTCGAACCCGAAGACCTGGATGGCGCCAGCATGGTCCTGGTCGCCATCGACGACCCTGCCGCCTCGACCGTCATCTGGAAGCTTTGCAAGGAGCGAAAGGTCCCTGCCAATATCGCCGACGTGCCCCCAGAATGCGATTTCTATTTTGGTAGCATCCATCGCGATGGTCCGCTCCAGATTATGGTCAGCACCAATGGCAAGGGGCCAAGGTTGGCGGCTGCTATTCGGCAGTTTATTGCCAAGCAACTGCCGAAGAATGCCGGTAACGCTATCGAGACGATTGGTGAGCTTCGGCTTAGATTAAGGAAGATGGCTCCCAAGCCTGAGGATGGACCCAAGCGCATGCTCTGGTGGGTTACTTACATCATCTGGATGTGCAAACTATGCTGACAATTACTATCAGGATGTCAAAGGTCAGCGATACCTACAAATGGGATGAAATGTGTGGCCTTACAGACGAAGACATGGACAACCTCCTCCTTTTCTATCCTCCTAACAAGGTCCCATCTATGGATGTTCTGCAAGCCCTCCGTGGAGGCAACGATGTTAAGAAACTTGACGTCTTTGACGGTTCCTTCGGCTTCAGTGTTGGCGCATAAATCCAATAGAGCATACAGCCAGGGAATTTCAGCAAATTGGATGGAAAGAGACGCATCAAGAGATATTGTACGATTTAGACAGTGGTTCATTTTGGTTCAGGGTGTATATACGGATTGGTTATTGTCGCTCCCACGTCGCAAAGGCGTGAGGGACGCCTTCAAAGCACTTTTGCATGGGGATGGATTTTTATGGCATTTCAACAGTTGTGGGAACATTTGGGGAAAACCTAGTATCATTCCAAATTGCTGCAGTTAAAATTTTGAATACAACACATCATCTCCATTTTCTTTACTCTCGCCTTCCTGACACATCATGATACTAGTGCCAATTCCTTGCCTTTGATGCGTAGGGATATCAGGAGAGTTGCTGAACATGGAAGAGATGAGAGTGACATGTCATGTTGGACTGTTTGGGAGCAGAACCTCGTTGAATTATTTCTAAGCTCTAACAAGAGGACAAACCCTCTGTTGCCTCCGTAGCCCCCTTTGTACTTTTGCTTTTTTCAAGATGGCGTTTCATCTGTTCCACCTATCGCTGGTCTATTCTGTCGTAATGCGTCATAAATTGGTATCATAAAGAAACTTCTTACAGCTTGAGAACAACCTGGTGGGTAGCGCTCTTCTCCTTCTCGTCACCAAAGACATTAATATCCCAGTCAGGCTTGTCTAGAAAGTTGTTAGTCAGAGTTCAGTGACTCCTAGATGTCAGTAGATATGGACTTACAGGTCTTGGGAATGTTAAATCGCTGAGGCTTCTCGCCAAACTTGCTGAGTTCCTTGATGGCCTCCTCGTCCAGCTCAACCTCCTCGAAGTTGGAGCGGATGCGGGCGGGGGTAACAGACTTGGGAATAACAACGTGGTTGTCAAGGGTGGACCAAGCGAGGATAACCTGGGCGGGAGTGACCTCCTTACCCTTAGACTTGCTGAGGCGATCAGCAATAGCCTTGACCTCGGGGGTGTTGATGAGAAGAGGCTCGCCCCAGCTGTTGTTGCCGAAAGCGGAGTAGGCAGTAAGAAGGATACCCTTCTCCTGGAGGTACTTGACAAGTTCGGGCTGAGGAAGACGAGGGTGACGCTCAATCTGGTTCATGGCGGGGGTGACGCCAGTGTCCTTGATGATTTGCTCAAGCTGGTAAATTGTTAGAATGGGTGTTGTTGGACAAGAGTGAAGGAATTGAATCTTACCATCTCCTGGTTGAAGTTGGAGACACCAACGGAGCGGACCTTCTCCTTGGGCAGCTTGGTGACGGCCTCCCATGTCTGGGAGAGGGTGACCTCCTGGTCAAGAGCAGTCTTGCCATCATCACCCTCCTTCAAGGGGAATAGCTCGTTACCGTTCTTGAAAGCAACGGGCCAGTGGATCAACCAGAGCTGTAAGGGGTCAGTCCTGTTTTAGTAGGTAGAATATTGCGACTTCAACTTACGTCAATGTACTCAAGGCCGAGCTCCTCAAGGGTGTCATCGAGGGCACCAGCAACCTCCTCAGGGCGGTGTTTGTTGTTCCAAAGCTTTCCGGTGATGAAGATGTCCTCACGCTTGAGGCCAGGGACCTCGCTGAGGGCCTTCTTGATGCCCTCACCAACCTCACGCTGGTTCTGGTAGATCTTGGCAAGATCGAGGTGGCGGTAGCCAGCCTTGAGGGCCTCGTAGACACCGTTGCCGACCTCACCAGGGGCAGCTTGCCATGTGCCGTAACCGATCTGGGGAATCTTCCATCCGGAGTTGAGGGTGACAGTGCGACCGAAAGACATGATTGCGATTGTTTCGAGTGTGTGGTTGTAATATATTTATGGTGTTGGTTTGAGAATGAAGAGAGATGGAAGAAAAGACAGGAGAGAAGGGACGTGGGGACAGCTTTATAAGGAGAATTGAGAGCTGAGTGCCTGCCTACAAAGGTACGCAGACGTAACAATCCATTCCACTGTTATTGTATGAGGTAGGCAGGGCCCAGTTACTAGCAATTCTACGATGTGCATCAAGGAGAAGCCGGGTTGTGACGGAGGTTCCACCAAGACAGCTCATTTACAATGGACCTGTATTGTGGTGACTTGACTAACCAGATACTCATGATACCAGAAGAGGCAGCTCCGAAGGCTGAAAGAAGTCAATGATTCGCTAGTCAAGCCATCGATCGAGAAGCTTCTACAAAAACACCAACCACCAAGTGTCGTCGTACCTATCAATAAACACGAGTAGCAACACGCGGGGCAATTTATGCCCCACGTTCACCCAGAATCCCATGTCCTGAATGAGATCATTCGCCCCATTCATGAGCTAAAAAGCCCGCAATTTCTAGTGCGATTGCGCTTCCGCTTGTCGCGATTCGCATGAGAATGATATCAGTGCTCCCTCTCTGGCCCGTGGGGAGATGAGCAAGCTTTTCGGGCCAGTTATCCCGAGCAATCTGGTCGTATTCCTTCCACTCCCAGTGTCATGAGGGGCATGAGGGGATATTTGAGAAGCCATGATATCCGTTTTATGGGATAGATACTAGAGAAATCATTGCAATTGGTTGCTATTCAGATACAGAATCTACCATAGATTCCATGATGTCGTCAATTCCTAGACCAAACTTATTGCTGTGCCTCGATACAGCATAATGTTACTGCCGTGTAACCACGACCAGTTCCAAATCCGATCAAATGTAAGCAACAAACCAATCAGTGAAAACTCCAATATCTACTTTCATTACAAGCTTCTACACATATATTATCAAGAAGATAAACGTAGTGATTAAGGCTTGTCAGAAATTAGTAATTGCCTCAACATAGAGACACTGGAGAATAAAACACTTTCCCCTAGCTTCTCTCAGCATTGGAACAGATCTAACTGGCACCACAAATTCCTCATCAATGCCTCATTACTTATAAAAATTGGACATGCCAGATTATTACAGTCAATTGAACTTGTTACCTCAGAGATTGAAGTGGTGAAGTTATCTTCTCACTTAGAAAGTTAACATGGAAAATATATCAACGACCCGAAATGAGTTGGACTTGAACAATTGAATTCTGACGCCTACAAATTTCATAAACAAAACTGTCTAATAACAAACCACTTTCCAACTAATCCTGTATCGCGAACATTACAGTATCCAACCCGCCATACTCCATCATCTACTGTACCTTTCCTCCACTTTCTCGAGGGTCAAACCCCGTTCTCTAATGTAGTGTCTCCAATCTCTCAAGATGGGTGGAGGCACGTTTGCGTTCTCCCCTATGCTTCCGTGAGGCTTGACAATCGTAAGACCAGTTACGTTTGGGAAAGGCGGGAATCCACGCTGATAGCCGTATGTAACATGAGATCCTGATTTCGACTTTGGCTCGAATCCAATGGCATCGAGAGCCTTGGCAACGTCGTGGTATGCGATCCTTAGTTTGTTTACAGAGTTATCGGAAATGATCGCGTCCAACGTTTCCCAGCAGCCTTTCCTTAGTGGAATCCTGGAGTCATAGTCTTGAACAACTGGAGGCGCTTCTTCTTCCGGTTCTGGTTCGGCCTCTTCATCAATGTCCATTGCTTGAACCAACTCCTCGACATCCTCGGGCTCGTCTTGGGCCACCGGCGGTGGCAGTACAGCATCCGGGGCAACGTTCTGGTCGATCGCATTTTGCATAATCGCATCTTGTGCTGCCAATATACGCTGCCTGGCTTCCTCTTGCTGTCTGAGCCTCCGGTCGATTGTGTTCTTCTTCTTTATCCTCTTCGTGACACAGTCTTGCATCTGGCGTTTTGAGATATCCGCCATAGTGCGGGCCAGCTTGACCTCATCAGCCACAAAGTCATACTGGTCCAATGGTCTGGAATCAATCTTCTGGGGTTTCTTCCGGGGTCTTTTCAGCTTTTCTCGGTTCTGCTTGCTCAGTTTCTGCATAGCTTCTTTGAGATCTTCCCAGATTCCTCTGTAGTGCTGAGGATTATCTGCATCGGCCCGTTCCAGGTTGTTCCATGGCTTTTCACCAGTGACGAAAGGCCACTGGTCTGCCGTGATCCTCATATGTCCCGTCAGACGATCCAAAGCTTCTTGCGAGACCGTAAACCCATTTCCGAATCTTAGTTTATATTTGAGATCTTTGTCCTTTCGAGCGAGAGGGAAGACGAGGCCTTTCAGGAGAGATGAGCCAAAACGCTTGATGTCACCTCTCGCAGCGCCATAGGAGTTCTCGTTGCGTTTCCCAATCCCCTGTATCTCGTCAAGAAAATCGTAGATGCGTATAATTCGCTTTTGGGGTACATGCGGTGTTCCAAATGCACAGCCGTCTAGAGCAAGAAGGTCGTAGGAGTTTTGTTGCATGAGCGCTTTGGTGAATTGTTGGCAAAGAGTGTTATCGACATTGCCATCTTTTTTAGCATCTCCTATCGTATGAAAGAAATGCATCGCATCAGGCATATGTTCATCCATGTGATCAACAATTTCGGAAAGTATATTCAAGCCCTTGATAGTGCCTCGAACCAGGTTAGAGAACTTTTCACTTGTCCCGTCATCACTTTCGCATTCCTCGAAATACCGCAGTACTCTGGACGTTGTTTTTCGCATGCCAACAAACATCGATGACGCTCTGTTGGAAATAAAATTCTCAATGAGCTCGAGAACCATACGGGGTATTTGTGACCGTTCCTCGTTTGAAGCCTGATGTCGAAATCTGAGCTCAATGTTTGGAGCAGTGCAAAAGCTGTCAGCCAGTTTAGCTGGCTTCTTATCAGCATTGGGAATGCAATAAGTGCCGCGCATGGGTGGTGAGGCTGCGTGAATTGCGTTCTTGCGAAACTCGAAAACGAAAAAGGCCGCAGCTTGTCGCAATAGAGATTGGACCACTCTATGTTTTTCCAGGTACTCTTGATCGTCGTCGTAACTGAGTTGACTTCTTCGAGTAACACGTCGCTTGCCACCTCGAATATATTCTACGCCAGACAACCCCTTAAACTTTTCATCTTCGTAGCGTTTGAGATCTTTGAGAGCACGCCAGACCGCATCCCAGATGAAAAACTCAAAGAACGCCCTTCGAATAACAGCCCTCATGCAGTCAAGATACAGTTCCTGACGTTTAGTAATGCTTGTGTAATAGTCGTGAACATGCTGGCCTATCCTTTCGCCATCGTATCCGACGTACAGATTGCCCCAGTGGTGCTCCTTTTCTTCGATGATTGCCCTGGCGAAATAGTCCGGATCATCGAAAAGTATGCTGACATGCTGCTCTGCTTCATGTCTTTGTTGAGTGAGCATCTCCTCGTACCTGGCAAAGTTGGTACCGTCATAAGTCAGCTCGTATTGTCGTATGGCCTCTATGTCGTCCAAAGTCTCGACTTGCTTATCTCCTCTGATTGCTTCGATGGTTTTTCCCGCTTCAAGCTCCATGTCCAGCATTTGCTCGTGTGTCAGGCTGTTCGGCGGATCATCGACAGGCTTCTTCTTCACCAGATGAAGCATTTGCTCGCAGAAACTGGTCAGGAACAGGCATGTAATAGCCTGCGATTGCATTATAAGCCATCCTCCCATGCTGTAAAAGGGCTGACCAACTCTGATAAGGTCTTGCCCTTGTCCCTGCCTCAAGTGCTGGTAACGAAACAGAGGCTTCACCGGAAACCCACCCTCGTTTTCCGTTCCTTGGGTGAACTTTTTGAATTCGATTGAGCACGAGGGGTCGCAGGCTCCGGATAAGATACGTGTAGAATTTCCCATGTACATGGCATCATAGTCCTTGTAAAGAAATTCTTCGGGAAGAAATCGAGCTCGATTATGTATGAACGTGAGTAAGTTGAACGTGTTCGTCAGGTCCAGCACGTTTATGTGCGGGACGAGAAAACTGGCCCTGATATTTTCCTGGAATTCTTCAATGCCCTCGTTGAACTTGAGTTTGTTCTGATCGTTTCGTAGCCTCGCAGGCTTCGCCAGGCCCTCAAAGCTGCTTTCGGTGCCTCGGATAGCCTTGAGAAAGGCATCTTCGTTGCTCCTGTAGTTGGCTCCATTTCGATAAAGCGGATAATGTCGTTCTCTGGCCATGTTTTTACTTCTGTCCTCCGGCTGCTGGCACGTGAGATAGACCAAAGAAAATACATCAAGATCGGCAGAGCGGTTAGGTGCCATGCCGCCCTTGGCGTCCAGACGAAATCCGCTTGTTAATTTGCCAGGCTTTGTTGCATGCCTGGCGTTGTATTCGTCTCTGGCCGCTTCCCAGCTAATGTTTAAGAAGTTCTCGATGTCGAGAGTCTCGCCTTTTTCGTCTTTGAAATCTCCTTGTGAGAGCTTGATGATCGCATCCTGGATCGCTTTCTCGTTGCCCAGCACCAGTCGATTCAATCGTTTCCAACGTTCCCCAGCAAGATCAGTGTGGCGTGTGAATTCGCTTTCGAATTCCTTCCGCGATCTGCCTGGATCGAATGGAGGATAGACAGAATCTAAGCCATAGCCATTGAACCCAAGGAGGAGGCGATTGCATTTCATAGGTTTGTAGCTGTCATCTTGATCTGCGCGCGGGTGATCTACCATGCCGCCCATGTATTCGAGCATCCCAAAGTCTGGCCAGCGCAGGTCGAGGCACAATTTACATTTCCCAAGTCTCGCCGGATGCTTAACGTTCTCTGGCCTTCCTAAGTGGTCAGCGAAAAAACTACAGCTGGGACGAGAAGCTGTCGAGGGTGAGGGATGTTGAGGATTGCTTGTCATGATGGCATGTAGATTTCTTGTAACATGGGAAGAATAAAGGTGAATAGTATGAATTCACTGTGGCTTTGAATTAAAGAAAGATGGGATTTCGGAGACCAAGGTTCCTTATATGTTTAGACAACGAACGGTAGCTGTCACTTCACAACAGTGCCAAGCGTAGGAACTTAGCTTTCAGTGCCTTTAGCCAACGATATTGATGAGGAGTCAGAGAAGACAACAAAGAATGAGTATTGTAATCAAAAACTTGCTATTGCAAACACGTTCGAGTGTCCGTCTTTGTGTTATTTCGAGGCTTTTACACTTCTGGTGGTATATTGAGATCACCCATCCATTATTGTGCGATTATCTTATTATCAGCATTCGTTGTGTCAGAATCATCGAACGGTATATTTGGCTTCGATTTCTTTGTTGTCCTAACATACACGGTCCCTGTCCCTAGTCTGCATGGGCCAGGAACCGAAGAAAGAGACATCGGGCTCATATTGAATCTTCTTTGTTCAAATGTGAGGGTGGCCATGGCTGCATGACCAGCTATTTAGCGCTGCTAGAAGCACAAGGTAATTCTTCAAATCGGACCACTGAAAGGCCCAATGCTTGTCTGCAATCTTTGTGTACCTGACGTTGGGTACTCTCCTTTCACAAAGCAGTAGTGGATTCGACGATACTCGTTGAGATGGGAGTTCCTGAGCACATGAGCAGACATACCGTCCACATGTAGCTATGTTCTGCAAAGAAACTCGAGCAACGAGCGCATTTGAACCATCTATTTGTCTGGTACATCGCTCTGTTTGGCTTTTGTACCATTCCATTACCTCAAACATTGGGGATTATTCGAGATGCCATAGTATGAGAATCGCAGTTCAATATTATGGCATTGTTGAAATACTTAATTTGGTTCTTTCCAATCGCTCAGATTACCTAGGTAGACAGATGGAACATCGACCTCGTTCCAGAAAAGTTTGAGACTTGTAAATATCTACAAATGTTCACTATTTCCGAAGCTTAGTCATCATTTCTTTAACCAAAGCGAAACATCTTGAAATCGTACCTGTCTGAGCCCATTAATGGGATCGTTTCTCATCCAAATTTCAAGAGTGACTTCGCAGTCTCAACTTTTACAATTTATCCCCCTCCCAAGGTATGGATTTGACTTGTCCACGCCTGGCTGGTTGCTTGTTAAGTTTTGTCTCCAGTCACGTGCAGACGCGTTCACCTTTGATGCGCCATCTCTATGGAAGTCACAGGTAGCTGATCCCTAACGTGATGAACTCGATGCCGCCAACAACAACTGCGTTGCGTATCAGGAATCGGACAAAAATCACCACATTTGCTTGCTATAATGGCCCGCCTCAGTACTCAAGGTCCCGATGCTTCTCAAGTTCAGCAATCACCAACACAATCGCTTAATACCGCTTCTGATAATACCAACGAAGAATCAATACCTCCCTTCTTCAACACTACTTTCTCAACCCATCGTGTCTCGCCTCTCCATGTTGGTGAAAGGAGACTCGCGGGGCAGCGACTCGAGGTTATCGCCAGCCGCCTGCGCGACACTCTTGTTGGCGATGTAGTTCGTGGCATTCAGCTCAGATTGGAAGCAACAGATACAGCTATCGGGCAAGTCGGATCTCTAAAGGGAGTGCGAATTGAGTGGTTCCGAGCGGGTACTCTCTTAGGAGGGGAAGGTATTGGAGGCGACCTTGAAGTTCCATGCGGCGACCAGAGTGACCTTCCAGACGATGAGAAGCAAGGACTATGGATCAGCATTGAGCACGAAAATGCTGCATATGCGGCTATCCTTTTACCTGGACTTTCTGATACCTCAACATCACGGCAAGAGACGGATAAGAACAGGTTTCTTCATCTGCCACTTTTGTTGATGCGTATGCCTCAGCAACTAAAGAGTGTCGTGGCGGACTGGCTGGCTGTCTCTTTCGATTGCCGCGTTAGTCGAGTCGCGTTAGGAACAAAGACAATACTTGGTGTTTGGGAGAGTTGGATAGCGAACAACGGTATTGATGATCGAGGAAGCGATCTCACTGTGACTCTTGCGTTTAATGCGCCTCTACCCGACAACATCAGCCCAACAACCATCCCCACAGATCAACCTCACAATGAAAAGATCGCTACCCCAGGGCTTCGTTCAATCGATATCACCGTTTCTGCTCAAGACCTTCAGCGCTTCGTGCGAGCTGGTGAAAAGAACAATGCCATCGGTGGGGCCACTTGGGAAGGAGACGCCCGCGAACGTCGCAGACTTGCTGGAGGTAACGTGGATGACGGATGGGCGTGGCGAGAGAAAACTTCTTCTGAGACGTCGCCCTTCACTGACGCTCTGTCAAACTATTTGCATCACCATCTTGCACTAAAACTCTTTCACCCAAGTGTCCGTGTCACTCAAATAGCTTGTTCTGGGTTCGTGCTCAGTCAAGGTCGAGTCAAGATTTTAATCCCTAACGAGGCCAATCCTAACCTCTCCCACGCTGCTTGGTCATTCGTGGCGCAACTTGGACAAAGAGTTAGGGGTGATCAGCCACCGCAGGTGTTTCCGACACAGTTTGGTGGTTAAACAGCGACGATGTGTTGGTCTCTCTACGATAGACTTGGCACCTCCTCTACGGTATTAGCGGATACGCCAGGAAGGCCTTCTTTGTCCGCGTCCACACTATACTCTGGTCAGGTAGATCATCGTCTTTGAGAAGTCGCTAGGCAGCGGACCGAGAATAAACGGCAGAGTAGCGATATCACCGACCTGAGCAGGCAGTCTGTGTTACGTGCTGTTGTGCAGAAAGCTGGAATATGTGACAGAACCGTGCTTATGGCGTGTTGCTGCTCGGTGGTCTTTTGCTTTTCGCCCCCACAGAGCGCTGTGGGGTTAATCCGTGCATGATCTCGGCCTCTATCTTCTGCTGTCAGCAATCCTTAAGCCTAGTGGAAAATGGCAAGCTGATCTGAAGTGAGTTGGTGGGAGGGGGCGAAAGTCACAAAATTAGAGACATGTAAGTCCTAAGGCTACATCGCGTGGGTCTTGCGCTAAATTGTGTAACCTCTACCTATTAGTTTGATACTTGGCCTATTATCTTCTCTTCTAAGAGAGAATTTGTATTAACGGGAGAGGCTTCTTGTGGCAGATACTAATATTTTCAGCTTCTTGATCTACTAGGTGGCAAGTCTTCTGCGTCCCATAGTTAACCGATTGGGCATTTCAAGAAGAGGTAGGCATTATAACCTTGGGATAAATATTTACAAACGCCGCTTTTCCGTGATATGAAACGGTGTGCACAAACGGAGTACCAAAGTCTCCCTTGGCGGCTTTGAGCCAGATTGGAGCATGGGCAGATTGGGCCATCACAGGGCTGTGCTGGTCTGTGAAGGGTGGATGGAGATGACGACTGAGACCAGGCCGTTTGGGATATTTTTGCACATTATCAATGGTGCATGTGGTTCGTTGGGAAACTGGAAGCGACAAATGCTTCAGTCTTTCGAAAGTCGTTGAGTCCCTGCCACGATTAAATGTCCCAAGCCGTGCTTTGCGGCGGGTTGGTGCTATTGTAGGCAAACAAAATTGGAATCAAGTGCTTAGACACTCGGTGTAAGTTTGATGACCAGGTAGCTGACGAGGCTGCGATACCATAATATGTACAAGGATCCCTATCTTACAACCTACTGATCCTAAGCTGGTCGGGCACATTCTAATTAAACCATATAATCAAAGAAATGTTCCAGCTTTCAAGAATACACGATGCATTTCGGCGACTGACTTTTATGACCTTGGACATTTCTGGCTGTGGAACCACAATGTGTGGTATGGCTATATGGTTGCGGCTCTAGATCTCTTTTTATTAAGATGCAAAGTTGGATCTTTTAGCGCATTTAGCGCAACCCGTTTTGACACAGCATTACTTAATGGGATAGCAGGATGGCGCTGCACCAAAAGTCATACCAACATCCTTTAGCTATTGAAGAGTAGCGGCATGCGTCTTAATGGATATCCCATATGCATAGCTCATATCTTGCTGATCAGCTACATATAATTTGATACTAGTTGTATCATCGTGGCGCACTAAAAGGTCTTACTTTGCAGCTCAAAGAGATGTCGTTTTATTGCTAAAATGAGCGTCTTTATTTTGAGAAATCTTTGGATTCTCTTTCTTTTACGAATAATGATTAAAACCCATGCAAGCTAATTTTGTATATTCACTACGTTTCAGGCAAGGGTTCAATGCGAGCACACAGGTCTTTTCTGTTACTTAATAATACTTTGTTTTCAAGGCTGGTTTCTCCAAACACCATGTTTCTATTAGTTTGGTACCCAGTGCGAGCCTCGTTGTAAGACGAGATTATCCTTACAAAGAGGCTTATTTTGGCTGAGACAGCTGGTACTTTTTGCCTCCCACACTCCCTGTATGCTTAAAGGTATCCTGCAGCCCACATTTGAGCGATTGGGTACATCAAGAAGATGGTGTCGTATCCCCAGGCGTTGTTAGTAGTCGGATTTCAAAAACACTCTTCAATTTCTTCTCACTCAAAGGGTCTGGGAAGCTAGAAATTAAGCCCTAGGGATTGCCAGCTTCTGAGTTTCCGAATGATGGTGCCCCGAGATTCATCGGGTGTGGCTGGCTGCATCGATTCTTTGAGATGATATCTCCCAGCTGGGATGATGAAGAAGGCGCAGAACCCTCAAGTCGACTCGGACCCCATCGAGTGCCACCACCCCATGCTCATGCTGCCCAGACTGTTGGGCGTACATATCCCGTAAAAACTGAGACTTACGGATGAGGAGTAGGTTTCCCTGCTTGAGTTGAGGCTGAGCTGTCCTGGAGTAAAAGAAAGAGAGAGCCCCGTGCTCGCTGACTTTCCGGGACACTTCTGTTCTTTTATTGCTCGATCTCATTCTCGTCATTCTCGTCATTCTCCTCCTTGTTTCTCTCTTGTATAGAGAATCAACTGATTGACTCTCTAAACAAACATCAACGCCTCTTTGAGGAACAAACATCGAGTTTAGAGTTCAAAATGTCTGAAGCTCGCAATCGCTGGGGTCTCGCTTGCACCAACGGAGGGCAGTTCTACATCTGCGAGGATGACGATACCCAATTCGTAGGCTGCTGTGTTAACGACCCTTGCGGGAAGAACAACGGCACCTGTCCAGATGGCGATTTGCGCGCCACGACTTTCAACCCTGACACTTACTCCGAACTTCCATCACAAGACTGTGACAACTCCCAAGGCGTCGACAACTGGTACACATGTGCCTTTACCAACCCGCCTTTCCTTGGATGCTGCAGCCAGAATGCCTGCACGTCGGGTTGCCCAAGAGACAGACTAGTCCCAGCTAAACTGTCGGAGATTGAGAATAACAGACTGGATTTCCTTCATCCCAGGGGTGAAAAGACTACGAGTAGCGCTTCCGAGACGGCTTCCGCCACGGCTTCAAGTACATCTGCTGCTAGTGCTGACGATGATGAAGGATTGAGCACAGGAGCTACCGCTGGCATCGCTGTGGGCGCTTCCGTTGGTGGATTGTTTGTACTGGCTCTGCTGGCCTGGCTCTTCTGGTTGAGGCCCCGACAGAAGAAGAAGAATGAGAAGGCGCTTCAAGCAGCTTCAACTGCACCAGCACTTGGTCCAGCAGGAAGTGATCATCCACAGTCACCCATGAGTGGTCCCATCCACCAAGGCACATTCGCTGCTCATTCTCCGATGAGTGGTTACCAACGTAAGCAAGCATGTAGACGTGTCGCGTTATTGAGTACTAACTGATATCAGAATCATTCAACTCGACACCCACGGTCATGAATCCACATTATAGCGGTGTTTCATCGAACGATCAGTTCCAGAAGTACTCGTCCCAATTCTCTCAGTCCGAAAGACCTCAGTCATACGCGCAATTCTCAGATCACGGGAGCTATGCAAACAGTCCTGGTCTTCCGCCGTACCAGCAACCGTACCAGCAACCGCAGATGGTTCCTGTTCAGGAAATGGATGGGACTGCAATGGCTCGCCAAGAGATGAGCGCTGGTCCAGAGCATCATGTACAGCGCAATCCAAGTATCGGTCCCGAGATATTGAACGTGCAACAGCCACAGCAGGAATCGAAATGAGATATGCGTGATGAATAGGTTGAAGATGGATACAGATCTGTATAGATTAACTAATTCATAGTGTCAAAATATTTCTAAGGGGTACAGCTGTTCATTGGGAGGGAGGTGTTGTTGGGCAGTACAAATTGTTGGTGGTTATACATTCATTCAGTGAGCATTTATTTTGGTCTATTGCTTTCGGTATATTTACCTGTTTCATAGATAATTTATAAAGATCAAATTTCCTAATCATAAAATGTCTAGTCACCATCTTCCGTCCTTGTGCGCGAGACTCTCTTTTCATGTACCACTCGTCAATCGTCATTGTTGATAAGGAAATGTACAAGTTACGACGAGGAGGCTGTTTCACAAAACAGCTTGGAAGACTGTGGTAGTTATTTTTTACCGAGAGATACGCTCGCTCGGATGTTGGATTGGTGTTTTACGTATACTTTGATGCTTCACAAAGCAAGCAATGTTGGACAAGACGAGGCTGGCAATTGATCGAGATGTTGAACTCCTGACCTGGGAGTCGGAAATAAACACTCACACTCTGCCATGATTGAGGTGTCAAATGGTTGAGTTATTGTTGTTGTGGCACCCCAGAATTATGCATGACTGGCTATGTCATCCCGAGCTCCATACTGGCACAGATCCAGCCACACAGAGCCAAACACTGGACACCCACAAACCCCTCCTTGACGATTGCCCAGACTTCAGGAGATGGAAATGTCCCTGTTTCGATAGGACATGACATAACCGCAAAAGGGAAAACGTCATGGGCATGTTAATGGTTTTAAGATGTGTATAAAGAGGGAATGTTTTCTGGATGCAACAGATAATCATTATCAGTTTTTGAAAATACCTGTCAAGGCTAAATCATCACATTATTATACACTACTTACTAAGTTCATCACCAAAAACAACACCGCAATAATGGACTCTGCTGGAAACCGATCTGTCCTGTCCAATGACATGCAGGAGCTTCGCACCGGAAAAGAGGAGATCTCCAACAAGATTCAAGGCCACAAGGCGAACCTGTCCAACCCCAGTATGTACTCTACTCTACCCCAGGTTGTATGTTCAATGACTGACAGAAACACACAGACACAAGCGAGGCTAGCAAGGAGAACAGCAAGAAGGAGATTGATGCTCTCGGCGGAGACGTCAACCACTACGGCCAGGAGAGCGACCCCCGAAGCAAGAGCGCCGCGGAGAACCTCGAGGGCAGCCGAGCTGCTTAAGTAATCTGATTACCTGTTTTTATGATATCCACGGAATAATAATACTTGTTAAACTTTTTAACATTCTTTGCTTGGTATGGTGAACTTCAGTCTCCATGTCCACTACGTACTTTGTACTATGTATTTGTGATGATATTCCCGGACCCGGATCTCGGATCCGAACGTTCATGCGGTCAAGCGGAGATTTGGGTTTGGACGAGGTTTCACTGCTGGCAGGTATTAAAGATATGATGACTTCTTACACTGTATCATTTGTGTCATAACTCTGATTACTATTGACTACCATTTCTTTGTTGTTGTTATTATCGAGAACCCCCTACGCCTCTCAGTCACAGCTAAAGCCACAGTGTTTGTTTACTGTTCTTTTGACGTGAGTAATTAATTCCAAGGCGCGCTAGGCATCTCTTTTCCATTTCCACAAAGCTTGGGCTTGACAAAGTGACATTTTGTCAGAGGCGTTTGCATGGTAGGGCGGGTGTTTCATTGCTCAATGAAACGTGTGCTTGCAGTATTGGGCATAGCATATCGGCAAAGACGGAAGATCGGCACACAATGTTGTGTATGCTAACTCTGACGGGTCCGTCAAGTGATGGAGATCTTATGATGGGTAGTTTTGTTTTGTTTTGTTATGTGTTGTGGTGTGGTGTTCTTTTTTTGTTGTCTGTCAATTGTTTGAAGGCATCTTCCTTGACAGCACGGATTGTCTATAACTAACATATTCATATCAGCCAATAATTATCGAGGAATGTCTCATTTCTTGGCGTCATAAAAAAAGATCAAGAGCCAGTGACAGATTCTGCAGTCTATTCCCGTTGCATAACCGGGTGACCCCGTCGGGAGCCGTCGATCAAGAGAAACTTGAAGACAATTTTGACAGATTCAGGACGAGTCACTGTATGAAGGATGTACCTGCTAGACTATATTAACTATTAAATCCTCTATTTTAAGGATGAAAGCCAAGACTACCGGCAGTTGAATTCAACAACTCCTCAAAGCGGTCAAGTTATAATATTGGCTTTCTTACTTGGCTTTCTTAGATGCAAGCCAAGATCAAATTGAGATGAAATTACATGGAATAAAAACAGTCTAGACATACTACCCAAGAGTACAATTCAACTTTAATATCGTTGCCACAGTGTCTCTTTTTTTTGGCTCCGGCCCTTTTAATTTTTTCCAGCCGTTAGCAAGGCGAAAGCGGCCCGCAAGAACCAGGATTATCTTGGAGACAGACAGACACACGCCGCGGTCTACTTTACGGGGTGAACCATTAATTGTTTTCTTGTTTTCTTCGCTATTCTCTTCTCTTTCTTCCCTGACTTGAAGTCATTCTATTCTATCACTATTTCATACAACACTATATACCTTCTGGTCTCGAAATGAAGGTCGTGGTTACAGGGGCAACCGGATTGGTCGGCAACGACATAGTCAAGCAATGTCTCTCCGATGCGCGCATCACAAAAGTCGTGATCCTCACACGAAAAGCCGTCATAATGGATATTGAGAGTCACCCAAAAGCCGATGTTATCATGGTTCAGGACTTTTCACGGTATTCCGATGATCTCTTACGACGAATTGAAGGATCTTCAGCCTGTTTATGGTATGTATTTTGAGCCTCAATCCCAGTCTCAGACTGAGACTCAGTCTAGTCTCATAACCATGAGACAATACAAGAAACATAGGTTAACGCTCATATAGGGCTATTGGAGCTCGTCCAGATCCCTCCCACTCCCACTCACACAAAGACAAGGCCTATCTTCACCACGTCAATGTTCAACTACCTTTATACGCCGCCAAAATCATGAGCGAGCGCATCGCGCCCAAAACGCCAGCAGGCCAAAAGTTCAACTTTGTATTTGCCAGCAACAAGTCAAGATCATCTTCACTGCTTTCGCTTGGGGACCCGCGCAAGCCCAAGTCGGAGGCCGAAAAGGGCTTATGCGAGATTGCAGACGCCAGCCCTGAAACGTTTAGCGCTTGGATCTTGAGGCCCAGCACCATCCTACTCGCCTCACCAGATGCCATCCCAAGGAAGAGACGTAGTCTTGTTGGAGGGCGGTCAATTATCGGCGTTGAGGTCTCTCACATGGCAAAGGCTTTTGTCAAAGTTGCCTGCGAGGGTTACAGGGAGCGTGTCATTGATAGTGATGCCATATTAAAGATGACATTCATCTAGACTGGGCAGCAACTAACTATACAGTACTATGGAGATGTCTTTGTTGGGGAGTAATTTTTTGTGGATTTATAGCGGATTTATGGCGGAGTCGTCGGGGGCCGTTCTCGGGCGACAAGCCAGGCTGGGGAATAATACAAAAAGAGAGAAGCGAAGATATTAATGATGCAGGCACATCAACTCGAGTCAAGTTCGGATTCCTTCTCTTTACTATACCTTATCTAGGTACTTACAGAGTCACGACATTAATGATGTATATAGCATTCCGTGGTTGAAAATGGGAAATACTAGCATAACAGTGCAACAATTGACTAGATACAAAAGAGTCTTTTGATCTATATATTCGCATAGATACCATATTTCATTTTGACCTCCAGCTTCCGCCACAAGCACATAACTTATTATAGCTGACAAAGCACTTTAGATCTTGACAAGAGAGTGAGAGTGTCTGGTCCGCCGTGATAAGTTACGTGTTTATGGCGGAAACCAAAGGTGAAAACAAAATATAGTATAAATATATAGTGAGACATTCGGCCTTGTTGATGAGAAATAGTAGCGGACGTAACAGTAGTGCCCCAGAAATACAGCAGCAGACATGTCCCATTATATACATGCCCCCATCATTTATAAGTTCCTCCAGGGGCCATGCCTCAAGCAGTACTCATAGGGATATCGGGATCTGTTTCCTCATGCATGGTCTCATTCTTTTGCTTTCTTTTCGCTCGTTCTTCATAGAAACCTCTGATCCTTTTATGTAACGAGAACAGCGTAGGGTGCTCCGCTTCGACAGGATTCGGGGATGCAGGAGTGTTTGATGAGGGTTCAGGGTCGCTGATTCCCATACTATCTTCTGTATCTAGTAGGACATATCCAGGCACTTCTACTTGTGTTTTGTCCTCTATGGTAAGACTTAACAGAGCTAGCAGTGCCTTGTAGTCCTGAAGAGCCACTCTAGACCTCTTCAGGGAGGGTATGTGTCGACGCTGCGTTCCGGTGCGTCTGCCCGCCAACCTGGAACATATTCTTTCGCCGTTTCTGTTAGGGGTCGATACGAATCGACGCTTGTTTGGGTGAATGGCAGAGTATTCGGGCATGGGTGAGGGGAATCGTTCGCGTTTCATCTTGTTAAGGGCTCAATATAAAGCTTGTAAAATGTAGGTAGAAAATGATCTTGATGTTCAAAGTAGTAGCTTCTGATTATGTGAGAGTCCCGGGGCTTCTTTTTATAAGATCACTGCAGCAAATTTGAGTATGAAAGTATTTTGAGTCGGGCGCATTTCCTTGTCTGCGGCAGAAAATATTGAACTTTGGTGTTGATAAACTTTGACCATTTTTATCTTGCCTTCAGAAACAAAACACAACATATCGAAGTCAAGGTTTTCATGTCACCAATTTATCTGTCCAAAATTCTATGATCAAGCATCTTGCTCTTGTTTCTCTAGAACTAGCCCAAGCTCGACTTCGTTGCTGTAAGTTAGATATCCTTGACATTAAAGAAGCTCGTACTGACACTTACAGATAACTACAAAAGTTCACGTCCTTAATACCAATATCCGCTCTTATTTCTTTACCAAGACGCCCAAAAAGAAAATGAATCCCTTTGAGGGCTTCTTCCACGGAATGGCAAGGCATGTCTTACATCCCACATTCCTCCGCATAACGGGCAACGAAACGCGCAAGAATCCCGTCCCGACTCCTATTCCCTGGTACACGCCGCCGCCAGTACCAACACCAATATACCATCACTGGAGAGGCGGGTTTTCTGATACTATTGATGAATCTATCTTCGTCTTCATGGTAGCAGCAAGTGTCTTCACTTGGTGCACCTTGCTTCTCATCTGGTTTCGAGTGTGGAAATCAGAGATCGACTTTCAGCATGTTCACCCGCTGAGGGACAGAGAGGATGGAATGGGAGCTGCGTCTGAGGAGATGCAGCAGTTTATTCTGGAGCCTGATGTCTCTTCATCCCTACGACCTTCTGGGTCGGTGGAAGAAACACGAGGAGATTTTGTTGTTGGAGAAGACAGTGATGATGAGCCGGACTTGTAGCTGGCATGACGGGGCCATGCTTCTTTTTTTTTATTATAATACATTCATCAGATGGCCACATTTCTCCTCTATCTTGTGAACATGTTGGCTTCACGACGTGTGGCATGATTTTTCTTTATTAAGCTCAGTGAGGCTTCTTCCAAGCACGCTGCGCTACGTGACACACAAATACAAATCTTCTCAACAAGTTTAACACTCGAATCAACGAATCAATATTCCATGCCGCAGCGCTCATCATGCCATTTACACTTTGTATGGAGAATACCAGCCACCTTGAACCTGGTAGCAATGCAATATATAACATCAGTCTTAAGCCCCCCAAATCTGCCTCCATCATTCACCAAAACATCTACTCAGGATAACAACCTGAAAGCACCTACACTCACTCACTGTCCATCAAGACACCAACGCCATCACAATGGATTCCCACGTCTCTGGTCTCTTGGCCATTCTTTTGGGTCTCGTCTCCATCGTTGCTATCCTGGCTGTCGTCACCGTCGCCGCATCCGCCCAAAAGCGTATCGAGAAGAGCACCTACCACGACATCTACGCCGCCATCCAAGATGCAGCTACAGCGAGAAAGGGGGGCGAGACCTCCTCCAACCAGCATTCCGATGGCGAAGCAGAGAAACAGAACGAGCCTAAATCTAGCTTCGATGAGACTTCCAAGAATACCGCGGTTTAGGTGCAAAGTCAGGAGGTTTAAGGGATATTTACTTTGAGGGGTAGCTGTGAAGGTTTGGTTGGTCAGGTTCAGGATGTGTTGGGAGATGAACGCAAATGGCAGTGGAGGGCAGTTTGAGATGGTTTGTTAAGGAAAGTTTGTATCACGATAGATGAGGAGGAAACTTTGGAAATTCGGAAGGTTGCCTGGTCACGAGGATGTCTTCAAACCTTCATGCCTTCACCTACAAGAAGGATAGTTGGTCCTATTCTGAATCATATCACTATCAAGATTCTTTCATGTTTCATTCCAGATTAAACTCTGCACTCAATATTAAGAACTCTACCCAGAAACCCCTGTATCCTACGTCTAGGAGTCCAAGATGCCCAACCACTCGTCTCAATACTCGTATGTCCGCCGTGTTTCCGTTTCCCTCCTTGACTTTATTAACGATATCGTCAGTCCAGCCGCCAGACTCAAAAAGGACGGCACGGATAACATATCGCCTGTAATAGTAGGGGTATCAGTGGCGGCATGGGGTGTGTTTGTGTTCCTGGCATACATCCGGTACATCAACTTGTTGATCAACAAATGGCGAACCATCTATTCAAACTGGAGAGTTGGGGGACTTTACCCAAAGAATGAGGACCAAGTTGAAGGGCCGGTTGGGGAGCAGAGCCCTTTGGTGAAGAAGGTTCAAAAGAAGGTCAGATTTTCTGATGAGAAAACCATTGTCCCAGGAGCCAGAGATCCTATCCCAACATAAACACAACCACGATATATCATACGAGATATAAACAACCAGTTAATTCTGAGGAGTGCTGTTATGTTCATTACTTTTTTTTTTTTGGAGTATCAATAGTGTACCGCCATGTATACCATATGATACTGATAATTGCAATTATTCCTGCTTAACACTCATGCTGTACTTATCTAGATGACCCATCCGTTCAATGCTGCTCAGTTACTCCCATGAGAATTTCGATTGGCTTCGCAAAGCTCAACTCCTCCATCAAGTCCTTCCACGCAGTTTCCTGGAGCGTCTTTCCAGCTGGCTCGTACATAATCACAGGAAAACTACCAATTTAGTCAGCATGTACTTCATCACTACTTCTGGGTGAACTCACGGTTTGATCTTGCCCTCGCCAACAAAACTGCCATGACTCTCTGTACCTTTGACGGCAACAGCATGGACGTAAGACCGAGCGCCTGTGGCGGCTGTTCTTCCAACGATGGGCTTAGCAATCGCCATCCAAATTTGTTCCACTAAACTTCTGTGCCCATCGGATCCGAATTCCGTTCCTCTGCAAGCGCCAGGATTGGGGAAGTTGACGATGACTTCTTGGGGAGAGACGTGTTGTGCAAGTTTATCGACAAACATGATAAGAAGAAGCTTGGAAATTTGGTAGTGGCCGTTACTGGAGAAATGGGCAGGGTCGTCAATCACATCCCAGATGGAATCGTTGGTTCCGGTCCATTGCGCCCAGTACGACATGTCAGAGCCGACGATACCCAAATGTGCAGGTCCAGAAGTTCCGCGTTTTGTCTTGAGGACGGGGATAAGGAGGATGGCGAGTAGAGCTGTAGAGAGGTAGTTGATCTGATTGGTCATCTCATGCTTTGACGCCTCCGATCGCTCAAACTGAGGTCTGCTTAAGCCAGCGTTGAGAATGGCGATGTCAAGACGCGGCAGTGTCTCGCACCATTGGACGAAGTCCTGGATGGACTTGTAAGAAGCCATATCAACCAGCGATACCTCGATTTTGGCATTGGGAAACTCATTGCGGAGCTTCTTTGCTGCGGCATCGCCTCTAGCTTGATTTCGCACTGCGATGATCAGGTGTGAGAGGTTAAGAGTGAGAAGCTGACGAGCACTCTCAAATCCTAGACCGACGTTTGAGCCAGTAATAAGAGCTGTTTGGCCTGATAGGCTGACGCTTTTGGGGATCTTGGGAACACCCTCGATGAATTGACGGGAGAGGAATGCAAGGGGGCTGGCCTCCCAGGCGGCATTATGTTTGAGTTGAGCAGACATTGTGAAGATGAAGATGAAGTATAATGATCTATATTTCTCTTTCTGTATATTGTTCCTACATTCTTATATATCTATTGTTACCGGTCGAGATGCGGACGAGTTGACGGACGAAGCTATAGTGTAGTTGAAGCCAAAAATGGTGGTGGGTTTTTACCATTTCGTTCGTCCGTTCGGAGGCCGATACGGACCAAGTGAATTGATCACGGTCGAGATTATGTACATGTAATCATCATCGACTAACAAAATTATCATAATCTAGATAAAGGCTTCGTCATGCGTTTTAGAGGACACTAGAATAGTTTATCCTTAATTGCTTGCTATTGCACACACTCGCGATTGACCAACCTCGCTGACAATGTTACGGACGAAATGATCGTCGGACTAAATGCGAGCTCACCTATGACAGCCTATCGTTCAGACAACACCTGATGGAACGTCGCTCAAATTGGATTAAATAGTTTAATACTGTTCATTTAGTAATTACTAATAAGAAGTAGTCCTTGAGAATGGATTTTGTCAATGAATAACTTCGTTCAAAGGAAGCGTAGGCAGCGTAGGGTAAGCTAGACTGTTCAGACATTCGGATTTGCCTAATTCGACTCTCCTCCCAATCGTGACTGGATCTCTTTAAATGCAGTGATACAAGAGGAATCTCCCTTTTTACACGTGGGAGCATCCATCTTAGCTTGGCGGAATAATTGCCCGAGTCTGCACCATCAGGTCTTATCACCTATAGGATATGCATACGCACCTGAAGTCGAGAAGAATATTCCCTATAAAAAGCCCAAATGCTGGTCAAAATCCCCGTTCTAGACCCGATCGAACCGTCTTGGCAGGGAATACCACCCCTGGACCTTGTTAAAACGTGCTCCGAAGAGGCAGCCTGACCGTCAACTTGCCCTTCCTGTCCCTTTTCAGGTCATTCACAAAAGGAGAAACCTTACTTTTGGTCGCGAGTAAATTGCACCGAGGGGACTTTGAGTGAGTGAATACGCGCCGTAAACAATGGCGTGAGCTTTGAACAGTTAATTAAACAAATACATACATCTCTCGCGCTCCCACTCTATTTTTTCCTGGGGTACACATTCTTTTTAAACTTAAACATAAAGATAAACTATTTCGCTCTAAATTAATTAATTGATCGACCCCAAGCCTCTTTCTCCCCACGCTCGCTATTTCTCGGTTGGATCGATCGCCTTCACCAATCGACATGGGTTCCCTTCGTTTTCTCCTATTTGCGTCCGTCGCTGCTTTGGTTTCTTGTCGCGACGTACCCGACAACATCAAGGCTTTTAAAGAGAGCATCGTCAAGCAGGGTTCTTGCAATGACCCTCTCGCCAAGGGCTTTCATAGCGCCGATGGCGACGATGGCTGTAGGTTCTTTCAACTGCCCCCATTCACTATCGCGACTAGGTTAACTAACAATCTAGCCTACGTCTACTGCGGTGACCATGTAGACGACTACAATGTGGTATATCTCCAAGGCACCGAAGGCAAGCTTGTCAACATGGATATCGACTGCGACGGTATCCAGGGCAGTTCTGCAGATGATGGGCGCTGTGGCTCTTCAGGTGACACACAATCCGTCACCTCTTTCCAGGACCGCCTTCGAACATACAGCACAAAGCAAAAAGATCTCGATGCCAACATCCACCCTTATGTTGTCTTTGGAAACTTGGGCACTAAGAAGAACTGGCCAACCTTTGATGCGCAAAAGCATGGTATCAAACCCCTGAGTATCATTGCTGTTGTGTGTGGCGAGAAAATGGTAAGCGTTGACCCATACTCGGCACAAGCATGATGCTAATCTTTATAGTTCTACGGTATCTGGGGTGATGAGAATGGTGACGATGGCGAGGAATCTATGGTGGGAGAAGCCGCCATCTCACTCGCAACAGCATGTTTCGGCAAATCCATGAATGGAAACAACGGCCACGACGAAGACGATGTTCTGTACATCGCTTTCCCTGGCAGCGACGCCGTACCAGGAGACGACGGTGCTGATTGGAACGCGACAAACTTCAAGGACTTTGAGGCGAGTCTCAGTAGTGTGGGAGACAAACTAGTAGCACGCATCAACGACACTGGAAATGGCACGGACAGCGGTGATGACGACAGTGGTGCCTCTCGGGTGTGGTCTACATGGGGAATGGTAAGGCTGCATTGCATTCTTGTTATCGAGACTTTACTGACACTTTGCCAGGGATTCTTTGTTGTTTCGGCAATGGCTGCCATGATGATCTAGGCGTTCAGAAGGGCGCTCAGGTGTTGAACGGGTATGAAAAGGACGGAAGCACGCGTACGAGGCATAGACGTATTATAATTCTCTTGTTGATATTGAACACTGTACTGCATATTATATGAAGCGACCATATAGACATATAGCATAATACCATTTGATCTATCTTCATGCAAACCCTGGTTCGGCAACCCGGGGCCCCAAACGTGCGAGCCTTACGTCGAAGCGAGAAATAAATGACGTGATGTGCGAGAGCTGTAACAGGTGATCTGCAATATGGAATCATTCAATTGCTGAGACAGGTGATAGGCGAGAGTTTTAACAGATGAATGATCTGCAGTATGGAATGCTTCAATTGATGAGATTCTTCTGATTTGAAATATGTAGTAGATAAGAAAGGAAATGGAATGCTTTCCCGTACGCTATGATATACACGCCAACCATCCGTCGACTTCAACGGTCTTTTTACAATGCCATAGCGAAACCTAGTAGAGAACTGAAAATACCGACCCAGAACACGTTGAGAACTTGCACTCCAGAAGCGGTGTTTGCTGGAGCATCTCCCATCGTGCCCATACTTGTCGGCCGCGTCGCCTCGACCCTGACATTGTCCACTTCGCTGTCCTTGTTGGGGGTATAAGTACGCGATTCAAAACCGCACGACTTCATGATGATGTCCATGTCTTTTCAAGTCAGTATATTTGATATGCCACTTTCTAGGGGGCTGACTCACTGTTTTGCTTATGTCCATCCACGACAATGCAGTCTTGGCACAATGCTGCGACCTTGGCTACATCGAAACTCTTGTTCAAACAAACACAGTCTCTCTCTGGATCGCCCTGATCCGGTGCGTTTGTTTGTAGGCTACTGTGCCATGTACCACTCGCCGTTTGCGATTCCTCCGAAGTCCTTGAAGTCTTTGAAGTCCCCGAAGTCGAAAGAGTAGTCTGTGTCGCCATTGTTGTGTCCATGAGCATAGACGCCATCGTGGTACGCTTTTTCGTTGAAACTTGATCCACAGTACTTGAAGTCTCCTCCGTAGTCCAACTCGATAGCGATGTGGTGGTACTCTCTTCAGGAGTGAACTCGGGAGGGAATGATGTAGGCGCAGCTCTGATGATTGAAAAGCTTCTCTTGCCCAGCGAAGGAGGTTCCACGGCCAGCTTAGGAACCCACTCCGAATCTACTTGTCGCTTCGACATGCGTTGACCATGAATATCACATTTTGATGTCAATTCGACGATTGGGCCGCAGATGGTCACACACATCAACGGGATGTCGTCCACCGGTAACACGTCCGCGACAGCAACAGACAAGAGGCCATAGATTGCGGCCTGACTGGCCCAAGGCAATCTCATATTGATGGCGACTGCTTCTCCAAGGGCGCTTAGGATGGGGCTCTCTCGGATAAAAGAGCGCGCAAGTAAGCGATGGTGGCCCGGACTGTAGGCCTCGAAAAGACAGGACGGAGTCGAGTCGTCGAGTTGTTTCCTGCAACTCGATACTAAGAAACGGTATATAAGCGAAAGGATATATCCTCGTGGCAAGCACAGGGATAATTAGAAAAAAAAAGGAATGAAAAGAGAAGGTGATACAGTTATGGTAAAAGAGTGTACTAAGAAGAGACGAATGTGCTACCCGTTCAACAGGCAGTGAAGGAGAGAACGACGAAAAGGATCTCAGGAAGACTGGAGTACAATAAGATCTATGGGAGCGCGAGCCATGGCCATGGTAACTGTAAGGGCCCCTTGGGCTTGAGCTTGGGTTGGTGAAACACGGGTTCCCACATGGTACCTGAGCGAGAGTAAAGTTCTGTGTCAAGTCGCGTGGAAAAGGTTCAATGTGACGTTGGGATAACGCAACTCGGTCAAGGGTCAACAAAATCGAGAACGTTCTAGCAGGGGGATATGACAGCTAGACTCAAGAAACATGTTCACCGGGGGTGGTATTCCGGTGATAGTTTGTGCTTTGCTACAGCACCTGTTCAGAGCTGAGACGGCTGAAGGATGGTCTGAAACAGGGGTGGTTGAGCCTCTCGTCTCAGGATCACCGCGACGAGAGGATAGGTGGAAGATCAGCCGTAAAACAACTCGTTACGAGAATAGATAGATGGATAGATAAAACAGACTTTCGCAGATCCAACGGAAACAATCGTCAGATATGGATAGGTTATCACCTGCTCCAACTTTACTAATCGGCCCCGAGTCTCGATATAGTCCGTCGCCAATCAACCAATCAATCAACCATGAAACAGTCACCAACTGAAATTATCATAACAGGAATCTTTGCTCTTGCATTTTCAACAGCTCTAAATCTATGTCCGGTAAACCTCTTTACCTATTCACGCCGTCGTGTAAATCACATCCCCACCCCCATCCATTGATATATCTTCCTCGCCGTGTCTCATCAACCACGTCCATATGTCATTTCATGCTTATTAAAAACGGTATAATCTTAGCCAACAGTCGACGCATTCATGCAGAGAAGAAATCTAAAAGGTCGGCCGTTGCAAAATGAAGCCTTAAATCCAGATAAGACATCTAGAAGCGGTGCTGACGACCGACACTCTCGACGCGGACGCCCAGCTTAACCATCTCCCGAGAATCGATGACACCACGGCCATCAAAGACCCAGCGAGGCTTGGCCATGCTCTCAGAGATGCGGACCCAGTCAACACGCTCCTTGGGCTTGTACTCCTCGGAGCTTCCCATACCAGTGGCGAAGCCGCTCTCCTTGCTCTCACGCTCCTGGATGCAGTCAGGGCAGTCGTCCTCACAGCTGGGCTCAATGTTGAAGCGCTCGAGAGGGTCGTGGGTGGTGACGTCGGGTCGCTGGACGAGATGCTTGTGGAGAGCGAGGAGCTCGTTGGGGCTGCCACCCTCCTTGAAGGGACGGGGGTCAGACTTGGGGTTAGGCTTGCGGCCAATAGTCTTGGGCTGGACGGTAGGTTGAGGAGCAGGAGGGGGAGGAGGCTGGTTGCGGAACTCGTCGAACTCAGTAGCGATGATGATGGCGGTACTCTTCTCACAGGCGTCGTAGGCATTGCCGTGGACGGTGATGTTGTGGCCCTCAGCAAGGGGACCGAGAAGCTCCTTGATCTCAGCCTTGATAACCAGAGGGTTACAGCAGGGGTCAAAGACGGCGATCTCACGAGGACGCTCCTCGAGGAGGGTCTTGATCATCTCAAGAGCGGGAGCCTCACGGGTGTCGGAGGTGTTCTTCTTGAAGGCAAAGCCAAGGATAGTGACCTTCTTACCGACAAGCGTGTTGTTGAGGCACTTGATGACACGGTTGGAGAAACGGTCACGGGCGTACTCGTTCATCTTGACAACCTGGCGCCAGTACTCAGCGACCTCGGGAAGACCCATGGTCTCGGCAAGGTAGACAAGGTTGAGAACATCCTTCTTGAAGCAGCTGCCACCGAAACCGATACCAGCCATCAAGAACTTGTTACCAATACGGGGGTCAACACCGACGGCCTTGGCGACCTCATCGACATCAGCACCAGTCTGCTCACAGACGGCAGAGATGGAGTTGATGGAAGAAATACGCTGGGCCAGCATGGAGTTGGCGACGAGCTTGGCAAGCTCGGAAGACCAGACGTTGGTGGTCAAGATACGCTCGCGAGGAATCCAGGCGTTGTAAACCTTGACGAGAGCCTCAGCAGCCCGCTTACCGGAGGGGGTAGGGGCAGAACCGATGAGAATACGGTCAGGGTAGAGGAGATCGTTGACGGCGGTACCAGCAGCCAAGAACTCGGGGTTGGAGAGAATCTCGAAGTGAACACCGGGGCGATGCATGTTGAGCTAGATTCCGCAGTTAGCATTTGACCGTGATCTTCGCTGTAGACGTTGATTGTGTGCTTACAGTATCAGCAACGAGCTGAGCAGTTCGGCAAGGAACAGTAGACTTCTCAACAATGATGGCACCCTCACGGGCGTACTGAGCAACGACACCAGTGACGGCCTCGAAAGCGGTCATGTCAGTGGCACTACCGGCACCAACACCACGGTACTTGGTGGGTGTGTTGACGGCAACAAGGACGACATCGGCCTCGCTGATGTGCTTGGCAACATCGGTAGAGAAGAATAGGTTGGGCTTGCGCTCATTGATGGTGATCTCGCCCTCCTCAGCGGAGGAGCCCTCGCTGTCGGTGGTAGGCTCGCCGGAGATCTTGCCAGGTCGGCCACCATCACGGGCGATTCGGACGATATCATGCAGACCAGGCTCGTAGATAGGAGGGTGACGGGAGTTCCAGCGTCGGATACGGGTGACGTCTCGGTCAACGACAGTAACCTGGATTTGAGGGTTCTGGAAAGCAACGACAGCAGCAGTAGGGCCACCTGTAAACAGCTTGTTAGTCTGGCTGAACTCAATTGTGCAACCGGGCGGTGTATGGTTCCCGAGGACTCGATAAGCGCGCAATCATGATATTGAACGCATTATCTCGACTCTCGCGAACTTGACAGACACTCTGCTTGCTGCCTCGCGAGAGGCCGCTGAGGGGAGTTTGCTGCAACTTACCGACGTAACCAGCACCAACACAGCAAATGCGGCGGACCTCGATGGGTGCCTCCTGAGTGCCGTTTGAAGACATGATGATTAGAATTGGTATGAAAGGGTATTACAGACGAGGTAAAGGACAAGCTGTAGAAAAGATGCGCGCAAACGAGGTCACGAATCGACACACGTAAAATGCTAGCGAGTGTGAGGGATCGGAGAGAGTGGGAAGGGAATGGGGAGGTTTATAAAGGAGATAGGATGGGAAGTCGCAGATGCAAGGGAGGCTAGAAAAGATATTCCCACCCGATTTCATTCAACGTTGCAGCTAAGCTAATGGGAAAAAGGGGGGCACTCTATCTCTGGGGGAGGGAGAGAGAAGGCAAGGCCGGTGGAGGGGCAGCCGCTGAAGCCACGCAACGATTGGAACTATCTACCCAGAAGAAATTAAGGCGGTGAGGTATTCCCATTAGTTTCTGCCCGCCAAGGGATGGATGAATACAGTGACTATTGTACAGTAGCGCGGCAGGTGTTGACTTGATTTGAGTCTCGACTGGGTTGGTCAACTTGGATGGAGGGGCAAGCAGGGATGGATCTTCAGGGATCCCAGGGGCAGATTCTCAACGGAGGGGAGGCTCGATGCAGGTACCACGACCACCATAACCTGCTGGAAAGAGTACTTTTGGGTGCTTGGAATCAGGAATTAGGATCGAGAATAATGGATAATTCAACAGAGCATTGTACAGTGTTTAGACACGGTGATAATTCTCTCCTACAAGGCTGCGCAAGCCCCTCCACTCCCGCGCAAACCAGGTCCCTTCAAATACTACCCCCACATGGGTACCTCTCGCGGCTAAGCTTATGGTTATGGTAAAAAATTACTTCAGGTAGGTAAGTATTTCGTACTTTAGATTAGGTTTGGATGAAAGGTTTGACGGTGAAGCAGTGCACTTTCATCGAGACAGGCTCCTCAATCCCATTCCTGCTCAATGATAATGAGGTTATTTCTCGAGTGGATACTGTAAAGAAGGTCAAGGAAGTTTTAATTACTGCCACCAACTTGTCTACAGCCAATACCTCTGAATCTGTCGGTAGTCCAATTGCTCAGACAAGGAAGGAACGGGTAAGGTCCACACCCTGGTCATGCACTGTCCAACGCACTGTCCCTCATGTCACTGAAGGGAAGGAAGGGAAGGGACGGGATTGAGGACATTGACTCTTCGCTTCCTGTTATATTCCCTGCAATCATTTAATGGGGAACTGACCAGACTCCAGCTGTTTCCTGCGGACAGAGACGATCCCGCCATCGATTCACGATTGCAGGGTGCACAGGGCAATGCTGTCATTGCAGCAATTCCCAGCACCATCACCTACAAAACAGACACCTTCAGCCTCGTTCGTGTGCTGACCGACTTTAACAGAACTTGGTGTGCTCGTGAAATCGGAACACGAGGTAGCTGCAGAGTTTTCGGCGGCGTGCCCCCTCCGTACATCGCATGACAGCTGCTGTCCTTCACTAGATGTCCATGTTCATTCCTGCAAGGCTGACATGATTTGTAGATCAACGAGTCAAATTTGAGGTGGCCGAGATTTTGACCAACCGACAGACAGGGGGTTTCGCTTTCTACTGTAACGAGCTGTTACAGCGAATACGTAGTCACATCTTGGCTGGTGCGTGGCATGGTATGCAAAGCTGATGATAATGGTGCAGCTAATGGAAACATAATCGAGACGGTGAAGGCATTTGCTATGCATGTCTTTTGCTGGTACGTATGGGATGAAGTTGTTCAAGACATTGGATGGCTGAACAGATTTCTGACTGGCACGCTAGAGAGGCATTAACGCAAACCCATGGTCAATGTCTCACAGGCGGAGACAACTCGATTATCAAGCGAGAAAGAGTCTTACGACCCCTACAGCTTTCATATCCTACCAACGATAACTAATTAGCCACCGCACCGGCGAACAGCCAGAATGAGTGAGCGGCCGTCGCGATTCGTCTCAATTAACACGATACTCACTAAGCCTATGGAGTATGGAGTTTAGCGTCTCAGGGGTAACTCGAGCACTTTCCGATGCCCGTCATTCTGTTAAAAAAACGGAGTCTATCCGAACAAGGTGCCGCCGACCTGGAGGGTAGAAACAGGCACTGTGCTAACTCGGCCGACTCCGTGCCTGCGTGTGTACAACGTACCTAGTAGACGTTTTTGAAAGGACAGAAATAGAAGCAACAAGTAAGCCGCTGACATTCTTCCAGTCATTTGCAATCGCGAACCTTGAACCATCTTTCTGGAACCTCTCTCGAATACGGGTACTTTGCCTCATGAGGTATGAGGCGACGCTTAATTTGAGTTTGCGCAACTTCCCGCAATCCTTACACGAGATATCGTGATCGACAAGGCTGCGACGCGTATGGGCTGCGACAACAAGCGTTGCCTTCGCATCCGACTTATCAAAGTCGCAAGGAATAGACTTCCTTTTCGAGGATCTCTATATACGAGGGCCAACAGCAATCTAAACTCCAAATGAGCTGCGGCGAGATTACTCTGGGTACTCCGTACTGCCAAGAGCTATCTGTTCGCTTTTCTTCCGCAATCAAGCATCCGTGCTATCGATGAGGCTAATATCTAACCTTGCTGCACTGACCCGAGCAAATGATATTACGGCTGAGCGCTACTTTGACAGCCGAGTGGTTATGGTTCGCTAATAGTCTGGAATAGCATGCGCTTTACCAATCAGCTAGACTATACACACCAGAGGGTACGAAGTCTGCTAGATTACTTGTCATTAAGCATAAGTTCATGTTAGTTGATATGTCAGCACAGTGGCCTTACTATGTTGATACATGTTTGCTTGAGCCCCAATTACAACCTGGTGGGCATGCAATGAAGCTAACAGACCCTTGCAAGTAACTAATCCCACTCGATATATCTAACTGTTACCGGTGTCATGATGCCAGGGGATCAGCTGCGTCATGAGCTTTTGCTTGCATAGGGCAGGTGAGCCAAGACGGGAACATGACGGGGCCTTACACGGAAGCTGTAGGCCGCATTTGTGACAGTAAGACTCGTGTGTATACAAGGAATGGTGAATATGGCCGTGGTAATTTGGGATTCTGGGTCATGTTGGTGGTTCGGCCCGTCAAATCCATCATGGTTCGAGGTCGCTACGCCTTGTTAGCATATCGGCCGATTCCATAAACACCAGACCATCTGATGTTAACCGTGAAGCGACTTCGTCTCATCTGCCAAGAGCCAGCCGAATCGTTAGACAGTGTCTCGCTATTGATGAACATTCCACTTCGCTTGATCAAAAATACAGGGAATGCGAAGTACAAAGGTCAAGGCATACCAAGGAAGAGGCGCGGTTTTCTGACATGCCCTGGTCAATTGTCTCCATCATGGAACACCCTGAATACGCGGTATGGTGAATACTAGTACCACGCCAGTATATCGTTTTTATTATTCATCATCGGTAACATAGCCTAACAGAGGACTTGTTTATATCTCTAGACTTTTGATCATAGGTAATCTGTCTCGTTGATGAGGGATCAATATCCCACGTGATAAGCCACGTGAGACTCATCCTGATCTCTGAGCAGATTAATCCCAATCTAATCTCTTTCCCAATCAATCAGCAATACTTACGACCAACTACCTGACCAGGAACTGAATTCATTATCATTTTTTCTGAAGTAATACCGCTCTAGTTTTGGCTAAAAGCTGACTTGTTAGCTCGCAATGGCGCCACCATAATTTTACGCCAATAGCTTCCATCTCCTAATGAGGGCTCCCTAGCCAGGAGAAACAAGAGGCGCTCCGTCTCTTCCCGATGCCTTGGTAAAGGCCAGTCTTCACTGCTAACAATTTTACTTCTCAGCTGGATTGAGTCTGTCACGAGTCCATATCTGAATGCGGTTTTTGTTTGGCATGGCATGAAATTTGCTGCCAATGGCCCGGACCCTCTCGACCACGGGGGCCGGAATTGCAATAGCCATTCGCAACGACACACTAATCGGCGGGCTGTCCGAGTTGGAGCAATGTGGTATCGGCGACGCATTTGATTCGCCAATCACACGCGGGTCGAGCAAGGGTTCTACAACAACACCGATCTCAGAAGTGACCTTAAAGGACGTCGCGAATCGTCTAGGCTGAGAAAATGCTGCTGGGCGTCTAGGGAAAGACCGGCAGTTATTACATCAAGCATGAAATCAAGTGATTCGTGAAGATAGATCCCGTCGTTGATACAGAACTAAGCTATTGTTCCGAGGTTCTAAGTGCTTCAACCAAGATGGACAGCCTCTGTGTCTGTGGTCTAGAGTGAAAAGTCAAGCTCTGGGCATCTTCAAGACAGCTCTATCGACTGTGCTCATCAATATAAAGCCGTGGCTCGTGTTCATCTTGAGCATGCGATCAAGATCTGCCCCTCCAAGTACCCCCACCGACTGGTTGGTCCCAGGATCGACGAACTGCGTTGAGCGACCCCTCCTCGTGGTGTTTACAATGGCCTGTATTGTAGACTCGTCCATACCAGAGAAGCGCCTCATGTGCTTGCATTAATGCATTTTCTCCATTCTCGTGGCCTTTTTGCCATCCACGTGCGAGGCATTTCTTCCAAGTTTTCTATGTGACCTCGATGTCTTGACAAAGAAAAGCATCGCTTCCCGCCTGTTGTCTGCTTCGTGCAGTGCCTTCTTCACGATCACCGACCAACAGTCTACCATAAGCCATCATGGTTTCTCAAACTCAACAATTGGCTATGTCGCCATATCCTAGCCATGATCTCTCTGAGTTTCCCGAAGCCCTCAAAGGGAAGCGCATACTGCTTTGCACAGAGTCCTTTGGCCCTGTCAATGGAGTTAGTCGCACGACTTTGATGCTTGTTAACCATTTGCGAGCGAACGGAGCTTCCGTAGCAGTGGTCGCGCCACACAACCATACCGAACACAACACCTTCACTCCACCTCCGTCGCCCACCTTGTCTCCTGCAGATAAGCAACCTGAAGTCAGAGTGTCTGGATATCCGCTTCCTTTCAACCCAGAATTGTCTATTGTATACCCTGTGCGCAACTCAACACTGTTCTCGAACACCTTTGGCGACGTCTCTCCTCCCGATTTGATCTATCTGGCATCACCTGCAAGTCTTGGTTTCCAAGTGATGCTTCAGCTACGACAGCAGCCTAGAGAAAAACAGATCCCGGTAATCTGCAACTTTCAGACCGATCTGGCTGGCTATTGCTCGATCCTCTTCCCTGCCCCTCTCAGCCATGTCGCCGTGTTCGCGTTTGCAGCTGTGCAGAGCTACTTGTTCAGTCACTCCTCGATCAAAACCATCTTCTACCCTTCCAGCTTCGTGAAACGATACCTTGTGGATCAAAATGTCCCAGAAAACAAGCTTGAACTTCTGACACGAGGTGTCAACACCGAACTTTTCAACCCAAGGATGAGGAGTGAGACATTGCGAAAGCAACTGGCCCCGAACGGCGAGATTATTTTCGTAACGGTTTCCCGCATTGCTGGCGAGAAGGGTTTCGATTTTCTTGCCAAGGCTACAAAGGAGCTTGATGCTCGGGGGCTTGGCTTCAAGCTGTATGTCGTGGGTGGCAATCGTAACCCCGACGTGGAGAAGGAAGTGCAAGAGCTCTTCGACCCTTTAAGGGAGAAGGGCAAGGTTATTTTCGCAGGATTCAAGGTTGGAGAGGACTTGGCGGCTGCGTATGCCAGCGGTGATGTTTTCCTTCATTGTTCCATCACGGAAACTTTCGGTCTTGTTGTTTTGGAATCTATGGCTAGTGGTGTTCCAGTCGTAGCCCGAGACGAAGGTGGCCCGTCTGATATCGTTCAGCAAGGGGACAACGGATTTCTTGTTCCACCGAATGACCTTGACGGGTTCGTGGCCAAGGCAATGAAACTCGGACGGGATCACAACCTCCGGGGGCAGATGGGTCATTCTGCTAGGGCTTACGCATGCGAGGCGACTTGGGAGAAGATTAACAACAAGGTAGCATGGCGCATGGCGGACACCATCTTGGAGAGAAAGCGTGAACGAGGAAATCTTTCAAGTCGCACACCCTCAATTCTGAGAACATCGACAGAGCCGCTCATCCCAATTTATGGCTGGCTTATGATGAACGATGCTATACGTGAGACAGTCACACGAGGCATCGTTGATGCGCGACTGATGGGCGGATTGGGTGTCATTCTCTCCTTCTGGATAGTGACTGGATGGTACATGGCGTTCACAGAATGTTTCCTCTGGGCCAAGGGGCGATTGAGGGGTGCAGAAAGGAGGTTGTCAGTCTCGTAGTACGAGCTAGTCACTTTGTGGCGTTTTGATGGCTCAGATCGTTTAAAGGAGTTGGATGAAATACCTGGATGTTTTGATGTTTACTTTACAATCGTATTAGACAGTCCTTACAGTAAGCGTTGGAGTTGATACAATTATGAGACTGGCATGTGGCTCTCTTTTACATAGCGTTTATAGATTACGATACCAAGAACTTGCTTTGCACATTTGATACCGACAAGCTGATACAACGTCATGTTACAAGGATACCGGCTTTGGGAATATCCGGGTCACAGCAACATACGATGGTGTTTCATGTGGAGGAGAAGCCGTCCCACCACTCCCCTCACCTCACCTCACGCCAAATTTTCACAACGAAAGGAACGTCATAGGTGGTTGTTCAGCCATTCAGCGGCTAGTGAATTGTTACTATGAGAGTACTATCTAGGTAGATGTAATAGTGTAGGAAGGGAATCTAGAGACCTTTTATGCGGTCGGATATCAACTAAAAAAAACATAAGGTGCCATAATAAACCGGCATATACAAAACAAGACGCTTATGAGAGTTAAAGTGGTAGAAAAAGTCGACAACGCTGTGCATGGCCGTTATAATAATGAAGAAATTTCGCTTGATTATTCACGCCCTGACAGATCATATCGTTGCTTTTCTGGGCATAGTGACGGCTTGTCTGCGCTGGTACATGAGGGCATAGTTGTAGCGCTCGTAGGTTCCGAAACCGACGGCTATCACAAAGGCGAGCAGCCATATGCTCGTGATGATCAATCCGATGGGGAAGACCATGAGCTCCACGCCAGGCAGGATGAAGGCGACAGTGCCGTTGTTGAGAGCGGCAATCTGCTCGTCGACTGCGGCTTGGGCCATGGCAAAGTCGCCCAAGACAACGTCTTGGGAGAAGACACCGGTAAGGAAGGCGGCTTCGTTGACTGAGACGTTTGTCCGAATCATAGCCCCACTGCTGTTGCGAGCAGTGAGGGTAAGAATTGGCATGAGATGGGATTCGAGCTCGTCCCTGGTATTGGGTTAGTAAATGAAGCGAGTGAGTGAGATAACTAGCGTGAGAACTTACATAGTCATATTACCCGTCATCTTGTCAGCGTTGATCCTGCCAACCAGCATGTATGATCGCAGCAACTCCATTCCTCCATCGGCTCTCTTGCTCATGCTTGGCTTCTTGCCAACCAAGCCTGTGCCGTTCACATCGTTGGGCTGAACGGGCATAACACTTGCGCCATTGAATGAGATGCCGACATTGATATCTTCTGGTGCCACAGAGGCGAAACTACCTCTGGCCTGCGATACTTGGTACAATCGCAGATCAGCCTCGAAAACGCCCGTCTTCATATCCAAAGATGGCAAGTTGTAGCACAAGCAGGTCCCTGAGGGATTCGTGCTCTTGTGAAGGCCTCCAAGGGCGGTTCGGCATGCAGAGTTGGTGTTCATGTTCCATGCCGTCATGTTCATTGAGCCATCCTTGTTGAGAGGGATCTCACCAGCAGGGGCCTGATCGGCTGTGGAGTTCTGACCATCGCGCTCGGATAGTGATTCCGTTGTTAGCAGGGCAGCGTATGGTCGGTTGAGAACATCATCGACAGTTCGGTGGAGGAGAGAGTCGAGGGATGATGATAGTGATTGTGCTGAGGCTGAGAGGGCGAAGAGGGCTGTGGCCGCGAGGCGAAGTGACAAAGCCGGAGCCATTATTTTCTGATATCTCTTTTCCGAGCTCTTCCGGAACGCGCTTCTCTGCGTCTCTGTCTCTTCGTCCCTGAGTGATTTTTGTTGATATCCGTGACAATGTAGCGTAATCCTTCGTTTTTTCCAACCCGGTTTTCGTTTTGATTAGGTCAACAATTAATTTTTCCGGCCTGCGGTAAGAATTGAATCGAATCGTGTCACTGCCGTAAAGTGATTGTGTTTGTGTTTATTCTGAGTAGTTGTGGGTATCTCAAAATCCCAAGTGAGTTGTGGCGAGCAGCAAATCGTCGTGAGTGATCAAAAATAGCTCCACCACCCGCAAAATATCAGACCTTATTATAAGTCGTAAGGAAGACAGAAACCAGTAAAAAAGATCGAGGATCAACCTGAAGAGCGGATCGTCTAGAATAAAAGAAGAAAGTCGACTGGGGGCAACCAAAAAAGAATACTAGGTAATAAACAAGGGGGTAAAGAATCGAAGTTGAAAAAAGAGGGACCAGCCCACGCGCAGCTAGAATCGTACCAGACCAAGAACTGACCTGAACTGACTTGACTTTTAACAGCTAAAAGAACGAGATTACGGGGACCCGGTTCAGCGGCACGGCAGCTTCTTTTAGCTGGGCGTGGGTTGCAAGGGTTCCTATACCGATTTGGGTCTTGATATAATATGGTTGGCTGATATAGATCCTCGAGTCGCTGAGACGAGAACCGATGAGCGCCTATGAACACAAGATTTGTGATATAGGTGACATCTACTGGCATCGTGAAGGGATTCATGCTTCACAATGGCAAAAATCAAAACACATTCGGGCTTGTCAGAGTACCAGCATTGTCTCGGTTGTGTTCTGGACTTGTCGCAACTTGCCAGGGCCCTGACCTGAGCCAAGCTCTTGGTTCCCTCGCTGATGGTGGCAGTGTCAAGATCGGTATGCGGAGACTAGCGTAGTACGACGTACACTGACCATAGAGAACAAGGCACGGCACAGCAGAATGTCCGTTGATGCTGGTGGTTGTGGTGGATGGTGTAGTTTCAGGTTGAACAAGGGAGTTTGCTTGTGGGTGGCAGTTGAAGATAAACTGGAGCAGTGTGACTTGATCTACGAAACATAGCGTACAAGCCATAGTTGTTTTAATAATACATTAGACATTTCCAAGTTATCATGCCACTGCCTAGTTCATTGTTATCTTACAATTAAAATACACATCATTCACAATATGTTGTCTATCCAAGTCCAATAATCCCAGTCCGCCAAGTCGGCCAAGTAGAGACCACTAACGGCCACTCTAACCTGCATAAGCAAGGTCCGGTGTCAAGCACAGCTAGGGGCATCGGCTGCCCTAAGCCAGGGGAATCTTCAGGGCATCACCCCTGTTCCACATGGCGTCTCGCCCACTAGCAGCATTTCGGCTCATTTCCACCCCCGCCAAGCCTCCAGATCTCTGCAGCGTCAGTCCATAGTGAGCCGGTGATGGCTTCATTTCTGACAGTTGTTGGGCGGTTTTAAAGGAAATGAGTTCTTCCATTCACTAGAGATTCTCCCGTCCTGGCGCTTCGTGACATTCCCACCAGAGTTTTATGAAACATGGCATCTGGTGATTTTAAAAGTTGCCTGCCAAATGTTATCTAGCGCCAAGATCCAGGGGCAAGAAATATTGAGTCAGACTCTTTATCTCAACTGTTTGAATGTGGATTCTAACAAAGAGGAGTCAGCGCCTGATGAAGCGAACAGTGAGTAACTGAGGTGGTCAGAAACGGTGTCGAGACGGTCTGGAGACGGTGAAACCATTTTGCAACAGGAAACTCGAGCTTCCGGATGACAGCTTGACGGGCCACTGTATGATCGCCTTAGAAACGCCTCCCCATAACAGACGCCTAATAATTGTCATTAGGGCATAGAAACCAACAGACAGGAGAATGAAACCTGCAAGATCAGTATTATCACTATCTGTTTCCAGGGGTTTACGTTAGTTCGATAAGTTCTAGGCCTATGACATGAATCCAAACATCTTGGCGGTTGCAGTGGCTCAGACTACGACGATACTACGCTGCCAAACATTACAAAACAATGAGGCTTTTTTCTCTCTTTCTTGAATAAGCGAGACACTTCAAGAAACGAATTACCAAGTCGGAGAATAAAGAGTTTACGTGTTTCTTCACATGATCACCGTCGCCGGTTTATTGATCTTGTCAAGACGTTCTTGGAGGGTATATCTCGCAGTGAAATGATAGTAGAGATAGCCCGCATTACGACAGTACAGATAATAATATATGGTATGATACCCTCCATTCCATATAGACTAAAAGCCAGGTGATGTTGTAGTGTAATCGTTAATCGCCGTCGGGCACTGATGGCTTCACACAAAAGAATCGAGGTAGATAGATAGAGTGACAGTTCTCTGGCATAGACCTCAACCAAAATAGACCTACAGCTGTGATTCTCCCCCACTACTCAATTCGCATATACATGTATACATGTTTAATTTCTTAACAGTCAGTTGTCCGACTCTCGTATACTGTCCTCGTATAATATCCTCCCTCAATCCTGCGATAGCATACCCGCTACCGGAGATGCCATCTTGGCAAAGCGCGTGGCTGTGCTCATTTAATGCCATAAGCATAATGGCCAGGGCCATGTCACCAGCGTCTCCAGGGTATATACATGGGCACTTTGATCATCCTTCTCCTCCGCTTCAGCCGGCAACATCCGGTGTTGATTATATTGCAGCCGTAATTGCGTGGGATGTCCCATGACTATGAATGTACAGGCACCGTTTACTATTCGGTTTAGTGTAAAAGGAGATGCAAATCAGTCTGTGTAGTCAACAGAGAACCAATTGAGCTCTAGCAATCTTGAGAACGTCAGAGACAATGGCGATTTCGGTAGGGATCATTACACAGCAGCCAAGGCGGTGAGAAGAATGACATCCATATCTCCTACTCGTAGAATACTCATTGGTGAAGCTACCCTATGCTGCAAGGGTAATCTATTATTTTTTATGTCTGGTCTTCTTCAGCATTCTATAGTGCAACTCAGTTCGCCTATTAGAACACGAGCATTGAAAAGAATGCATAGCTTAGAGCTTATTTTTAGTAACGTTGATAATAGAACAACGGTCAATGGCTGTTGATTCGCAAAGTGAAGCAATAACTATGGGTATGATATGGAGAAAGTGAAAGAGGGGCGCTAGCTGTTGGCCTTCCGAAACACAATCTAGATCGCCTCTTACTGGGCTAGTCACTGACGATCCCCTAAATCAACAGCGATGCATGATGCATTTGTTGGTTTTTCGCTGACCCAAAGCATCA